CACAGGCTGTGAACAGTGGTCTTATATCGGGTGAGCGGTCGTTGGTTCGCGATCCTAGTTCCGGACGTCTCGAGAGTCTTGGTAGAATGATGTTGACAGGTTTGTTGGCGCCTGTAGGTTTGATTGCTCTGGCGATGGAGTCGACGTCCTCGAGACCAGGAGGTGTGGTGTGTGAGTCGACGAGTGATTCGGAGCCAGTTGTAGATGTTGGTGTGGGTAGGTTGTCTGAGTTGAGATCTGTCGGTGGCACGGGTGATTCATTGTGTGTGGATGAGATTGGTGCAAGTGTGGCGGACTTGAAGAGCGATCAACTGGAGTCAGTGACTCGTCCATCCGACTTGATGATGACCGATGTGAGAGTGGGTGAACGTGGTGAGATGAGTGTCGGTCGTGACGCGACACCAGTGCACAGAGGCGGTGATGAATCTGAGGGTGTTGTGTCATCAGAGACGATTTCTGAGTACGGTGTATCTGGTGTGGATGTGGATGACGTTGATGTGAAGAGGCGAGCGATGCAGACGAGTGAGGATGTTTTGTCGTCGAGCAGAGATGGTGTTGTGATGGGTGTGTGTTCGACGAGTGTATCCGAGTTGTTGTCGGACATGACAGAGAGACTAGGTGTGGACAGTGGTTTGGATTCGGACATGCTGTCGTCAGATGGTGTTAGGTATGGAGAAGTGTCTGTTGTGCCTGACCAGCGTGGACTTCAGTTACGTGAGGCGATTGAAGCGGGTCTTGTTGACACAAAGTCTGGACTAGTTCGTGATCCGTCTAGTGGCGAGGTGTTGACGTTGTCACAGGCTGTGAACAGTGGTCTTATATCGGGTGAGCGGTCGTTGGTTCGCGATCCTAGTTCCGGACGTCTCGAGAGTCTTGGTAGAATGATGTTGACAGGTTTGTTGGCGCCTGTAGGTTTGATTGCTCTGGCGATGGAGTCGACGTCCTCGAGACCAGGAGGTGTGGTGTGTGAGTCGACGAGTGATTCGGAGCCAGTTGTAGATGTTGGTGTGGGTAGGTTGTCTGAGTTGAGATCTGTCGGTGGCACGGGTGATTCATTGTGTGTGGATGAGATTGGTGCAAGTGTGGCGGACTTGAAGAGCGATCAACTGGAGTCAGTGACTCGTCCATCCGACTTGATGATGACCGATGTGAGAGTGGGTGAACGTGGTGAGATGAGTGTCGGTCGTGACGCGACACCAGTGCACAGAGGCGGTGATGAATCTGAGGGTGTTGTGTCATCAGAGACGATTTCTGAGTACGGTGTATCTGGTGTGGATGTGGATGACGTTGATGTGAAGAGGCGAGCGATGCAGACGAGTGAGGATGTTTTGTCGTCGAGCAGAGATGGTGTTGTGATGGGTGTGTGTTCGACGAGTGTATCCGAGTTGTTGTCGGACATGACAGAGAGACGAGGTGTGGACAGTGGTTTGGATTCGGACATGCTGTCGTCAGATGGTGTTAGGTATGGAGAAGTGTCTGTTGTGCCTGACCAGCGTGGACTTCAGTTACGTGAGGCGATTGAAGCGGGTCTTGTTGACACAAAGTCTGGACTAGTTCGTGATCCGTCTAGTGGCGAGGTGTTGACGTTGTCACAGGCTGTGAACAGTGGTCTTATATCGGGTGAGCGGTCGTTGGTTCGCGATCCTAGTTCCGGACGTCTCGAGAGTCTTGGTAGAATGATGTTGACAGGTTTGTTGGCGCCTGTAGGTTTGATTGCTCTGGCGATGGAGTCGACGTCCTCGAGACCAGGAGGTGTGGTGTGTGAGTCGACGAGTGATTCGGAGCCAGTTGTAGATGTTGGTGTGGGTAGGTTGTCTGAGTTGAGATCTGTCGGTGGCACGGGTGATTCATTGTGTGTGGATGAGATTGGTGCAAGTGTGGCGGACTTGAAGAGCGATCAACTGAAGTCAGTGACCTGTCCATCGTACGTGCTTGTTACAGATCTGAAATTGAATGATAGTGATACAACTTTCTTTTATTATTCTCTCTCGTGGAAATGCGATTCCGCTTCTACTTCTTTGGTTTCTGATCGTGATGCTAATGAGACTTATTATGTAAGTTTTTTATGTAACTGTAATTTTCGAAATGTTTGCTTTGTCGTTTGTTATTTTTTGTATTTCGTTTATCGTTTAATAAGCGTTTTCCTTCTCATTGTAATCTGATATTTTGTGTTGGCTTACCTTTCTGCATATTCTCTTATTTTTTTCTCTGTTCGTTTCCGTTATATTTTTGTTTTTTAATTTTGTCAATGTTTTCTACTTGCTCTTGCTCCCAATTATTCCTTCGTTTTTCTTTAGCAGGGTCTTACATGCTAATTTGTTGAATCGTTTCACATTTGTAAATCTTTACTTTTCTCAGGCCTCATTTTAACCTTTTTATTACGTTTTAATTATGCATGTATAAGAATGTTTTGTGTTTGATATGGGATTTCCATCGCAACTGAATAGATTTATGATTATTTCATACTGCATTTTAATTTACGTTATATGTATTAATTTCATAATCATTTTCATTCTCTTAATCAAGCTTTTGTATTCAAGTCTGCAATCAATATCATTGTTGCTGTCGTAGGATATAAATTAAAACGGTTTTCCACTGCACCGTTTTTAAATTGCATCTCTGGTTAACCGTGGTTTGTAACAACCACTGTTTTTTCTTTATATCTAAATATCTTTTTTAAATATGAGTGATTTAGAAATCACTGGTAAAGTTTTATTTTAAGCTTGTTTAAAGTGAAGAAATATTTCCGTTTTTCTGAATTATTGAATTGTTTTTTGTTTAAAGTTTTATTTGATAGTTTATAGAGAGTTTAAAAATTTATTAATCATTATTGGATTACCCCAGTATAAATGACTTACAACCACTTTGTATTCATTAATATCTAACCTTCATGTTCTAATTTTTTCATATCCCTCACATGGTACACCTTTAATTATTTGCTGACTGGCGTATATGATGGTGTAAGTTAGACTTTTCACATGGAAACTAACAATACTGATGTATCATATAGATTTGAACTGACTTATATAGTCTTAAAATCAATTACTCACTTCCTGGTGGCACTAAGATACTTTTCTATGATTGATATTCCACTTCTTTAAAATTTATCATTCTGGATTTCGATTTAAAAGGCATTTTAATATCTAATGCTCTTATGCGATTCTGGTTCTAATTATTCTTGGAGTTCTATCCAATACTAATTTTTTGTATTAGTACCTCATCGTATGTTCATTCGTGGGGACTGACGAATTCATGTTATTCATAGCGTTTGTACATCGTTTCTTGCTGATGGTGGTTATACTGTTTTACTAATCTGAAAAACTATTTGCAGTTCCTTGTATCTTTTGTAAAGGCGATAACATGACTCGGATAATGAAAGTTGGTAAACGAATCCTAGTTCACTAGCTGAAACCAATACCTCAAATCAGAACAGATTTTACATGAAAAAATTACCGACCAACCGACTAGTTATGTATCATAGGAGTGTTATTAAATGGTGTCATTTAGGAGCAATATTTATGAAATTATTAATCTATACGATTATTATTATTATTTGATTTTTGCTGTATAAATGATCAAATCCGTCATAAACAAAATATATTTACTACAGAAGTGTGTGTGTTTAACTAGACACTTATATAACCCATCACATTTTGACACCCAAAACGAGAGACATTTAAACAAAATTGAAAAGTGATTGTTTCATTTGTGCTGAACAGAATGATTGCTAATATTCTTAAAGTTGATGAATTCAAAACACAAAATATTTATACTATTCTGTATTGACTGAATAGTATAAGCATACTGATAATATCAAAAAGGACTAATCTTACAACTTTGCCATTAGTATCTTTAGTAGTAGTTAACAACTGAGTGTTTTTGGAAAGAAGTAACACTGATAATAATGGTGATACCGATAATAATAATAATAATAATAATAATAATAATAATAATAATAATAATAATAATAAGTTTTACTCATTATTACATAACTCAATACAGTCGGGGATTTTCAGTAAAAAATATTAAAATCTCAGCATAAATTCCCTGCTATCTACGTTTTAATTTCAGTGATGAGACTGTTATTGCCCGATTAGCTTTACCTACCGCTTTTGTTAATGATTTGAAAATTCAATTCATTTTTTGAACTCGGAAGCACATATATTACTTATTGCCCTTTCTCATGAATTACATGTCTTTTTGTAGACTTCAATACCGCTTTTACAGACAACAGTTTTAAAAAAATAATGGTCTATGCAAATCAAGTATCACTGAGAAATTGATGTTGACTTTCAAATAAATAATCATCCTGATGTGAATAAAATTTACCAGTCGTTCCATCTAAATAATAACTGGTCAAAAAGTCTAGAAGTGAATAATACTGGTTTTTCACTTTGCTATTATATTTCTGAACTTGCATTGCAAAGATTATTCCTTGTTTGAGGGCTTAAATATCTTCTGACAAAACCCTATCTACTTCACAAATATAAACAAAACAAGAACGACAGTATTTTCAGAATACTGTGAATTCGTTGTATCACGTCTCTTTCTCTTCAGAAACAAATAAACCAAAAATCTTGTTCACAGTCAATTGGTAATGATTTAAAAAAATTTCTGTCATGAGTTATTAGTTGTTAGTGTTAATTGGGTGACATTTTTTAATGCACATTTCGATTACATAACCATTCGTGAAAGAATCCGGGATACAACTTACTGTCTTATTAGATAGTTGTCCGTCTTTATTTGGCTTTCTGAAGCCTATATTTCATCAAAAATAATTTTTATTTTCTGTTACAATATATAAACCCTATTTCGTATTTACTACTATTATCATTATAAGTAACATCGAAATTATATTATCATACTAAATATTTATCAGCTTTGAATTTGTCATCGTTAAAACAAAAATATTTTCTTCATTGTTTTGTTATACGGGACATAATAAAATTGGTTCGATTATAACATATAAATAATTCTCAATCAAAACTAAATATCTATAGTCTGCAGAATCAGAAACTACCAGAAAGCTTATATCTCAGCTTTCTACTGCTTTGGATGAAGAAACATCATGGATAACTGGTTTAGAATTAAAACTTTTACAAATGGGGAATTTGACTTTAGACGATAATTTAAACCGCCACCTCCTGGATGATCACCAAGTAAGTTTGTACAAATTTTTATATAACTATCATTTTCTGCTATGCGTACAGTTGCTCATATGTTCTCACCAATCAAAAAATACTAGGTTATTCGGTTTTTTTTATTCACAGCTTACTTATAAAAAATAGTTCTTTATACTGGCTGATTTATTTATATTTATTGGAACACATAAATATTGGTACAAAGAAACATCGAATACATATGCACCACACAAATCACTTGGTTTATGTATAGGCTATGATACTGTCCAAGTGTCCAGACAGAACCAGCTGGTTTTCTTAGAGGATCATACAAGGAGCCTTCAACCTAAACGTCTGATACACAAAGCAGTGGAGCAACTTCAGAAGATGCAGTCCCATGATAGCCAGTGACAAATTACTGGTCCATACACTATTTGTTCCTTCACGATACTGGAGCCCATGTGCACCATTGGTTTGGAATCAGGGTTTTCAAACTCCCCTAGGTGGATCCTCCATATTCACCAACCATGTTAAAGCACCGGACATTCGCTTTTCGTCCTCTCAATTTCGTAGACAACAGTGATGCCACGAGAAGGCAGTGAGTAGGACTTCTCTAGCAATGGCTGTATACGCGTGACCATGTGAGAGCATTTCGAGAGAGAGAGAGAGAGCTGACTCACCTCACCCTCGGCCGTACCAGGGCATTTGGGAGCTGGACCTAAAAGCACTAGACAGCCGTTTCGTCCTAGTATGGGACCCCTCCGTAGTGTGGATCTACGATCTCGCATTTGGAGGCTAACAGTTGAAAAACCACTAGGAAATGACAAATAAAGTGGAATATCAGAAGTAATTAATAATACTGATTTCTAATCTGCTCTTATATTTAATTATTGTGGGATTTAATTCCACTGGCTTTGTAAATTTTTAAAATCAAATGACAAGATATGCTCAAAAATGTTAAGTAATTGCTCGCAATCAAAAATAATCTCACTCATAAGATAAGCTGATTCCTAAGGTGCAAAACCGTCTTCGTATTTTTAGTTGGGTTTATATCCTTAGTTATTTATTGCCTTGTATCAACAGTCTCGCTTATTTATTGACTGGGTGATTTACCACAAAGCATAACTATCAGAGTAAGCACCACTTGAGTAAATAACAACACGTAATTCTTAATGTTTTTGTATCTTTGTATCAACTAACTGACAGTTTCGCATGTGTGGTCTTTGCGATAACAATAGCCATTATTTATTAATTATAAACTGTATATACGCATGTTTATTACTACAGGAAATTTTAAATAAGATTCGTACTCGTCAATCTTCAAGTCGATCTGTATTATTTCAAGCTGAACAAGCTATTGAAACTTTACGTCATACTAACCAACCAGAATCTATCTGGAAACAATTAGAAGTAAAATGTCAAGAACTGCGAACACGTTTAGAAGATGTAAGTTGAGTTTATTATTTCAGTAAATTTCGAATGATATTCTGAGAACAAGGTAAGTTATAGGAAAACCATGTTTGTCTATTATCAGTAACACTCTAGACGTCTATTATTCATAAACGCGGGTTTGAATCTCATAGATATCGCATAGATATTCTTCAAGATTGTAAATACGCATTGATGGCAAGTACCGACTAGACTAAGCTTTTCTACCTATTGAATCCAACAACCTTACTCAAAACTTATATCGCATGTGATATTGAGTCACATGGATTAAGGACCAGATTTCAATCTGATCTATAGAATTCAACCAACACAATAGTCTAAATAACTATGACATTAGTTACTATTCTATGAGTAATCAGTGTAATGAAATATTATCAAAGTTTAATGTATATTTCTTCCTTGTTTCTTCTCATTTCAAGCTACAAACTGAAGCTGAGGGTCGAGTTCGAATTTTACTTCATAGTTTAGATTCATTAGAACATCTTACTTATAAATTACAAAGTCTTCGTAATCTATTAGAAAACCTAGATTCTGTTTTACTTGTTAACACACCATCCGTAAATACTACTACTACTACTACTACAATTGGAGAAAATCAACTGTCAAATAAACTAAATACAATTAATCATCCAGATGAAATAGATTCATGTATTTTACGAATAAAAGCAGCTTTAAGTGAATCAAATTCATCGCATAATAACGTTATTAGTACATTGCCAAGTGTAAAACAAAAATTCATTGCATCTGTTAATCGTTACGCTGATAGTAAGGTAAGTACAATGTTAATTCATAAATAAAATTATTTAAAAAACTCTACTTTAGTTGTGAATGGGTAAGCGGTTGAATGGTTAAAGCACTCAATAGATTTAAAACATTTCTTCACATTTATCATTTCTCTAATCATAAGCAAATTAGGTAATTTAGTAAGGGAAATAATAAATTAATAGGATTCGATTAAAATATACACCAGTCCAGGTTGATATAGTTTGTATAATAACAACATGAGGTGATTAACAAGATAAAAAGCTTAAATATGAAACTAATAATACCAATTCTAGTCAAAAACAACCTAATAAGATTTAATTGAAATTAATCATTTAAGTTATTGGATATCAACTCAGTGATTAAGAGATTAAGCTCTAGCTACGAAACCCGAAGATTCTAGATTCAGTATCAAATGAAGTTATGGATGAGTATTGCTGACAAATCGTATACTCGAATGAAACAAATATCCAATACTTGCTAATTCTTCACTGATTGTCTAATTAAAATCAATCCATTATTTAAATTCATAATAAAAAGTAGGATTTAAAAATAAATAATTCATATGAAATGATAATAGAGTGCAAAATTTGCAAAAAAGATAGAGGTATACATTTATCTACATCATACAATTCAACTTCAAGTCATATTATTTTAATATAATGTCTATGTTTTCTAGTTATTAATCATGTAATCCATAAGTAAGAAATAGATACTGATAGGTTCTGAGTTCGAATCTCGCAGTGGGCGGGACCGTGGATGCTCACTGCTGAAGAGTCCCATACTAGGACAAAACGGCCGTCCAGTGCTTCCAGGTTTTCCATGGTGGTCTAGCTTCAATTGTCTCATGATTTCAACTATTGAGATACAATGTAATTTGTTCATCAATTCTACAATATAAATTTCATCTTTTCTTAACTCTCCAACTTTTTATTATTGTTTTCTCTGTTATTTGTTTTTCTAATAATAGAAAACATACAATATCAAATTGAATCATTTCACTGGCTTAAATTGTAAACAATATGAAGATAAAATTCAAAGAAATAATATAGAATTAGAAGATAGAATAGAATATACAGTAAAAGAAGCAAATAATCGTCTTTTACATTTAATTGGTCGTTTAGAAATTCAATCAACATATCTTACAGAAATTAATATTCTATATAAACAATATGAAAAACATTTATCTGAATCAATTCATCAATTAGATAAAACTAAATTACAATTGAATATAATACAAAAAAGTCTTCTTCGATCTGATGAATTAAATACTTTAACAATGAATAAAATTAAAAAACTTAGTCAAGAACGATTAACTAAATTATATACATTACAAGGTGATCTTAATAAAACTGAAAATGATCTAAAAGTAAGATTTATAAGTCAATCATTTATACGGTAGTAAATTTATTTTATTTAATTTTATAATCTTATTATTACAATCAATCACTAGTGACTGGCTTCAAGATGTGTATCTTGAAGTCCTAGTGAGAAGCAGTGGCCAGTGAAATTCAACCGGGTCAGTTGTGAGTAACTCACTGATGACAATGGTGGATTTGTTGCTCAATTTCGTGAATTAGTTGAAGTTAGACATTAACACCGTTGGATGCCTGCTCAGTGATCTAGTGGTTATGAGCTCGCGCGCGAAAGCAGTAGGTCTTTGGCTCGAACCCCGCGAGGAGGAGTCGTGGGTGCGCACTGCTGAAGAGTTCCACAATAAGACGAAATGGCCGTCCAGTGCTTCCAGGTTTTCCATGGTGGTCTAGCTCCAATTGACTCATGATTTCAATCTGTGAAATTTCTAAAATCTCCACAAACCCCTTCTGATATACCTATTTAGATATTAAAAATACAATTTGACCGAATAAATATTTCTTTTTTATTCTGTGAAGAAAATATCTTCATATCTTAAATAAAACGTTTACAGGGGAATCAAAATGAGATGCAGTTATAGAATTAGTCAAGGATCAACTGATCCTGTTAACTTGGAAATATGTGCTGAATTGGCTTGGATTGAACAATCTCGGATCATTATTTAAGTTAATTTTAATTAAAACTCTTGAAATTCCGTTTGCTACTACTCCAATACAAATTTAAGCTGCCTTGGGTATATTGATGTGTTTGAATTTATTTCCCGTATAGAATTAAAAGCCCATCGTCAGAAAGTGTTTCATATTGATATATTTATATTCTTTGTGCATGATAAAATCAGTCATATAAATGAAAAAAACAGGAGCGAGTAGGAAACGTTGGTTGGCTAACCGAATCTATGGTTTCTCTGTATCATGAGTTGACTGGAAATTTGAACCAGTAAAATTCTTACTCAATGATTTATAAGTATCCCATAAAGCTTAAACTTCTTATTCTCAGTAGTGTCGTCCTAGTTACTCAATTATGAAGAACTTCAAACTACCCTGAAACGGTATCTTAACAGTTCTCTTCATCAAAACTATTCTGTGTAAGAGATTAATTTTATGGTGCACAGTCTCTACAAACCTATTCTCTCAGGTATTTGATTTGTTGCCTATTAGGATATTTTGAAGGTTAAACTTGTGTGCAAAATAACATAAGCAGAGTGGAATCAATAAGTAAACTCTGATTATCAATTAAACCGCAACTGAGTAAATAACACCATTTTCACTTATTCCCCGTTCATCCCCTCCTAAAAGAAATGTAACAACAAAAACATTCTCACTTAATTTATCCATTTTATTTCGCTTTTTTTTCCTGTCATGTTTCTTCTCTTCTCAGAATCTGAAATCTGTTGAATTAGATTTAATTGAAAAGAAATTTACTGAAGCTAATCTAATTACAAATAATTCAATGAATGCAATGAATCAACCATTAGATAATGCTTTAAATTATCAAAAACAATTAATTGATCAATGTGAAAAATTACAAAAACAATTTATGAAATATTTATTAACCAATCAAACAACACAAGAATGTTTAAATGAATTTTTAAATCAAACAAATCGAATTGGTGATCAATTATCTAATGATTATATTGATCATAAAATGGATGAGATTAAAAAACAATCAATTGAATTTCCTTTAGATATGAATAAATTAAATGAAACTTTAGCACAAATCAATTCTATCCAATCAGCTTCACAAATATTAAGAAATCGTTTAAATCAAACAATAGAACAAATTAAAACAATTGATCCTAATAAATTACGATTAACACAATCCGAATTGAAACAAACTGATATTTTAGATAATCGGTATGATTTTATTCTTCAATATTGTAATTATTCAAATATTTTGTTTTATTCTATGATACTGTCAAAAAGTGTTTCAATATCTGATTACTAGGTTGACTGAAATTGAAAATTTGAGTCATTTCATCGAGATTTTATTGTTTGAAGGTAGAATTTTACCCCGACAACCCTAACCCTCATTACGATAAACAATAATTTTTAATTTAGTTACCTAGAATTCAGAATACAATTTATCTCATTGAATTTCCATTGGATTGATTGTCGTTAATGGAGGATGTTTCATTAATAAACTAATTATTATTTACATCAAATCGTTTACCTACATAATTGAAATTTAAGAAGATTGTAATATAACGTAAATTTTTATTAGTACCTTAGTAAATGAATCAATATAAAACCTGGTATTACATTAGAATTATCGGTAAAGGTAATGAATTATAATCAGAACAAGGAAATATAGTGTAACGGATGAGTAGAATATAAAAGTATTCTTTTTTTAAAACAACATAAAGGGTAAGTACCCATTTCACCAAGTAACTCTATCCACCAATCTCCTTGCATACTAAGCACACCATAAATTAAATTCAAATCCATCCAGATAGCAACTAGATGTAATATTTTGCATAACTATAGCACTTTCAGCTCATTGGTCTAGAGGTTAAGCGTTCGCGTGCGACACTGAAGGTCCTGGGTTCGAATCCAGCAGGCGAGATCGTAGATCCACACTACGGAGGGGTCCCATACTAGGACGAAACGGCTGTCTAGTGCTTTTAGGTCCAGCTCCCAAATGCCCTGGTACGGCCGGGGGTGAGGTGAGTCAGCTCTCTCTCTCTCTCTCGAAATGCTCTCACATGGCCATGCTTATACACCCATTGCTAGAGAAGTCCTACTCACTGCCTTCTCGTGGCATCACTGTTGTTTACGAAATTGAGAGGACGAAAAGCGAATGTCCGGTGCTTTAACATGGTTGGTGAATATGGAGGATCCACCTAGGGGAGTTTGAAAACCCTGATTCCAAACCAATGGTGCACATGGGCTCCAGTATCGTGAAGGAACAAATAGTGTATGGACCAGTAATTTGTCACTGGCTATCATGGGACTGCATCTTCTGAAGTTGCTCCACTGCTTTGTGTATCAGACGTTTAGGTCAAAGGCTCCTTGTATGTTGCTCTAAGAAAACCAGCTGGTTCTGTCTGGACACTTGGACAGTATCACAGCCTATACATAAATCCATTGATTAGTATAATAATTTTACAATTTTCACCTATCCTACATATTATTACTATCATTACTTTTTTTTGACAGACTTGAAACTTTGAAGGATGATGTTATTTCACGAATTTCACAATTGGATACATTGCAAAATCAGTTGACACAGTATGATAATGATATTAATGAATTTAATATATGGCTTGATGAACTTGGAAATCAGTTAAATTGTCAAACAACTGCTCATCTACCAGAAAACTATTTAAAGCACAAACTTCAGTCAATTAAAGTAAGCTTCCGATTTCATTTTATTCTGCTCTGTTTTTTCAAGTTTTATGTTAGTAGATTTACTTTCTCCAGTTTTTTTTGCTCATATTTCACAATGCTCATAGCCTTCAGTTCAAGATATATATGATGTGTAATGACACATAGTTTAAGGTAATTCACGCTACTTTATATTATATTAATTATTCAGACATATTACTTTGGCCAAAATTACTATTGTCTAATAAAATTTAACCAAACATTTTACCTCTATGACCAGACTTTATAAGGTAACAAATTCATCAAACCTGATAGAATCCGAAAGTAAGTTAAGTTGTCAGCCTGATTACTAACTTCACTGTTAATTGTCAGACTACATATCGATCTAAACCGTTACTTAAGCTTCGAAAGTTAAGATTTATTATCACTTAAAATATTCAGAAAAGTGCCTTTTGTCAGCATCTTTATGTAATAAGACTATTTCATTTATGAACTTCAGGTCTTTGGAATTATCTCCAGACAAGGGATCAATTTTTAAGACCTTTCGATTAATAACTGTTATTTCTAGAATTGCATAGTAAAACTTAATTAGCGAATACTAACTAATACATATTGTTTTTTCTCCAACTTTTCCTTTCATTACGAATATTGAACATGATTAGATGCTTATACCAAATCGTCAACTACAGTTAGATAATATACAACAATCTATTAATGCTTTATTAACTAAACTTCCTGAAAGTGATGATCATGGTAAATTGATGAAAGAAAATATGAATAAATTGAATAATCGTTGGTCACAATTACTTCATTTAATAAATACACGTGAAGATGATTTAAAAGCAAGAGAGTCATTTAATAATTCCTATGCACAAGCACGTAATCAAGTACAAGAAATGTTGTTAACTGCCGATGGATGTTTAACTACTTTATCATCACCTATCAGTTTAAATTTGAATTCGGTAAAACAACAAATGGACAAATTAAATGAATTATATTCACTCCGAGAGACAATCAAACAACATTTAGATGAAGTGGACCAATTAGGTTCTGCTTATGATACTTTATTACATACATCAAGTGGAATTGATAAGAATTTCGGACGTGGAACAACTTCATCAAATGATGCTCATATTTCTGCTTCTTCAGGTACTTTGAATATGTTAATTAAATATTTATACGAATGCAATTTCAGCTTATTTTCATATTATATTTACATTATATGAGTAGTTATAAAAAATACTGATATTTCTTGATTTACTGAGTATCTAAGATAAAGTTGAAAACTTAAATCAATAAGGGTTTATCAAATGTTAAACGGAACAATTAAGGCAAACGAGCAGTATATCTATAGTAATAGTTCTTCACATTCATCACGTAACAAATCAAATAATTAAATGTTTTAACTACTGTATAGTTTATTAAGGGAGAGTTATATTAAGATGTTCATCAAGCAAGTCACACATGGGATTATAAATTCCAAGTTTAATTAGATTTCCAATGACTCATAAAAAGATCGGAACATTTATTAAATATAAATTGTAATGATATAATTTCGACTTAGCACTCTCACATAGTTAATTAGGCCAATTTGCGTGTGAGGAGATGCAGCTTTACCTTTTCGGAAAAATAATGAGATCTGGTAAGCAAATTTAGTTTTAAATGAAGTATCAAACAGTAGATGTTTCCGAATTTTTTAAAGGCATACTTTATTGATCTAAACAGTGAATTATCAACAGGCGCACTGCAAGCGCTAAGTCACTTCAATCACCAAGCTACTAGGGGCTAATTTTTAGATTAGGTTAACATAAAATGAAGGTAATTTAAAGCTTACCACACTATCATAATCTACAAAATGTTTTCCAGTAAATCTTTGTTGCTTATTTGGTATACAAAACTTCCTTATTGGCTAAACCCTGTACTGTACTACCACAATCCCGTTAACTGATGTTTATTCAACAACTTAATGATGAAAGCTCTTTAACTCAAATTTGAAGCAGTTGCCTAATGACAATTTTATTTAGTCAATAAGTTCACTATCCTTAACTGTGATATAACTTTAGCTTGTTCGGTGTGTTCATCATCACATAATGTGATAGCATCTGCAGTAACTTTAGAGAAACGAACGAATTTAGTCACCTTCACAGTTGATGTAAAGAAAAATACGAAATTTGATAAACATATTTTAAAACACTGTTATTATTATTGTTATTACAAAGAATCTTTATGTAAACCAGTACTTTTTAAAATATTATTTTGGAGTTATATTTGCTAGTATGAGTTTCATTGTATAATTAATATTGGAATGTTAAGCGTTTAAGGGTGACGGTCTATTAAATCATTTATATCTTAACTCCTTCAGGCATCCAGTTAAAACGATAATAGTTTGTCAAAATGACTATATGTAAATTTGTAGCTCATGTTAATCATGTCGCATCTCAATAATTAAATTGTAAATCAAATATCGAAAATCATATCCTGAAGTATATTTTTAACGTAAAGTTTGTTTCTGTTTGAGAATTTAAATGAATAAGTTATTATCTAATTAAGGAATTAGAATGACCTATTGCGACTTCAATTAGTAAGAATAAATAAATAAAGGATTTCATGATCTATCATTATAGTTTAGTCCGACCAAAGTTAAATTGTGTATACACACTCCGTGGTAATGCAAATTGAATCGTAATGAAAACAACATTGAGTATAAGCTACTCGGATTCAGTACATTGCTAGGCTTCAGTTAATGGACAAATTTCATCAATATTACATAAGCCATACTGTTTCGTACTTCGTTCTATAGTTATTCATAGTTATTGGTCTAGTTCATCCATACAATTTATATGACCCATAATATTCTCTGAAAATTTCAATTTTTTAAACATTCACTTTATCCCAACATATATATGTGTGTATGTACTATAACTCAACAGCAGTACCACGTGTATCCACTTCTGTTGCCTATAAACAATCAAAAGACAATAAATTAATGAATGTATTAAGTCCAATGGCTAGCAGTGGATCAAGTGGCATCTCCAGTGCCGATCCTATGTGTAATCTACATGGTAAGCTAAGCTTTCCAAGCATTATGCATTAATATATATATGTAAACAAATATAAACAAACGAGTGTGTTATTTGCATGTAACAAAATAACAACTAAATATTTTGTGCATGTTTGTCGCTTTGTTTCTGTTTACATTCTACTTCATAATTGATCTTTCAGTTTCATTTTTATTCACCAATCGTCTTTTGCAACAATTTGCTTAAAGCGTTGGTTTTTTTCTATTTGACTTTGAAGATGTCCAATTTTTAAAACATCTAGAAACAGAGTCAATACATTTTATGTCAAGAACCATAGTACGTCGAATAACTGTTTTAACCTAGTTCCTAGTTCATCAATAGCGTTCAACAACGACCGCATACCTAAGTGAACATAGAACCTTTAGTATCGTGATGAATACCATAACTTTCATACCTTCGAAGTGGAATCCTACGTTCCATGTTTTCTAATCGAGTTGTGAATTTATTTATTTGTTTATTTGAACACATAAATATTGGTAAACATAAATACATACACACCGGTGAAAAATCCCAAGCTAATCTGTAGCATTTGTTCACTTCTCTTTGATTTATCAGTAATGTGAGCTTATTAATTAAAATCATATTCAGGTCATATAAGGCCCTCTGATGTACACACTGGTTAATAGAGATATCTTTATGTTTCTGATTTTACTCTTTTAAAACGTATGATATTGCACTTTTGTCATCTGAATAATTAGATTTACTTATAGTCAGTAGTTTGTTTTAAATCATTAACTAATTTAATCTCTAACACTAAATACTAACTAACCTTACTATAAAAAAAGTAGATACGTTTTCAAATATCATAGGTTATCATCCTTCTGGTGTCACTGAATGCTAATTGACCAACATAATACTAGTTTACATCTTACAATGAACACCAGTTCACTCAAAATTAATCGTACGCATTACAAACAATAGCCAATCATTACGAAAATTAGATTCAGGGTTTTTAAATCTGAAAATTCTAACAATTAGTAATTTATTGTCAATAAAATATCACATAACATTTAATAACGGCGCCTTATTGCTTGATGTGCTTGATTCCTAATGCATATGATTATTTTGTATATGTGTATATAACATTTTATCAGTTCAAGTGTTATTTCTTTTAATTATTGTCAAATATTATATCTCTAATGTATCTGCCTATTCATGTACATTTCAACTTTGATTCTGGTGATAAATATGATCTCACTGTAGTTTAGTTATTTATTCAAGATTCTCTTAAATATATACCATTGTAAATTTGTTTAAATATCAGTCAGTTATAGTTAATTCTTTTGTATGAAACATTGTCATGATTTCGATATATAACGTCTCATATCTAATCATCATTTTTTGTTGTTGTTGTTGTTATTATTATTATTGTTGTCGATATCATTATCATGGTCATCGATAAAAGTTTGTGATATTCATGAATAAGTGCATCCTTGTAGTAACCAAATTCCTTTGTTTAAATAAATCGTTTTATTGTAAAACATGTGTAACGATTGTTAGTAATAGATAAACACACCTTACTTTGTTTGGTTAAAATTTATTGACCGACATGTTAATGATGAATTATTTTGATTATAAATATTTGATTTATATATTTGTCTCCGTATTATTACTTTTAAGCATGATAAAAGATATAACAATTAGCATTAACCTATATTTAAATAGTATCCAACTTGTCTTCAGTCTATTCTTGAAAAGATCATTGCAGATCAAATGCCAAATAAGTAACTACGTAATAAAAATGATGGCCTATACTCCTTAACTAATTAGTTCAATAGCTTTAAATAATCTTGAACACTAAGGTCAAAAAATCATCTAGATGATAATTAGGTATTAGATAGAATTAAAATAGTTGAACTAATAAGTCTATCTGAGCTAGATCAACATTAAAAACCGACTGACTCATGATCTTGCGCAGCCATTGGATGCCGGCTCAAATAGTCTATAGGTTAAGCGTTCACGCGCGAAACCGAAGGTCCTGGATTCGATTTTCACATACGGGATTGTAGATGCACACTGCCGAGAAGTCCTATACCAAGACGAAACAACCATTCAGTGCTTCCAGGTTTTTAATGGTTGTCTAACTTATATCGGTTCATGATTTTAATGAAATTTAACAATCTTCACAATCCATACTGATAATAATAATGAGATAGCATACAAAAACGAGATATGAAAGAGTATTGAGTTGACGATTATAAGGAAGTCAAAAACATGAAAAAAATACAGGTCCAAATAAGACAAACAAGAGGTTTGAAATATAATTGTACACTTTAAAAATATAGAAAGATGAAGAAGAAAGGCAAATAAATGTTAAAAATAACTGACAAAATATGTTGGGTTTTTATGACCATGATAAACTATGCGACTGAGTATATAACTTCTGAGCATAAAGATCAGGCATGAATTAATGAATTGACATAGCCTCAGGCATGCGAAAGTTTTTCATTCGGCTTTCCTTCGAACCTCTTCGTCTTACTTTGCGAACACTGTTGAATAAAGAATCTGGTGTGGATAGATGACTAGAATTTATTAGATTTTCAACAATCAAGCTCTTGACTGATTGGCATTCACCTTTCGATAACTATAGTGAATAGTGCTTGGATATGCTTTTAGAAAGATTACGCATTATACAACAATTGTGGCAAACTCCACAAGAGCAAGTAAATTGGTATATTTACGTTGAGGTGACCCAGAGCAACATTTTATCCTTGACACATCTTTATATCAGATGTCGGCTGTAAAACACAATTCGTAGCTCAAATGAATAAGAAAGCCTTTTTCTAAGCACTAGACAGTCGGTTTCGTAAGATTTCTAATGCTGTATCCCTTTCTAGATCAATATTCATGAACGAATGATTAAAGGTTCTTTTAGCTGAGTCGAAACGTCTTCATTATATTTAATGACCCAATGTATTTCTCATCGGTTTCTCGGAAACAGATAAAGAAGGATGTAATTCGGTAACTTTATTCCTAAATTCTTTTGAACATGTATTAATGTGGCTTGAAAAAAAGTCACCAAGTATGTGAACATTTCCATCCTTTCTCAATATGCTGAAAATAAACATACAATTTATAGGATTTGAGAAGTTTTTAATTATGTATCGGTTTCCTAAACGTTAACCAAAGGACTTATGATTAGATAACTGGTATACAGTGGAAGGTATAATAGTCAACTTAAGGAACGAATAATGCATTTAATTCATTTCATATCCATTTTAATAAAACTACTTTTCTCTCAAGGAATGGAGATACAAGAAATTTAAACTAGGATCTCCTACTTCTAGGATACCATTGCATGTTAGATAATCATTTTTTTATACTCATAAATAATGAATACATTTAAGTATGAAATAATACTTGTATATTAATAGTTTCACACACTCTCATCGAATTTGCATAAATTTTCTTTAAATAAATAGAGAAGATGAGGTAATGAATTCATATTCCACAAAATTTGTTTTACAATAATTAATTCATCATAGTAAGGAAAAATCAAGAGAACTTTGTAACAAACTTGTTTTAAGATATGATTTACATCAGAAGGGGTTTTGTGGATGTTACAGTAATTTCAATAGTTGAGATCATGAGTCAATTGAAGCTAGACGACCATGAAGAACATATTGTGAGTTCGAATCTCGCGAAGCAGGATCGTGGATGCGCACTGCCGAGGAGTACCACAATAGGCCGTTCAGTGCTTCTAGGTTTTCCACGGTGCTCTAGCTTCAATTGACTCATGATCTTAACTAATGAAGTATAATTTACAATCGCATATATATACTAATCAGTTATTCATTTTTCTAATATTTTCTTTAAACATGACAAACTTTTATTTTCCATGTTTGTTTGTTTTTTGTTGTTGTTGTCGAAATTTACACATAATAAAGAAATTAATGAAGTCAATCGTGAATTAGATGAGCTACACGAACGTTATGATCAATTAGGTAATTGTTTAAATGAACGCCGAAATGAATTTAAATCTTTGATAATAAATTTAAATAATTTTGAAGAGAAACGTTTAGAATTAATAAATTGGCTTGGTGATTATGTAAAAACAGTGAATAATGTTAATAGAAATATTTCTACTGTACAATCTGTAAATCAAGCTGTTAATGAATTAAAAAAGTAAGTTAGTATTATAAATAATAAAACTGTTTATTATTCATAGTTTTCTTCAACTTATTTGTATATAATTCACTTGGTATTGTTTTACTTGAATCTTCCCATTGATGTTTAGGACTGCAGTTGATCAGTCTCTTATTGGCATATGTGCATACTGTACGTATTGCCTCGATATTACCTTAATTTACAAGCATTATAAGCAAAGATGGATAGTGGCTAGTAGTGGAATCCAGTTTGACGCGCGTTTCGTCCTATTTGAGACTCGGCAGCTGGATGTACCTGCATCTCAGAGTTGATGTTCACTCTGGTGGAGATTATTGTTTTATTCGCAGTGTATAATATTAATCCGGATTTTATTCAAAACTGTATTGTATTCATTGTACAATCTATAGCCACCAATTAAAAACACCCAAAACCCAAATAATAAATCATGTGTACTTTTATTTCTTAAACTCATAACTCTGATGGTTATGTCAGTAAAACAGGAAAATATTTCGAATTATTAAACATAGATTTCAATAGATGTGCAACCAGGACATTTTTTGACACAGTATTTATAAGTTATAAATATTGTTTTCATTTAGATCGTTATCAAGCTTAACTCAAACTGCAACATTACAACGAATATAACTTGTGAACTGTAAATTATATAATAATAGTTAACCAATAGAAATTAGCATGCAATTTTGAACTATTTAGTAGTGCCATGAAACAACTCGTTGGTAAATGGTCATTAAAAAATAAACAGACTAGTTTGCGAAAGAATAGTTTCTCAAGCTTTATACTTTTCTTCATCGTTATAGAAGTAGAATCTAGAAAATATGCAATCCTTCTGAGAACTGGTCAAGAGCATACACCTGCCTCATTCTGTACAAGTAGAAACTAGACTTGGTGGTCGTAAACACCAAGCCGTTATCTAGTAGGTTCCTGGCTTACTGTGGTTATCTCTTACTAAAAGGGTATTGGTTACTTTTTAAAATTGTACCTTTCGCTGTTGATCTTCATAGCTTCATTGAGAAGTCTCTATTTGCATATGAAAGTCACGTGGGCATCCTTTATTATTATTGTTTGTACTTATCTGTTAACAAACTATTCTCCTTCCTCCGCGCTCTAGATACATAGAAGATGAACTCAACCTTCAAAAGTGAAACTGCCATCTGATGTTTTTCCATAATAATTTAACTAATGAACGCTGTTAATACGTGTGAATGTTCTCTGTTTCCCATGTCACTTAGTATTGTATTTCACACAATTTACATAAGGTGGAATTAATAAATACATATTCAGACTTTCACCAGGTTATTTTCAAAGCATGTCGGATCTGATAATTAGATATCGTGAGTAATTTTCGTAGTAGATATTTGACGAGAGATAGCTACTGCTAATACAAGATAATTAAGAGATAAGTATATTAATTTTGTTCACCTTATATGTTAATAGTTTCTTCTTCCTTAAATAATTATATTCCAATGAATAATTAAACAGAGACATTTTACTAACTACACTGCAATTATGTCTAAATTTTCTATTTAAACTCAAACAAAAATTGAAATACCTCAGCTATTCCATTTGTCTGAAGAACCACCAAATTCCTACTCTATAAACGACGTACTTAACTAGATAATTTGATGTGTTCTTTCTAACTATTATTCACGCCTGCTTGGTTTATTTTAAATCTAGATATCGTGCTCAGCTCAATGAACAAATACCAAAACTTGAAATTGTTCGTCAAAGTTTTACACAAGTTTTACACAATCGTGATCATATGCCAGGTGCTGTAGAATTAAGAAATTCAATGCATTCTCTTGAACAACAGTGGAATGAAGCGGTTGTATTAAATGATAAATCACAGCAAGATTTAAACAAGTTACAACGTGATTTAAACGAATTCCATAAACTTGATATTGATCTCACACGAAAACTTCAACAAAAAGCTAATCGAATACATAATGTACATGACAAATGCCTTGCAGATAATACCATGGGAAGTGAAAGTCATCTGAATCAAGTCAGTTGTATTACTTATGTATATTTATTATAAATAATATTAAGCGATTAATCCGAGGCTGAATGTCGTATATCTACTGCATGTTTCAGAATAGGTAACCTGATCAATCTATTTTGTTCCTTGCTAAATTATACTGATAGACTGACGAATTCAGTATTTGTTTATCAGTCGACCTACTGCTGTAGAGGTAATTATGTAGCTCGTTCATCGAGGCCAGTTTTTTATCGTATACGGCAGTATCTACCAGTACGGGTTAACAGAGGAAAAAACAAATCAATTGAATCATCTATACTGTACTGGGATATTTGGGTTCGGATTCATCATTTGACATGGTTATTATATTTTAGATCATTCTGTATACATTTCATATTGGTAAAAATATAACTGATATCCTATGAAGCAGTGAGTAGTTGAAACTCTTCACCAGGAAATTTACTTTACTGCTATCACTGCAATAATTAGAAATTTCAAATATTTATTAGCAATTCTTTGTATTTGAACAGTTACATAACCATATATATACTTGTAATTTCACTTCTGGCTATTGCCATTTGACACTTTAATTTGATCAGTTACATAACTGAACTATGTGTGACGACGTAATCTGTAACATTTGGTTTATTAAATCAATAGAGAATTGAAGTTTTCTGGTGTTAAGCATATAATTAGTGGGATATTGTTTATTTATTAAACTTGCGATAAAAAAAAACTGTCTTATTTAACTGGTAATTTCATATTACAATTAACATCACATTCGATTATATATTCATCTATTTTGTTTCTTTTCATTAGATTTCAACACTTCGTCAAGAATTGGACAGTGTTGTTCCAGAATTAAATAAATTTAATCATTTAGTACAAAATTTCAAAAATTTAATTCCTGAATCTTTAATAAATCAATTAGACTTCAATTCTACAAATGAACGTGTTCGAAATGATTTCAATCAATTAGTAAACGAATTGTCAAAATGGGAAAGTGAAACAATGAGTAAAATTGAACCTAAAACTAATTATGAACAATTAGTGAAACAATTAGATTCACAATTGAAAACAATTAAAACAAAAATGGAATGGTAAGCGAAAATACAGTCTAGTTCCTTTCTAATTGTTATTAGAATAAATTATATGAAGTTACAAACTAGTTATTTACAAGATACAGAAATACTTGGGATTGGGGGGGGGCTTGTTAATAATGTAGAATTTTCATAGTTCAAACTAAGGACTGATCTTAGTTAGATCACCATAGAAGACTAAAAACTACTGACCATCTGTTTTGTCCTAATATAGAACTCTTCGACAATTAGTATTCGTGACCCCACCACAAGTGATCGAACCCACGAGTTCTGGTCTCCCGGAGATGTTTAATCTCCAGACCATCAAAGCTGAATTCAATTACGTACACGTCTAACTTCAACCAGACTGAGATACTGTGCTCCTGTCTTATATTGTGAGATAAGTCAAGTATACTTTGTACTACGTTCGAAATGTTATCCTTTTGTTAATGTAATTGCTAGACACTTAAACTGAAATCTATAAGTGTAGTGATAAAAAATTAAAGTTCTATGAAAAGCTTATTTAACTTTGTTAGTGGCATATTTTAAGGATAGAAAGTTTATAAATAAATAATATATTTGTACTATCCCAATGAGTAGAAAAATTAGATTTTCTGACGTTTCGTGACTTAGTGTAATCCACTTCTTCAGAGAATAATTAACCAAATTAAAATTAATCCAAGTTTTAAACTTGTTCATGATTGATTATTATTTAAAAACAATTAATGTTATATTACACTAATTATAATTTTAGCAGTCCAGTGAAAGAACCTGTTGAGAAAACAAATAATTTGAATGAGATAAATAAGAAAATTGAAGAAATAAAACCAGTTTTAGAAAAAGCTGAACAATTATGTACACAATTATGTGAACATTCTATAAATCCAACAGATCAGTGCAATATGAAAGCGAAAGTAAGTATGATATTCCTATTTCAAATTATTATTACTTCATATTCAATTGTCTTTTAAAGTAACACATTCATTTAGTAGACTTTTCAGTATATAAAAATAAATAACTTTATATAGAAATAGCTTATATTAATAATTAGAGCTTACAAATCTTTAGAGATTAACTTTCACTATCTAACCTGGAATATAATAAGATGTATATAAGCTGGTTAGCTTTTATAATAATGTCGTTGTCGTCCTCCAAAATTCGAGATCATTTACTTCTACACGAATTTTTATTCAACTTAGTATTGAAATCTTAATCAAAATAAACTTAAACTGAAAAGATAATTAAGCAAAGATGGATAGTGGTTAGCAGTGAAATCCAGGACGCGCGTTTCGTCCTATTTGGGACTCGTCGGATGGATATACCTTCGTTCCAGAGTTGATGTTCAGTCTGGGACTCGAACACAGTGCCGTTCGCTGCAAATGCCATCGCGTTATCCACTTAGCCACCTTGAATCCACTACTAGCTACTATCCATCTTTGCTTAAAAAGCTTGTGACTGAAGGCTTTATCGAGGCAATACGCACAGTATACACATATGCCAACAAGAGACTGATCAATTACACTCCTAAATAACAATGGGAATATACGAGTGAAACAACACTAATTGAATTTGAAAGGATAATTCATTATTACTTAAATTGATTATCAGGTTGACATTCAGTTCCCTGTTATTTTCGTCACTTTTCTAAATTTCCTCTAAACAGACATAAAATTCAGTTGAGATTCTGCTGGATGAGTAGTGAACACATATATTCCTAAAGCTTAAAATTTTCAAATGTTAGCATTTATGTAGAGAAGTGTTATTATCTATTCTCAGTTAGAATAACAATGTTAATTTAGATTCTAACACTTCAGTATAATAACCTAAACATAGGCTGAGATTTCGCTAATCATTATCAAACATTGTCAGGAATGTACATTTTTAATTTAGGACCTGTACGGCCAACTGTTTACCTATTCATATACTAAACTAAGAGGCTACAACTATTTCTTCGAAGCGTACTAAAATTCGTAAAATTTAAGCCAATGACTGACTAGTTGAAAGTTAAGTGCCTAATCCAGTAATGTAAGACTCTAACTATGCAGAAGTTTGTTAACAATATGTTTTATTTGAACATCTTGTCTGATTAATATGCCATATATTTTAATCCTCTAAAACCACTTATCCACTATGCGTAGTTAAAACGAATAGGTGTCGCCATAGAAATCGGCTGTCATAGATACACTTCAGACACTTACACCATAGTTATCTTCAGTGAAAATAAGTATTTGTCTTTATGTTGTTTACGATAGGTAAATATGTATGGAATTCATTTTGTTCAGTATCAAATTATCTATCTTATCTGTAATCAGGAATGATAAGAAGTTATTAGGATTCAATTCATTTTTTAACACTTGATTAGATGAGCTGTTTTAAACCAGCTCTACCAGTAACTGTTAAATCAGATCACCATTAATAATTATTCTTGTTTAAGATGATCGTTCTGTAAATTTATGAATTTCATCTATATCCATTTATATAACTGTGTCAGGGAATGATAGATTTACAGTCAAATTATGAATTGAGAACTTATTGACCTCCTCTTTTTTTGCACACACACACACACACACATAGAAATGCATAAGACAGCATGGAAACATGTACATTGTAATCCATGAGCTATTTAAAGTACAACCAGAATTCTGATTGCTCTCAGCTATAAATTTAAGTACTAATAACATCTGTTTAATTTTGTTGACTGTGATTCTAGCTTTCAGACCTTCAACATTCATATGGTCAATTAGTAAATGAATATCATAAACGTGAAAATGGGAAGACTGAACATTCACCATCATTGCCCAGCAAATCTGAATTGAGTCCAATAAATAAACTAGATGAATTAAATCAATGGGTATCGGTGAAGAACAAACAATTACAGAATATATCTCATGATCTGTTAAGTTCCAGTGTATCACATACAAATATACCAGAGACAAAGCAAATTGAAAGTGATTTACAAAACTTAGAAGTAAGTTATTATCATTATTGTCAGTGAAGTTTAACACTTACATTTGTTGTTCCAAACTCAAACATTTGTATTTCAGTAATACAAATGTGAAATGATAAGAAAATTGTTTAATATGCATGTTAGAGAAACTCCAATTTTTACCATCTAACCAAATTTGTGAGAAAAAAGACCTCAAGCTAGAATTTAAAACAAACTATTTCAAATTAGATATGGTTCATTAAAAATGGTCGATGGGAAAAGAATATAAAAAATACAATCATTTATATTTTACATTGAACTGGGTCAGCATTCTGATTATGTCAACAACACGGTTTATTTAACAATGAACAGTTATTGATTATGTGCATAACTATTACAAATTGGAAATAACTGGTAAACGGTTATTCCCTCCTTATCTGAAACTCGTTTGGTTATTTGACTCACTTCATACATGAATAAACTCAATAATTTTAAAGTTCACAAAATACCATTCAAGTAATGAGTTAGGATACAATAGTTTGAAGCTGCGACAATGTTTTATGAGATTTTGATGAGGTAATTGCAAAATAAACTTGCTAATAGACACGTAGAAATTTCAGATTATTTCTAAACGGAATAAAGATCGTGTATCTTTGAGAAGCTTTGTAGTAGAATATTTCCCTAGATTTTTCTAGTTGCTCAACTGACGTCAACGGCTTTCAAACTTAAAAAGTATCCACAAACTAATTTATCGTTCATCTTTTTCAATAATTTCTTCCTTTCCAATATTACTCTAATTTAATCATCATCCTTCTTATCATCAATAAAAATTTTCCTATCAATTATAGTCTATGTCAGAAGAATTAAAAGTTAAACAAAGAGAATTACAAGATTTAAAAGAAAATAATAAGTTAAATTCATCGTCACTTCCAATGGATTCTAAAACTATAGATTTATGCATAAATCAAATGAATTTATTACAAAACGCTGTGACAGCACAACAGCACCAATTAAAATCAAGAACCAATAAGGAATTTCTCTTATCTGACCAGTTGGAACAATTAGAAGTAAGTGACTATATCAGTCTTTTATTAAAATTGCATATCTATGATCATTATAGGAAAGATACATCTTTGAAAAAGTCACCAGATTTACTTTATTTACACTTTGTATCACTAAGATTACAGATCATTTCCAATAGTTGGTTTGTTACACATAATAAAATCTGGTTAATTGTCTGCTAGATGTAGTTTGTCTAGATAGTAGTTCAAATTAATAAGGCACCGTTTTACGATTAATATTGTGTTATATGATTCGTAGTGTTGACAGAATCTAATATTTAGTCAAATGCCTCATTTAATGAAGCCAATTTATTTAATGCCATCTGATCAAAATAATATTTTATAAGCTTTATGTTAATACATAACGATTTGAACAACACAGTTCAACTGGCTATATCTATTCTGATCAAAAGGTGTTGAACATGAATTTAGTGTTTTACGGTATTCACCAACAAGATATTTTCACAATCTCAATATAATGAACCACATTTCATAACATTTAAATTTATGTTGATTGACACTGGAATCACAGCTATTACCACTAATATATTCAAAGCAATTAATATTTGTATTTATCTGTTAAATATTTTTTATAGTATATTTTCTCTAACTTGAACGTGTACTAACTAACAAATGAATATGCATATATTATCAATACTTTAGGTATGGATAACGAATGAAGCAATTCAATTACTTAATGAACCTATAGCAATAAATGGGAAGTATTTAGATGAAAAACCGATTCCGCTAACAAATCAACAACAAACATTACAAAATCGTATGCAATCTATTTATAATAAACAGAAAGAATTAAATTCATTAAAAGAAAAATTGAGTCATATTAAAACTTATAATGATCAACCAAATATATTAACAGAAGATCAACAAAATAAATTACAGATCCGTACAAATGGTTTACAAAATAAACTTAATAAATTGGAGAATGATGTAAAATTAAAACTTGTAAGCTTCACTTTTTTTTCTTTAGAATACTTGACTGTTTTAGACTACAATATGTGCTTTATTGAGGTAAATGTCAACAATAAAATGTTGCAAATATACACATTCTACTATTTATTCGATAGTAGTATATATCAAAGGCGAAAAGTTTCTTTATTCCTAGTTATAGAAGACTAATTACCTATACTGTTCATTGTTCAAATTTATCAGTGGAATGAGCGAATATCTTAGTAAAATGTTATCAATTACTTATTTGGCACGTTAAATTGAATAGACAAGTGTATACTTTAAAAATCAAATTTGACTGTAATCTGACCTTAGATTCCTAACAAAAAGAAAGCATAAAACAATCATATCGTTATAGCCATAATCCCATGTATGATTATTAGATGTTCACTGGTGAAAAGTTCCAAACTGCAAAAAAAAATCTGTGCAGTTCCCTTTAGTATCGGTGGCAATCCAACTGAACTATGTATGCTACTGCTTAAGTCTTACTTATCGTATCGATATTATCTAGTTGCTCATACATAACTTGTGTTTAGAATCATTTTCTAGATTACTATCTAGTAAGTGTAAGCTGACAGTTTAATTTCTACCCCTTAATCATGTGAGAAAAATCACTAAATTTGTAGGGTATGTGATAATAAATCATGATTCTCTCAAGATATTTTCGATTAAGTTAAATGTAGTCACAGTATGATGTATGTTATTTTACATTTTCTGCATTATCTTGACAAAAACCTCATCTTTATCATTTGATTATGAATATTCCTGTCCTTTATTGTACATTTTTCCTTTTGATTTTGTTATTCAAAGTCTCATATTGATGATATTCAAAAGGCTTATTCAGCGGCACAAAATTCACTGGATACTTACAAACATTCATGTGATGATCTAGAGACTCGTTGGTTAAATCTACAACAAGTTTTATCTACTATCGAAGTAAAAGATCTCCTCAAATCATCATCTTCATCACCAATATCATCATCTCCACCATCTTCACCATCCATTACAAAACCATCAAATCAAATCAAACAAATACGTGATCAAATGATTGAATTACAAAGTGAATTATTAGAATTAACTAATCATTCACCAAAATATTTCGATTCAAAGGATCATTCATCTAATATCAATTTAGTTCATCAATTAAATCAATTAGAATTATTAATTCAATCATATGGTGATAAAAAATCACAACAATCAATGCAAAAACTTTTTGATGAATTACAATTAACAACGAAACGATTAGAAACTATTGAACAAGCATTAGAAATGAATTTTGAAATGTTTCAAATAAAAGATATGGATCCATTTTCAATACATTTTATTAAAAAATTAAATTATATTTATATGGAATTACAAAATATCCAATTGAATATTAATGAAAATCAAAAAATAATTCATTTAAATTCAGAGACAACACAACACAAAATTGAATATTTTCAAGAATTGTTAAAACAGGTACGTTTTTCTATTGTCAGTTTTAATATTCTAGATCTTATATCGTCGTATGAATTTTTAACTATTGATTCATTCATTTTGTTAGTTGCGTAACTAGTTAGCTTCTTAACTTCCATATAAATACTTTATTCAGTAGTTATCAGTTGTGCTTACTGTTATAACTGATGAACTTGTTTGCCCTGTTTATTGTATAACGCAATGACACTGCCTATTAGAGAGCAGCGAATAATCGATCGAATCAGTGACGTATAAACACGTGCGAGCAACCTAGAGTCTTGATTGGTTTCACTTCCTGCTAAGCCCTAAGAAAACCACATGGTTCGGTTTGGGCACCCGGTCAGTATCACAGCCCTCACACATATCGAATGAGATTTGTGTGGCGCACATGTATTTGGTGCCTCCTTGTACCAATATCTATGTGTTAAAATAAATAAAATAAGCCCATAACACCAATCTCAGCCTATGCAATATGAATCATTTAGTTCAAACATACGGGGTTTATATACTAATCAAACCGACCACAACGTACCATAAAACAGAAAATAACATTTGTATAATATTTAGTCAAAAGTGGCTGTGAATGAGGGATATAGTAATTAATAGACAGGCTATAACTCAAGAATGGTAAATCGTATAATAATAGGTCAAAATAAAACTCATAATGAGAGGGATATGAATATGAACAGTTTAGTTAAATGACAATTATACGATAAAAATATACTCATAGTATTGGTCCATAAATGGATCCTAAACATTACCATTGATTATTCTTATCGGGATATAACACTTACGATTCAGGGTTATCATATTTTTATTTTTTTAGAATAAAAGTATAATCGAGCTTATAGATTGAGATCAAATGAACACCTTATTTAGAATTAGATCAATTAAGGAAGAGGATTGAATATTTTAGTTGATTTTAAATTTTACTCATTCATTTATGTTGTTTGTTTAAATCATAATGATTCTCTTTTGTTTTTATTGAATGTTACCTTCGTATTATTGAGAAAACTTACAATTTGAACAAAATCATTCAACTAGTGACTAGTATTTTTAGATTCGAACAGTTTGTGATATAATTGAAGTCCTTCATTATCATTAATAAAAGTAGTCTTATTCATTTCATAACTTTACTAATTTAACAGGTTGTCATAAATTGTCGCGGAAAATTAATTCAGAGAAGACAAAGTAAAAATAATATATCTGACAATAACTTTTAATAAACTAGCAATCCGGATTGTGAGTAATATGATAGATGTAATGAATACTAGACTTAACATATTATTTGCTTTATTTTCAGAAGGTATCAAATCTATGCATCATCTCTCATATTAGTACTAAAATTGCGGTATAATTTTAGCTGCTACTTTATCATATCACATATGCGTAAAAATTTACCATTGTGAATGCGCACTGCTGAGGAGTCCCATACTAGGACGAAACGGCCGTCCAGTGCTTCCAGGTTTCCCATGGTGGTCTAGCTTCAATTGACTTATGATTTCAACAAGTGAAATAACTTTTTACTAAAAACTAATGAGTAGTTTCGATTTCTCATTTGTAGTTCTGTTTAATTTATTACCCTTATTTATTTAAAACTTTCTCACTTTCAATGTACACCTTAGGAGTAATTCTTTTAGATTATCCTCTAGGAAACCAATATTAAATTGGTTTTCCAATAAACTTAGTTTCGAGACCTTAATCTACTCAACAAATTGAAAGATATTCACGGTCAATAGAACTTACCATCAGCTTCTTGCAAATTTACGGCGTACATGATATTGTTTTGTTTAGAATAAATGCAAATTATTCCTGGTATTCTCAAACAAACTCAAAACTGGCAACTGTCGTTTTAAATACAAATCCATATTTGCAATAATTAATCGCTAAATAGTAATTACTATAATCTTTGTCTAGTCCTTAAGGCTGATTGAATTCGCTTGATCAAGTAACAATGTAGTTACGAGTCTAAGTGACTCGATACTGTGTGTTGTTAGGTAGTTGAAAGGAAATATATGACCTAAATTTAGTATCGGTTGGTGCTCATCAGGAATTTGTACTTACAATCTTGAAAGAATCAATGCTCTCTGTGGAATCCGAACATCTCAGACCGTAAAGCTATATGACTATCTGGAACAAGTAAAAGTAAAGTCATACTGCTTCCGTTTTTATTATTTTAACTGTCTGTCCTCATTTTATTCATTTTTACTACTGTAAGCCAATAACTTTTATGCTATGAAAATCCAGCCAACCTTTTACTTCACCATATAAAATATGACTTTATTAGTAGATCTTGACAATAATAAAGTTTAAACAATATAATATTGGTTACTACTATATGACCTGTTCATCTATGTCTATCATGGAGCTGATATACGCTTTAGTCAAGAGTTTATTGATGTTCAGTGCATTAGAAATAGTATTCTTCACAAACTGACATCAACCAGAGAATCAAAGAAGACCGGATGATAACTCAACTCTAGTTTAAATTCCTCAGCAGTTAGCAATCATTGACCCCACATTAAATTATATTTTTATTCCAATCTACTAATTTTTACATTATTTTCTTGTCAATTCAAAGTTCTACTACACTGTAAATTAGTTTACATTAATTTACTCCACAGCTTAATGACTGCAAGCAAAATGTGAATGATGGACGTTCTGAATTAGCTGATAAAATGGTATCATTGCCAGATGAAAGGAAACTTAGTCCAATTTACTCAAATTTCTTAACAACCCTGAATCAATATGACACGCAGTGTAATAATATGTCGAAACAAATAGATCATATTATTAGCGCATTAAATAATCGCGTTAAACAAACAGAACAAATGGCAACACTTCGTCAAAATATTAACAGTTCATTGAAAAAAGTTAGAGAATCTCGTCAACTACCTTTAAATGAACAGTAAGTTAACATTATCTTTAGTGCTCTCTTCAAGTAATATATTGTATTCCCTTCCAAATTTGTTCATCGGACCTTCGAAAGCGAAAAATCACTGCTAATAAGCAATACAATGTATACATATTTTTTTTGAAGATTGGTACATTTTATCTGTATGTTTATATCTAGAAGTTTTCAGTTTCCGGAACTATTGGTTCCCTACAAGGAAAACAGCAAACGTTGGAGAATTGAATAGGATTCATGATAAACATCATATGTGATGACTGAATTCGTACAATCTACTGACCATTTAAAAATGAATACGCTAGTATATCACAACACTCACATTTCTCGATCTCTGAATGATACCAGGTTTCATTAATCCAGATATTCGTTGTCTATCTCTAGTCCTTAAGAGCACTTCATGGGAATATATAATTCCCATGTCTTATTTTTGCACATTTGACCAATTGTTCATCGATGATTGGATAATCAACAATATAATTTTGTCTAAAGTGGCATCAAGACTATCTTAAATAAATCTGAAATGCGGTTGCGTTACAGCCCAACTCTATTTGTGATAAAGTGTTTAGTTGAAACATTCAATAACAGTTGTTTACCTTTTTAAAGGAGCATTCGTCTTCTTGATAATGAAAAGTCCCCAAAACACAAAATATTTATTTTAAATTTACACAGTTAGCATACATAATGAATCACTTAAAATGAGTCTAAAGCAGGAACATTCATTGCAATCAAGATTTGTTTAGTACCTATTTGCTTTTTTAGTGATTTTATTGTATAATATTAACTTGTAATACAAAACAAGTATTGTTTAGTATTTTGTTATTGCATTTTGTTTCCATTAACTTCCTTTCGATTTTTCTCTCTTCTCTTAGATATCTTCAAAACGAATTAGATGTATTAGATTCGAATATGAAATCGTTGAAAGAACTAAGTGAAGAGCTGTGTAAATCACCAAATGATTCATCTGACAAACAGATTAGTTCACATCAATTAGAATATGAAATAAAAACATTAGAGAATGTAATACATGAAGAATTAGCCAATTCAAAATCTGTTATATCACCTGAAAAACAAGCTGAACGACTGATATCACATTTACGTGATACTCTAGTTGAGGTAGATGTTACATATCATAATCATATGTTGTTTTTTTTTGTTGTTTGAGTATGTTTTCTGTTTTGCCTCCTTTGAGTGAACTTAACAAAATAACTTCTGGAAACTGATGAATTGTGTATTTCTCAGTATTATGTGATTAAAACTCCTACAAAAAATTGAGCGCATAATCTATCGATGTTATAATAAGCTTATTTTTTCATTCGACTGAGGAGCTTATAAACTATCTTCCTTATTTCTTAATTAACTTAACAAACATCATGACTTCATAAATACAGAATTTTTTTATAATTTTGTCAAACGAATAAAACTAAAAATGTATCGTTAATTGTTCCGATGTTAAGTAAAGTTTCGTAAACGCATAAGGTGATTGTTTAAAGTAAGAAAATTTAGATCAAAATGATATAGCTTTGATACGTCTGGTATATCCATGAATATTGAAGATTTACTTTCTGAGTATTAAATTAAATAAGTAAAAAAGGGGTAGAATACTAACTAAAATTGGATTATGCTTCTTAGTCGTTCTGTTGATACCTTATTGATATTAAATGACATTCCTGAATTCGTACCTTATTTGTTTAATTTTACTTACCTTTCCGTTGTCTTATTTCGTCTGAATGTGCGTTCAGTAACGCAAGAGATATCTAATTAATGTAAATTTAACTTTTGTGTTAGGTAAGATATAGTATACGCTATTCAGTGGTGAATTATGAAGAAAATTCAACAACCGTGGAAATAAACCATTGAACCGACCAAACCTGTATATCCACTCAACTACTATGACATTCCTGACTTCATTTTACAGCTTTTAAGCACCAATAATATAATTATTGGATCGATCCAGAGTGTTCCTCAAGAAAAAACTCAGAGGGGACCTGAAAACACTGGAAAACATTTTTTCTAATCAGCATTGAATGAAAGTATCTCAGAAACATCTAGAAAGTGAAGAGTCACGGGCTACCTTTCTGATTGGATGATTAATTATCATGCTATTATGCCTAGTACGGTTCCAGAATCTTCCAAAAGCCAAAAGCCATCCGAAATGCTATAAATACCCTCGATTTTTTGTACCCAAACTAACCTCGGAGTAAAGAGTTCTTTCCATAATTCGCGCTTTTTCTCTCGTGTCCAAGTTGTCGTGTATATTTAGCCTGTGGTTGTTAGAAGAGCTTAGGAAACTAATTCAAGTGTTCAGTCAGAAGATTTGTCAATTATCATTATTGAATCCAGTCTTTTTTGTAAAGTTCCTAATATTTTCTTAATGGTACATATACTAGGTAAGTCAATTCTAGGCCTGACAACACCCATTTCTAACTACCATACATACATACATCCACTAAATAATCATTAATGTAATCAGGATCACTTGAATTTCTAGATATAAGTTAACAAACTGCAGTTTAAAAACGATTCCGAAAGTTCTTAAATGTACCTTGTTATGATATGAAGTAATTAGAATGTAAATATCAAAGAGGAATATAGTCTTCCTGAACAATCTCCGAAATTATTCTCCTACTAATTACAATATCTCGATTTGAACAATTCATGTTCTAACTAGTGACTAGCTTCAAGACGTAACTCCTGTAGTCCTAATGAAAAGCCATGATCATTGGGGTCCAATCCGTGTCAGGTTTAAGACAGTTATTCACCTCAGGCAATCGACTAAAAGGTTCAGTGTTCACGTGCATGCATAATCTTAGATGCGCTCTTCTAAGGTATCTCATACTAGGACAAAATGATGGTCTAGCGTAGATTAACTTTTGATTTCAACTGGAAATTCTACATATATTCCTTAAATCAGTTTCAGCTTGGAAAGGACAGTAGGTTAGATAGATTGTGTTAGTCCTGACAATCATAGTCTTTCAGTTGATCCAATTTTCTTTTCAAATTATTTGTACATTTATTCAAGTGTTTAATTATCAAACAATCCTTTTATGCTTATCATAATTAGGTTCAACATGATCTTCATATACTTTCAAATCAATTATCATCATCATCATCATCTAATCAAGAAATGATTACATCAATAATCGATGATTATCATACATTAAATAGTCGTATATTAGCAAGATTAGATCATTTTGAACAATTAGATCAATTAATTCAATCTATACAAAATAAATTAATTCATAATAGATTAAATAATGAAAAACAATTAATTAAAAATGATTATAATTATGTTTATAAAGAAATACAATTTAATTTAAATAAATTTCATTTATTTAATGAAAATGAAAAATTATTTAATGAAAAAATATATCAAATATTAAATTGGTTAAAACAAAAACAAATTTGTTTAAATGAATCCATACAAATAACGAATACAACAATAGGTAATACAACAATTTTAATCGATTTAAATGAAAAATTAAAACAATTAAAAGTAAGTTTATTTATTGAATTATTTATATTTTATTATCAGAAAGGGGTTTTTGTGAAGATTGTAGTAATTTCAATAGTTGAGATCAGAAGTCAATTGAAGCTAGACCATCATGGAAAAGAAATCTCACAATAGGACGAAATGGCCGTCCAGTGCTTGAAGGTTTTTCCATGGTATGGTCTAGCTTCAAATGACTCATGATCTAAACTATTGAAATATTTATATTTTGTTAATATTAAAATTTATTATGAATTCATTTTGATATTGAATGAATTTTTGCATGTTTATATTATAAAATGATTGGAATAATTTACTTTTATAGTTTTATTCTAATAATCCCTTGTCTTGTCTTTTGCTTAGATATATAACATTAAATATAAGTATATTTACTTACGGTAAGAGTAGAGGATATTCGTAGGTTACTAGTATTTGATCATAGGTGTCTTCGAAGCACTACTCGTATATCCTGGGACCATCGAGTAAGTAACTCAGTTGTTAGGAAAAGGGTACTAGGTAAGGGTAGAAAATCAATTGATAAAGTAGTGAAACTTCATCAGTTGAGATGGCTGGGACACGTGTTACGTATGCCCAACTACCGACTGCCTCGACGTGCGATGTTCTGTGGTATAGGAGTAGATTAGAATAAAGCTAGGGGCGGCCAAACCAAAACATGGCACAAGTCCATGAAATCACTGACAAATGGACTGAGCCATGTTGGTAGGTGTAGACTACTTGGTTGGGGACTGCGAGATGATAGCAACCGATGGTTAGAAACCCTGAATGACATGGCTCAAAATTGTTTGCAATGGCGCAGGTGCATCCACTCTTTGTGTTCTCCCAAATTCTAATCTTCTGAATTTATCATGTCCCTTTCTTTTTTTCTCTTTCCGAATTTATTTGACCGGATTATACTCCTTGAATAACATCTTCAAACACTAATGTTTCAGATTACTGCTTATACTCTTACTACCTCTAACACTACGGGATTTTAATCGACAACTGTATCTCTGTGCTAATGTGGTATGGCAACTCGAACTGATGTACGTACGTACGAAGTTCTACGTTGTTACTGACTGACTGACTTATATGCGGTTATTACATCTCATGAAGGAGAATAGACCTTCTACTAGGATTCAAATTAATAGTAGCATGAGTTTATTCAACTGCGATCTTGACAGAACATATTAAGTTTATTTAATATTTGATTATAGGAATAGTGCTTAATAAAATATATTACATAGTTGTACAACTATACATATATATTAGAATTTTTTTCTAATTATCTTACTCCATTCATATCATAATCCGTTGTTAACTTTTATTGTCATTATTTATATTACGTAATCTAGTATTGTAATCTTTTTATTGCATCATCATATTCATCCTTTGTTCATATATCCCCACGAAACTAATATTCAAAAATATATATTATGTTACAAAAGCAGTTTATTTAACCTCGTAAAGTCATGTTAGAACTAAAAATTTGTAGTTCTATATAATGAAAGCAATTAATACCTTTCAGATATATTCATTTTCACGATTTCACTTTAAATTTACCACAGACATATTGATGAAGATTACTCTGTTTATCTTTAATCTTTGGCAACTGGAGATCTTGTGATCGATTTAAATTATACTGATGCAAAGAATGAAATTATTTCAATTCATATATATTATTTCTTATTTGTTGAATAGGTGAAACGAAATGCACCATATATTTTTAGTGGCCCGGGATCTGACTCCACTTAGATCGTATGAATGATTGTCATTGAAATATAAATGTCGCCTGTCCTCGTATATTTCATCGACTTAAATCACGTTGGTAAATAACGGAATTAAATAACTCAAATACGAGAATGGATTTTCGAATACACATATTTTGTACACTCACTGATCTGGACAGGAAATGCGAGAGATGAAGTGAATAGAAGAGAGCAAAGCAAAATGACGCGCAGTGGAGAAGGCGTGTGAGCCAACTCCATTTAATCAAGCGTTAGTCAATATTTATAGCCAAATATGTGATGAATGAATTTGGGAATTGTATACACATATGTGCGCATAAAAAAAGTCAGGGTTGATAAGTGAATAGTTAACAAGGTCAAAACGTGACTCACGAAGAATGGATAAACTGACCTGTCCAGAAACTAGAATATGGTGTATGGGCTTGACACAGTAACCAACACTACATATCCTTCGAACTCTTCCTAGCATCTGTTCACGAATTATTTATTATTTTTTTGTAAACATTAACGGAATAAGATAATTTATTTTAACTAAAAATTTCTTTGTTGTCTCCATGTATACTGTTTATTCATTTTTTTACTGTTTTCACCTTTGTTTTGTTTTTCATATTCAGAGTTTATCAGAAGACATTGAAAATTATCACACAACTATTGAAGAGATTAAATTAAGCGGTGAACAGTTATGTGAATCAGGTAGATGTAAGTAGTACAATGATTTATTTTTAACCAATGATATTTTCAGAAGAGGTTTTGTGGAGATTTTAGTAATTTCAATAGATGAAATCATGATTCAATTGAAGCTAGGCCACCATGGAAAACCTGGAAGCACTGGACGGCCGTTTCGTCCTAGTATGGAGTTCAACTAGGTTTTGTGTGAGATATCAGCTCACTGAAGACAATGGTGTACGGTGGCGCATTTTCGTGGATTGGCTGAAGTTAGACATTAACACCGTTAGATGTTGGTTCAGTGGTCTGATTGGTTAAGCGCCTGGCGCGAGACTGATAGGTCCTGGGTTCGAGTCCCGCGAGGCGGGGTCGTGGGTGCGCACTGCTGAGGAGTCCCATAATAGGACGGAACGGCTCTCCAGTGCCTCCGGGTTTTCCATGATGGTCTACCTTCAATTGACTCATGATCTCAACTGTTGAAATAAACAGTTTAATTGAATTCTTTTATATTATGTCTAGTAGGAACTACCTGGCTTCTCAGAAATTGGCAGGTGAAGTGAATAGGACGTTCATACTACTCTGTGTTTAAAATTTAACTCCTCTAACCACTTAGCTTTTATCTACACATTAAGATACAAATCATAAATTAAAATTGAATCTTTTAGAGTAGATAGATTGTGACCATTAGTAATAATTTTAATAATGATAATAATAATAAAAATGACAGTAGAATCCAGTACACATGTTTCCTTCTGTTTGGGACTCGTTAGCCGGATGTACCTACATTCCAGTGTTAATGTTTACACCGGAACTCAAATAAAATGGAATTTATCTATTCAACAAAGATGTTATTAGATGTAAAGATCAAAGTCACTAAGTAGTTTAAAATAAACTTATATGTTATTATAAGCAAATTATGAGTAATTACCATAATTATAAACTTTATTCCATGTTTTCTTTCCACTATAGTTCTTGTAAATGAAGATTCTATACAAAATCGATTAGTAAATCTAAGTGATATTTATGAAGAACTTCAATCAGATACAAAACGAAAATTGTTTATTTTAGAATCTGCTTTGCCTGTAGCGCAATCTTTAACATCCTCTGTGAATACGCTTAGTTCACGTTTGCTTAATGTTGAATCACGGCTTAATGGATTACTAGAAATCAATACAAAAGACGTTTCTTCAGCCCAATTAGAAAAGTCATTGATAGATCAATTAGAATATGAAATGATCAATGGACTAGAACCACAATATCAACAAGTTCATAGTCTTTGGAATCAATTAAAACAAATATGTAAACCTATTGATCTGTTTATTAATCCTTCAACATTGACAACAACACATTTCCCTAATCATTCAGATGCTAGACTTGGACATGTAGAACAAATCGATAATGAATTAAGACGATTTGATGAATTCAATGAAAAGGTTAGTTTAAATTAGCGTTATATTTTGCAATCCATTCTATCAAAGACGTTATCGAATTCATAAATGTAATATTGTTCGTCATTTAAAATAGATACCACAGTAGAATGCAAGAGCTCATCAACACGATTTATTAAACATAACTTTCACCTCTAATTGACCCAGTAGCAGAAATATTGAAAACTAGAGAGCTATGAACATCTGTGTCGTCTTAAGTTGACATTGTCAAACATCACACATCTACGACCCTGCACAGAGTGGAAATTATACGCTTCACGCCTCGTGACAAGCACAAAGTGTTTAAGTCACTGATTCGGAATCTATTGGTCTACATTTTGAAATTCAGTCAATTTTCACCGTAGAGATATTGTCACCTAACACTTTCATTTGGCTGCTATCTCACTCGCTACCCAGTTAAATTCATAAGCAATGATCTCTCACTAAGGAATTCATCGAAAAGCAACTCATTAGTAACCCCACGATCATTTCTCACTTTCAAATACGACTTAATATGATCGAGTCAAACAATAATGAATGTTCTACTTGGATGACATGTCCTAACCCAACTGTTGATTAACGAAAAAGAAAATAATATCAATGGTGAAGAATAGTATTTTATAATGCGTACGAAGGTGGACAAATGTGAAAATGCTAGATTAGCTATCGGACATATAGTCGAAAAACTATTTAAACTAATGAAGTCAACATCAATTTTCCATGAATCTGTTGTTAACAAAATATCTTATAAGTAGCAAGTAGTATTCATCATTGTACTATGTGAAAGTCAGTGCATGTCATAGAATCTCACATTGTATCCTACTTGTCTATTCTATGTTCATTGATTTGTCTATTTTTATCTTTTATTTGTATATAGCTTACCGATTTAGCTAAAATTGTTGGTAGCAATCGTCAAAAAGCTAAACAATTAATGCATAAATTAGAAATCAAATCACAATGGTTAGATTTAGCGTTGAAACGTTTTGATCCGAAAATATCCACTACACCATCATTAGATTGGGATAATTATTCTGATGAAAATCATTTTATAATTAATGAATCATTGGAAAAAATGCCAACTATACATTCACTTGGTACTGAATTTCCTTATTTAGCTGTTCTACCATATCAACCTGTTATGCTAGATAAACTACATGAAAGAATAGAACAATTTCAAGGGAATTGGAAAAAATATCAAATTGATTTAACTCAATTATGCGATCAAATTCATGATATAATACAATCATCTGCATTATCAACAAGTTCTACTAATCAGAATAGTGCTATAAAAGCATCATTATCATCATCGCCTATAAAAACAAACAAATCTTTCGTAACATTGACAACGGATAAATTTTATCATGAATTAAGTGATGCTGTGTCTAGTGTTTCAAAACAAATGATAACACTTGATAATCGGTTAAGTCAAACAGAAATTAAATTTGCTGAAGTTTATCCATTAGCTAAATGTTTTACAACTGATATGTATGAATTTCAAAACTGGCTTCAACATATTGAAGAAGCAAAAAATGAAATCGCTGACAATTTATCAGATTCCAGTGTTACAGTTGATGATTTAGGAGGTAATCGTAAACGAATTGAAATGATTAAGGTAACTTCTAGTGTTTTAAATTGAAATATAACTGATTCATTTTGTTGAAAGACGAATTCGTTAGTTATCTGAAGTCAATGACTAAAAATATTAACAAAATTCCAAAATACTGATATATTCTAGTCTAATCAAATCGAATTACTTAAATGAATGAGGATAATTTATGTACATGAAACCACTCAGCAAATCCCTTATCATTCATTTATTAACTGAAATGGAACTCATAAAATATCCTCCACTGTTCCATGATACTTTGTAGTGTCGAATCACTAGACATCGTCAAATTGAAGCTTTTTGTACATAAAATCTATTTTACCTGGAATAAACTAGCAGAATTTAACATTATATGTATCATCACTTTAAATTGTATATATTTCCTCGGGTCTCTCTATTTTCCTATTGATTTATTGAAGGCCTAATTTTATGTCATGAGTTAGCAAGCAGTGACAGTTTCCACAGTATAACTTATTACCTAAGTTGTTTAATTGGAGGGGAGCAATAAAAGAGTCACAGTTACACTGGTTTACTTCTTAAAGGGTTAGAACTATCAATTGAAAAATATACTTAGCTACTAAAACTTAACTATCTATTCTTTATTTTTTAACCGTTATCGATGTTTTTTTATAAAGGCTCTTCAGTGCGTTGTTATCCCATCGCCATTGGATATACATGTAAATCTAGGCGTAATCCTATTTCCCTGATGATTGGTTTATAAGAAATTGTATTAAATATTTATTTTCAGTTCATGATATGATTAATCTATACTTTATGTTTATTGCTTATTTTGTAACAAACAATTTTCGGATCACTGTTAAGTATAGGTGTTTAGGTTATTAAATCATTTAACTAAATATCATCAATAATTTGAGTAGGATAAGAGTATATCAGATATTTTTATAATTTAGAACTCTGTTTATTTAGGTTTAAGGAATCTTGTTAAAATAAACACATCATTAACTACATACATTACACCATTCTATCCTATAAGTCTTATAATATGCATGTTACTACCTGGCTATATACATTGAAGTAAGTGTAAATGTAATAAGTTTGAAAAGAAAAATTCCTGAGAATGATAATTAGCCGTGTAAATTACTGAACCACACTTCTTGAAAGTTATTTCTTTATATTAACACAAGAAATACCAACTCTAGAAATATCATTGAACAATCAAAATATAGGAACTAATTTATTATCATCTAACATTCAATATAAAGTCCCTTAGACTAGTGGTTATATTGACCAATGATATATGATCAGCATTAAAGATCAAACGAATATGATACACTTAACTGCTCAATGACTATTCAGTGTAAATAAATATTTTCTTACATCTTTCTAATTCTTATGTTTAGAATTTAGATAATGAGATTGAACGTCAAAAATCTGTATTGGATAGAATTTTAAGAACAAGTGGACCATTATTATCTTTAATTGCTCCAAATGAAGCTAATACTGTTCGTTTACAAGTTAAACAAATCTGTGACCATTATGCTAATTTACGTAAATTGATTAAAACTCGTGCAATCAAGGCAGAAGCCAATTTGAAACAATCAGATGAGGCAAGTTTGTGTATTAGTTTTGTTCTATGCTGTACATCTTCATCTACTTTTACTATACACAGTGAAGAAAAAAACATCTCTAATATTGTCTGCATTACATACGCTCTTGAATGATTTAGAAAAGTTTCTGCCTTTTTTTTCTTAAAGTAATATGGTTTAATGAAAATTAACCGTACGTTTTTTTCAGCTGGAGAACAACGGTTAAATTACCTGGTAGAATTACAATAATATCTCATTTGGTAATATATCACTTCACAATCTCTTACGTTGTTTTATAAATGATAAGGTGTAGTATAGATCTAGTGTTATATCTTTCTTTGTTCCTCAATGATTTAATCTAGAATATTTTAAAATTGAATGAATAGATTTGAACTTAGACAGTTACTACAACTAATAGTATTGATATTGATAATATAACTGTGTACTTCCTCAAATGGATCATAATCTTCATGTTTAACAATTGTGTGAATGTCTTTCCTGTAATATTTCAGTTTGTCGAGCAATTAAATTCAATGTCAGACCTGTTTTCTGCTATATCAGAACAAGCTGTTAGACTAGGTGTTCCTCTGGAAGTATCTGGTACAACTGTTAAACCGTCCATATTATCTAACGTTCAAAATGAAAGCTCAAAACAGTTACTTGACCAACATCATGCTTTAGATATGTTGGGCCGAATACATTCAATGACAAGTGTTCAACCAGATCATTTACAAGAACATATTAGTGGAACATCTGCTCTTATGGAAGCATTGGAATGTCGTTTACCGGAACTGGAAGCACTTACTATTAGTATTCGTGCTCAATTGGAGTCGAAACCAACTGTCAAAGAGTCGACTACCACACGTGAACCAGGAACAGTTGAATTAATTGAATCGGTTGATTTAGAAGCAGGTTAGTATGATTGTTGTATTGTATTCTCCATAGTCCCTTCTTCAGTGTTACTCATGTTCTGCAGATAAAATAACGTATTCTTTCCTCTCAAATAGACATTGGTTCATACAAGGTTCATCTGAAAGCGGTACTGAAGAGTCCACTACCTGAACGAAATAGGTGTCCAGTACTCCAGATTTTCAGTGATTGTCTAACTAAAGTCAGTCCATAATGTAAACAACAAACTGAACAACTTATTCACATTATTTATTGAATTGATTCTCTGAAAAGTTTGCTGAACTCTGGGACTTTTCCTGAAAATCGCATACATTTCAAAAGTATTTACTGTTTATTATATCAGGGTTTGAAGAACCGCTGAGTTGGAGAACTCCAGTACTACTTACTGATTAGCTAGCTTAAAAATACTGGGTGTTGTAACTTCAAAAATTAAAGTTACTGACTTCCAGTAAAACACTATTCCTAGATGTACGGGATTATGTTGTAATTGTAGGTCAGATACTACTCGGAAATAAAAATTGTTAAAATTTAAATTTTGTTTATCTGTACAAGCCAAATTATTCTGTTCAGTCAGGTTTAGTGAAAACTTCTGACTGTTCTACTATTTCTCTTTCTAAACTTACGCAACGTATTTATTTTCCAGGCCAATTGTATGCTTTACATAGTTCCAGTAAGCATTTATGGTGCATGTTTTGTATAATTTAGATAATTTTGTTTTCTGTTAGTATTTGTTTTAAGAAATCGTATATACATTTATAGATATGCATATATTCTTTCTTAATGGTTATAGAGTTGAATGAAATGACTGCAACAGTCTATTATTCATGTAAAAGCATGCTTAATTGGTGATAGTAATTTTATTTAATAGTTAATAATTAAATGTAAGCACATGTTATTAACACAAAACTGTGTAAATATAATTTTCACATCATACTGCAGTTAGCCAGAAAACCGTTAGAAATCAAGACGTATTAGATAACTGTTTTGTTCTGGTTTAGAGCTCCTCATTGGCGTACACTAGTGACAACGCATAGGATTTAATACAAACTATTTAGAGTTGCAGCGAGTAGATTAACAATTGATCTGATGATCCACATTTTCATATTTAGTAGGTTAATGATATAAATTGATGGCTATCCGTTGGTACTAGTGACTTATTACTATATACATGTATATAATCTGAGTGAGAAGATGAGATGTTCCCAAAAATATTAGACCACTGTGGAAATCAACTTAAATTCTGAATTTTCACAAACTTCAAATTATAAGGTGTTAGTTTGTTGGCGTAGCCGACAGAAAAACAGTCAGAGGGAAATTTCACCTATGAAATAAGTGAAGGATAATGAATTTTCAGTGAATACAGTATATCGAAAAATAATACACAAATACGTCAAGTATGAATTTTAGTAACAAACACGAAATAGATTAACGTTGTTCCACAATTAAGCAAGACATCCAAGGTAAATTGAACTTCAAGGAATGAAATTCGAAAGAAGGAATACATTCTGAAAGAACAAAGAGGTACTGTTACCAGTAAAAGATAAACAAAAATATTTGAATAAAAGCACAAGTGGATGGGATAGATAGTTCATTGAGTTAAAAATACAACAAATGTTCTCAAACTACTGAGGATTATTAAGTAGTACTAAGTTTACTAAAATAACACGTGTATATCCTTTTCACTTGAAGTTTTTGATGTTTCACTATTGAGGATTCTGATTATTCGAATAATTATTCTCGACAGAGGTCGTTTATGTCATTTTGTACATGATCGTTTTTCTTGATGAAAAAAGTAGTCGTTTTCTTATATCTATCCAGTCTGTTTATATGTATCGAGGTTTATCAACATATAATCACTATTTTGTTCTCGTTATTTCTAAACCAATTCATAAATGTTGTGCAGTTTTAGAATTTTCCGTAATCAGTCCTTTTAACTATTCAATTGTAACATATTTCTCATCCCTACGTTCAATTAAAGGATCTGCATGTTAAATGTACTGATTACTTATCGATACCTTATAATTTCAATGGATGGGGATTTTATTTTGTTTTACTTTATTATTTGTTGTAATTTTTCCTTTATTAACCTTTTTATTTTGTACTGAAATGCTGTAAAAAGAATACTTTTTTATGTTTATGCACCCTTTCATTTTATAAATATGTACATGTGAATGTGTTTGTGTGTATATATTTGTTCTACACGATTAGTTAGATAGTCAGTATGGCATCGTGGAGATTGTTCAATTTCCTTGAAATTATGAATTGATCTAAGTCGGATCAACACTGAAAACCTAGAGAAGTACCATACTAGTATAAAACAGCCGTACAGTTCTTCCAGATTTTCAATAGTGGTCTAATTTAGATCGGCTCATGATTTAAATGTAGTTAAAAAGTGTTCTCTAGTCCTTGATTGACTCCAGTTAAATAAAGGCGAATAGAATATAAGATCTTATTACTTCGTATACGTGCACTTACTCAGACGCATTAGTAATTACAGTATAAAATAAGTTAAATACAAAGTGTGTTCAGGATACATACATTTCATACATCCGGACATTAAGAATTAGACAAACAATGAGAGATGTGGTGAATAGGTTGATCATTGGAGTTGATAACATACACTAATTTTTTATACCCAATCTAAGAAATACAAGTAAATAAATAGACACACACGTACTAGTATGCACACGTATAAATAGGCTCAAGATGACAAGTAAATATTAAGTAACTAAGCTAAATATAAGGTGTACAGAATACTCAATGACTCGTCTGTCCAAAAATTGAAATAAACTCATATAGGACTTATTGTAGAGTCGCTAGAATTGTCTGGTATATTCATGAAAACGAATAAATCATATAAGTCGAATTTATCCCGGTCATGCATTAGTATTTGTAGTTTCATGTTGTTGCTATTTTACTGTCGTCGTCTTCGCTATTTCTGTTGTTGTTGCCCTTGCCATTCAAAACATCAATACTTTGATCACAACTCTCAACTAATGAGCCTCAAATAAGACGAAAAATACATGGTTAGTTTCTATCTAAACCAGCGATAATATAATTCAGTTCGACTTTAAAAAAAGAACAATCACTTATAACTTTATATCATCACACTAATGCCGGGATTATCATGAAAATTTAGCTAGTTGAAAAAAGTATGAAACTATTTTAACAGATTACCTGAGTTTATATTATTTTAAAGCATAGAATGTAGCCACTCCAACGCTTCATTACATTCAATGGCATGTCAGTTGACTTTCATCCTTGATGAAAACTGACATGAATGCTACTATCATTATTCATATAAATTAGTACTGAAAGAGAGGAATAATTATTGTGTGGTGTGCTACTGATGTCCACAGATATAAGTAGTATGTATTACCAATCGAAAGTGGGACGTCTAGCGTCAGAAGATTGAGAAGATCGAAGAGAAGAGAACGAGAACAGAAAGCGATTGGTATGGAAATGAAGAAAAAATAAATTCCGAGACAATTAATCGAAATTTTGCAAATAAGGTATTTATTGTGTGGTTCTCAGATTTTATTAAGAGATTGTGTAATTTCATGCTCTAATACATCTAGTCATCACCGTTTGTGTTCTTGTTGACCACGATAGCTTCTGTGCGATTTATAATTGATTCCTCACAACCATTAAATAACTCATATTTGTCATGTGTGTATCTTTCTGAGACTGTTATGTATATAGTTTTAGGTCAACTAGTCTCTAAAATTCATTACCACATAGTAAGAAAAGTTCTAATATTTATAGTATTTTTTTTCTAATAAGATTCATAGAGTTTTCTTTACTCTACTTCTTATTATTTATCATTATTATTTATTAGTTTTGAAAAATGCTGAAAAACTTCAAACAGATTGGATACAATTACATAACAAATTAAATTCACGTGTAATTACACTACAATCAGCTTACAAAACATCATCAGAACAATTTTGGCCAATTACTTCAGATCTAAGAAATAGATTAGATAAAATTAAAGAATCATTAAATATTATCGGATCAGGTTGTAGTTTAAATGATCCGTGTATTCGACGTGATCCACTTGATTCAAATAGTTATAAAGAACAATGTAAAGATTTATTTGAATTAAGAGAAGAATTGAATGATATAAGTCAACAATTGAATGAATCCTATGAAGCTGGTCAGAAATTGATTAATTTAATTAATGGACAAATGACTGACAATTCAATACCATCATCGCTATCACAAACATCACTAATGCCAACAATAATGACTGATAGCTTTATTTTAAGACGAGATGAAGAACAAGCTATACGTAATGAAGTTGATTATGCTTTGCATGGCTTAAAAGTATCACAGGAACATCTTGTTGATAAATGTGAATGTTTAATTAAACAACTCAATGAACGTGAATTATGTGCCTCACAGTTTAAGGTAGGTCAATGAATAATTCCTTTTTTTTAAAGAAGTGATCATATTTAGTCTATATTGATTTGTTAAACTCTCCTCAATGTTCATTATATGTGAAAATTATATTTGAAATAATCTCAGTGATTGAAATTTTAATAATTCCAACGTTTCGTCCAGCACACTTGTCTGGACTTCTTTAGGATAACACTCAAAATCGTCAAAGAAATATATAGCGTTTTAAAGAGAACTGTGCGTTTTAATAATCAAATCAGATCAAATCTATACTGTGTTAATCCAATCATATTTAGATGCTGACTTTAGTAAAAAGGATAACATTGGTCAGTTAAATGCGAATTATGTGAAAAGTTCACGATGTGAAAATAAATAACTGAATGAATTGTGTGTATGTGAGTGTTTATGTCTGTGTAAGTTTGAGTTATTAATAGTAGATATTCTGTGTTAACTTGTTTTTATATGAACGAAAGATAAAAGTGCAAGTTGAAGGTTGAAAAATCATTTTCTGAATCATCGATGTGCCTATAAAATGAAAATTATCAAATACACAATTATCAGTTTAGGGATTGTGGAGATTGTTAAATTTTTGATTGAAATCATGAGTCAATTGAAGCTAGACCACCATCAGAAACCTGGAAGCACTGGACGGTCGTTTCGTTCTATTGCGGGACTCCTCAGCAGTGCGCATCCACGATCCCGCACCTCGCGAGATCCGAACCCGGGACCCATCAGTCTCGCGCCAAGCGCTTAACCAACTAGACCACTGAGCCGGCATCTAATGGCGTTAATGTCTAACCTCAACCAATCCTCGAAACTGCGCGACCATTCTCGGAGTTCTGGTGAGAAGCCAGTGGAGTTAATCCGCGTCAGGTGGAAACAGGTGTCTGCCCCAGTACAATGGCAGATGGTCGCGCAATCTCGTGTATCGGTTGATGTTAGACATTAACACCATTAGATGCCAGCCCAGTGGTCTAGTTTGTTAAGCGCCTGGCGCGAGACTGATAGGCCTTGAGTTCGAATCCCACGGGGTGCGGTATTGTGGACGCGCACTGCTGAGGAGTCCCATAATATAACAGAACGGCCGTCCAGTGCTTCCAGGTTTTCCATGGTGGTCTAGCTTCAATTGACTCATAATTTCAATCAAATACACAATTGTATTGTTAAAATAACCCACATTAACTTCAGTCAAAATAATGATGCATGTAAAATAAACAGGTTGGATAGAGAAAAGGTCCAATCACTTGTTAACGAATATTTGCCATGTAGTTGAATACCATCCTTTCTGTTCAAATTGTTCTTATTCGCTCATATATACAGTGCTTCTGTTGTCAATCTTTCCTTATGAGTGTTAAAACCTTTCTGAAGTATTCTTGTCCCTTCAAAATTGATTTTGTGTCATGTTTTCAACGCTATCGCCGACTTATTCTCAAGTTTCTTTAGGTCAACCGAGGATTTGAGAACACTTTTCAAACATTGTTTGTGTTCCTTCAACCTCACATTCAGTTGTCTTGAAGACTATGAAACTCATTTAGTCACTTTCTCAACATAGCCTATAAACTTCTATCGTCAGCTTATTACTTACATAATAGACATATTTGTGATAATTAGCTTGGTTTCATCAATCTTCTGAATACAATACTCTGACTGATGATTTTCATAAATGATGCGCAGCATTCAAAACACATCCTTGTCAAAGTTTTCAATTGTTGTGAAGAACGACCATAACATTTCAAGCCCTCTAACTGTAGATACTTTAAATTATGATTTCATTGTCATACCTTACAGCTAATTCTTTGTGCATCTCGTTAGGAAACATGAAGCATCAACCAAACTCTGTTGAAAATCTACATAAAAACACATTATTCTTGCTAACATTCATTTCTTAGTTCCAGTGCTAAAATTATTCATCACCTGTTTCCTATAATAGTCGACGGCCTATGCTCCTCCACGAGGGGTAACAGGCGTTAGTAAGTAAGTGTTTTCTATAATATATTTGTTAAGTGCCAACGAGTAGAAAATTAAATTTCTGACGTTCCGTGATTTAGTATGGCTCAATTCTTAATAGAATAACAAATTAAATTAACACAACTTTAAGTAGTACAAAGAAAGCAAAGCAGAATATTTCTAGTACAATCAACATTGAATATGTTTGATCAAGTTATTTTGATCATGGTTATTCTATGTGAGATCTAGCTGTGTGTATTTGTGTGTGTATTAATGAGTGTGGAAAATGTTATATTTATATGTTTGTGTGTTTGTTTATGATGTTAGATGTGAATAGGATTAATTGTATTGATAAGTGGTCCATAAAGGATGGATCGTTAAGCGCGGTTTCGTTTAACGAAATTTGAAATACTTCAGCCAATCGCATTTCCTTATAATTAGAAAACGTTTTTTGAATTATCTTGATATAATTAATATCGAGTTGAAGGTTTTTAAAGATAGAATGTATTGATAGCGCTAAATTAATTTGTAGAAATTCCAGTTTTGTAAGATTATTTGGAGGTCTTTTGTATAGATTAAATGTTATTTGGCACGAGTCACGAATTCAAACTCCAAACTATACAATATCTTACAGTCTACACATCCTTGTCCGTAGACACAATCGTAATTACACTAAAAAACATAATAATTTGAGTGCCCTCTACAATTTATTGACAGAACATAAAAGTGAGGTCTCCTAAAATTATGGGTCCAAATGATGTAACTCTTCGAAGGTTTCTTCACAAATGTTACTCCCCCCTCTGTGTACCAGTCCGTGTCTTAAAAAGTCGGTACTTTCAACAATAAAACTTAAAGCAAATCCTATTTACCTTGGCTTATGTAAATAATCATATATATGAACTACATCCACACAAAGTTTCCATCTCATAAAAGTCTTAATTATTATAACTTAGCATCATATTATACATTCGATTCAAGTGTTTCACTTGAATTTTACCGGATTAATAAGTTTATGCACAACAGATACACTCCAAATTTCATTGTATATTCGTAGTTACTTAAGTGTTAATAAAGTAGTATATGTCAAATAGGGGAAAAATACGCGGATGATGCAAGCATCGTGTATATATATGCCTTTTTCCCAATCTTCTTTCTTTTTATTCTAGTCTGATTTAATAAATTTAATAAAATGGTTGACGGAGCAGGAAAGTGTATGGGATAATTTTCAGCCTATATCAAATAATGTTGATATTGTTACGAAACAATTAAATGAAATTGTTCAATGGAATGATAATTTAATGAATAAACATTCCGAAGTAGAAGCATTAAATTGGTTAGCTGGAAAATTGATGTCTAATACAGATAATGAACGTTTTACTTTGGATGATACAAGTAAGAAAAATTAATTAACAATTTTACTTATGACTAATTCAGACCATGTGCTTTGTTGTCTTTTAAATAAGTGGTTTCCTTTGTACTATTTAAACTTGTATTCATTTAATGTCGGTTATTTATTTACTCTGAAGAAGTGGCCTTCATTAAGTCACGAGATGTCAGAAATACAACTTTTTATTCATTGGGATATAACAAAAGTATGTCTATTAATAAGTGGTTTTGTTAGGGAAATCCATAGTATTAATCAAATCTTTTCTACTATTAAAGGTAAAGGATACAACACCATTGTACATTACTTTTAGTAAGTTTGCAAAGTAACAAAACGAAATGTCAGAAGCATATTCACAACCATAAAATAATCAGTATTATATTATGAAGAGGATGACCAACGATATTTAGAGTCCTTTTGTACTTACTTATGTCCTCTTGTGGGGATCGGTAATATGTCAAGCGCACATAGGTTATTCTAGCCTCTGGACAAACCAATCTATTCATTCTCTTCAAGCCACATTTTTACCCTGTCACTTATTGGCTTAGTAACCCTGGCTATTTTCTATATGATCGTATGTGTGTGCATTTATTATCTTACTCATCACATGTCTGTAACTTATTTTTTGTTTAACTATAAATATAGATTCACACTTGCTTAAATCAAGTTACCTCACATGCCTTCTCTGATCCATTTCGATTTACTCTTTCCTCTTCACTTCCTTCATTCAGTCTCTGATTGTCCGTTCAGATCAACGATTGTGTGAAATATATGTATTCAAGCTTCATTCTCGTATTCGTGTTATTTAATTCCGTTATTCACTAATTCGAGTTAAGTCAATGGTCATATACGAGAGTAGCCGGGATGTATAATTCAATAACAATCATTCATACGATCGAACTGGAGTCATATACAGGGCCACCACTAATGTAGTCAACCCGTCGACAACAATCACTCGTTCGATCCAATCGGCGTCAAAATAAAGGACCTCACAAAACTCTATATTTTCTGATCAAACCGTAATCAGAATGTACTCTAGCTTTTTTTCGAAACCAGTAGTTTTGTCAGTTCCTGGGGTCACTTTATGAATAATTTGATAACCGTTCGACTTATTACTTTATCGCTACAAATGGAGTGTTCCATAATCCTTTATATGTAACTATTTTATTGTTTGTAATCCGATGTAATGCAAACAGTATATTATCAATAGCATTGTCCGCATCATTGACTTTCGTGAAGTACGATCAAGTCTCTTTCGTCAAGATCTTTTGGTGTCCCGTGATCTGACTCCAATTAGATCGTATGACCGATTGTTATCGACTTATATATGTAGTCAATCCTCGCATTTATTTATCGACTTAACTCGTGTTAGTGAAATACGAGAATGAATTTTTGAATTCGTATATTTTGTACAATCATTGATCGGAAAGCGAAGGTGAGTGAGTCAACTCACACACGTACGCTTACATAACAAAAATCAAGGTTGATAAACAAATAAGTCACAGGGTAAAAATGTGGCTTGAGGAAAATAAATAGATTGGTCTGTCCAGAGGTTAGAATAACCTGTGTGCTTGACATAGTACCAGCCCCTACAATCTATCCTTTTCATTCTTCTGTCCACCTTGTTGGTAATGTGCGGAGTATTATTCCGTTATTATTTGATTAATATGTAATAATTGTATGACTAGTGTTGGAGACGGTTGGGAGAAAGTTAGCCGCAGCCAAACCAAAACGTGGCATCAGTGCTTGAAGTCATTAACGTCTGGTCTGAGCCATATTGGTAGATGCAAACTACTTGACTATCGTAACCAATAGTTGGAGACTCTTGGTGACATGGCTCAGAATCGATCACAATGGCGTCGGTGTATACACTCTCTGTCTTCCCTTAAAATAAGAGATTAAAATCACTTCATATCTTTCTTTCTATGAACTAATTCTTTCTTCCTGTACTGTATCCTCATATACAATCTTTCTTTTATATATTACCACCATTGACTTAACTACTTTTATGAATCCGGTGTTCATCTTGTTGTGGTAATGCGGTATGGCAACCTGGACTGATGTATATATATGCCTGGTCCTACGTTGTAGCTTACTGACTGACTGGTAGTTGTATGAAATTTGTACTCGGAAGTAAATTAGCGATTTATACACTTTATATCCAATAAATTACTATGCACATTACATGCTCATTACATTTTATCCCATTTTACTGATTTTTTTACAGGCGATGACGGAACATTTCCAGTACAAAATACTACATCATTACAATCTGATCTAACTGTAGCTAATCGACGATGGGACAATTTATTAGATTCCGGCAATAGTAGACGTCATCGTTTACAAACTGTTCTACTTGGTTTAGGTGAATTTGAAAGTGCTATTGATGGATTAATTAAATGGATTGATCAAATGCAAACAGCTGTAGATCAAATACCTATACGTCGGGCAAATATTCGAGGATTAGAAGCTGATTTAGCACGCATTAAAGTAAGTCATTTGTTTCTTAAGTTCGATAACCTTTTTGTAGTAAATATTTCACCATACTTTTATTTATTTTGTTATATTGATAGTATGATGAACGAATGAGATAGAAACGTTAGTGTTATAAATCTTCTAAGCTTATATTAATTATAGTGAAGTGTTCATGGCTTGAAAATCATTTTACTTTCTTATGTCAGTAGTGACGTTAATTCTCATCAACACTTTATTTAACTTCTATTTATACCAATCTCTTTTTGAAAAAAACTGCTTCTTTATGACGGATGGGTTATTACACTACTTAATACGCGTTGGTAATACAAATATCTAGTTAACAGTTCCTAGTAATTCATTTTTTGTATAAAAAAAAGAAGGATATTACTGGAACATACGTATTACTCAAACAATTTGCTTAACTTAGAAAATGTCTTCTGGAATTCATGCATATTTCTCAAATCATTCTTGAATATCTAAATTCAGTAAACTTTCTTTATGTTTTACAATTAAAAATAAAACTAGCCATTTTGATCATTCAGACTGTTTTGATGATCAACAAGATTATAATACACGAATTAGAAATTAATTATGGTGACAATGATTATACAAATATCTTACAATTACCTATATAGTTCATTGTAATGAAAAGTCTGACAAGAAACTATAAAAAAATATTTGCCCATTTTATTTTCTCAATTTATTATAATAGAAATATCCAAATTACTCTTGAATATTATAAACAGGAATTTCTCAAAAGATGCAGGACTTAATAATATATATCTTCATATTTTAAATGTAGAATCTCTATACAGTAATATGCGATTGTGGTAAAAAGAAATCCCACATTTCACAATTGATTGATCACTGGATGGCGATCAATGTCATGCGTGTCTAGTCCTTATTAGTGCAGATCGAATGATATCGACCATGTTGCAATGTGGCCACCAGTCTAGGTGACTCGACATTGCGGGCACTATATATTGAGGTAAGATGATGGCTGGATAGCTCAGTGGTAACATCTCTGACTGTGAAGCTGGGTGACACGAGATCGAATCCGCCAGGGAGCACCAGTTCCCTCAGGGTTACAGGTACACCTTGTTGATGAGTGCCAAGTAGCACGAAACCCGGATCCAGAGTTTCCTGTTGACTACTTCCAACCACCATCTAAATCCCACATTTGTAATATCGTCTTAATCCGGCCAAATAACTGATTCTACCATTTAAGTTGGAATTTCCTGAATGTTTAGTCCACCATTAAAATTCAATATGAACCTGTGTGAACGAACAGTTGATGATACTAACTTTTAATAGCAGAAATGATTGGGTTTTTTTCAAGTGTTATGATTTTATTAGGCTTTTGAAATGAACGAATTCAAACTCATAATACTATTGAGTAGCCTTTTCGTGTAAAAATCTTCGTGTTAAGAGAAGTATATACCAGAGGTAATGGAAAAGTTTCGAAATACTTCTAAGGCACAAGGTTCGTAAAGTGTGACAATACTAACAAGCATAAAGTTGCGATTCCAATATTCCTCATTAGTTTAATCTATAGATTTAGCATCTCTATCTCTAAATACTTAAGTTTATAATTCAGTTAAAAACCAGTTAGAATTTCTGATTTTGTGAGAAATGTGTTTTTTGACTATCTAATTTTGATTGAATGTCTTTTTAACTTCAAATAACTCATCATTTCTCCCATTTTCTATCTTTTTTCATATTATTTTGTTTATTTTGTGTGATAATCACTTGGATGTTGCATAATTTACTCTATGTGGGATGTGGTGTTAATGTGTACCTATTTCTGTGTGTGTTCATATATATTATTTTATGTTTCATGTGGTTATGGACATAAAAATTGGCTTGAATAATAATCACAATTATTATTTTGGCCATACCTATTTATACTTAAACAGTTATTTGTCAAACTTATCACACGCTATCAGTATAATGTTATGGTCCTAAATCGTATTGATACTGAAAATGGAGATGAAGTAATGAGTTTTGAATGTACCATATTCACTTACTAGTTTCGTAGACTTATAAGTTACTCCATACGAATGTTATATAAATCTTGGATTATGAACAACCCCCTGAAAAGTTTTCAAGTATATCTACACTACTTACAAGTAGTTATATTTATTGAGCTTACTTTAAGTCAGTCAGTCAGTCAGTCAGCTACAACGTAGGATCAGGCACATACATATACATCGGTCCAGGTTGCCATACCGCATTACCACAACAAGATGAACACCGGATTCATAAAAGTAGTTAAGTTAATGGTGGTAATATATAAAAGAAAGATTGTATATGAGGATACAGTACAGGAAGAAAGAATTAGTTCATAGAAAGAAAGATATGAAGTGATTTTAATCTCTTATTTTAAGGGAAGACAGAGAGTGTATACACCGACGCCATTGTGATCGATTCTGAGCCATGTCACTCAGAGTCTCCAACCATTGGTTACGACAGTCACGCGGACCCCAACCAAGTTGTCTGCATCTACCAATATGGCTCAGACTAGAGGTTAGTGTCTTTAAGCACTGATGCCACGTTTTGGTTTGGCCCCCCCTAATTCTCTTTCAACCATCTCTAACACCCGTTAGCATTGCACAACGTGGTAATCGGTGTTCAGGCATACGTAACACGTGGCCTACTTTAAGTGCAAAGAAAAGATCTTTTTTCTCAAATTAATTAACAAGGGATGCGGTTAGCAAATTGTGAAACACTATTCCATACTTTCAAAATACCAAGACTGTTTTCAGTACTCATTTATTCACACACAAGTAGATTATAAGTTATACAGCATAATATCTGTTTAGAATTCAGAAATGCAAATCTGATTTAAAATAATACAGAACGTATAGGAACTCGCTAAGAAATTGGATTACGTTGTTATGGTCTATTAGTCAAATATCCTTTGGGGTCAGATATTCTTCTAGACGCTGGCGTATGCTCTATATGTGTTAACTAAATATTCTTTACTTTAAAATATGTATCTGCTAATATGATGTGATGTTATTTTAACTCTTCTCAACATCATATTGTATAACTTCTTTATAAGTAGGTCAACACTGAATGATGTCCATGAAAAGGTCAACATAAAAAAATATCTAAGCATAAAAGCTTCTCGAAGAGTAATTCATTTGGTAATGTAATTAACTGACTAATAATTCAGTATACTTTAGTTATGAAATAATAATGTCTAATCACAGCATTTTGCTTTAGTGCCTGTTGTTGACTGCATAACGATCGAATGACCTTGATATTATTGAAACATATCTTACTCAATTTCGTATATGTTATATCGACAAGTCCCGCTAATAGTAACATGGATATAAAAATTCAAATACGAATGTTTCAGATCTCTGTATTTCATATATTCGGGAGATAGACGAAGAGATAAGAAGTGAAGAAAACAGATCTACTTAAAATATTACTCGTTATAAACGTAAACATAACAGCAAATAATTCATGATGCAATAAGGAGACAGGCATTTGATGAAGAAATAAGAGTACAGATATATACGAGCATACATGAGATGTATAGGTGTAGATTTACAAGGAAATGAATCTATGAAGTAGTGGTACTGCAAGTCATAATCTCCTATGAAGACAATAGAGTTAGTAAGAAGACAAAAATGACCCGGTAGTCAAATAATATCTGAGTTAATAAAGCCTGTTCAGAAGTAGGGTCAAATCATGCGGGTGTTTAATAACATAAAAGCTGTTAAAATACCATAAACCCTACTAAACTTATTTAACTATAGTTACTAAAATATAACGTTTCTGTATGTGAGTTTGTGGAAATTGTAGTAATTTAATCGTTGAATTCATGAGTCGATTTAAGCTAGACTACCATGAAAATCCTGGAAGAACTGGACGGACGTTTCGCTCTAGTATGGAACTCCTCAGCAGTGCGCATCCACGATCCCGCACGCACACCGCTGAAGAGTCCCATACAAATGGCGAAATATCCTTCCAGTTCTTCCAGGTTTTCCATGGATGTCTGGCTTAAATCGACTCATGAATTCAGCCATTAAAGTTTCTGTATGTGTAGAATGTTTTAGCCTGAAAATCTAAAGATGATCAATAGTATGCACTTGATCAACTTTCCGTTCTTATTTACATTCATCAACTAAGTATATTTTTAGTCTCACTTAGTTATTACGATCTCAGTTTACAATGCTAACAACTTAAAATGTTTTCACTGCAGAAGTTAAAGTAACCAAGTCTGAATTTTTACCTATTAATCAATGCTTAATATTTATGAGTTATGTAGTTTTATAATTTTCTTGGTTAATTATTTTTCTCTTTTACTTTGTCACTAAGGTAATTCATCACAATATTAACAGTCATCAATTATCTGTTGTAAGAATAGAAGAACAAGCAAGGAAATTAGAACGTGCTGATTGCAACAAAATCGATAAACCCTCTGGAGTAGATACTGATAAAGATGTCAAAAGAAAATCACAGACTTCAGATTTTAAAACATCAGATATCCGAGATAAAATTATTCAAATGAATAAAGCATGGGAACATTTGAAACTGAGTGTACGCAATAAACAAGCAGCATTAGAAGAAGCATTGAGTGAGGTATGATGGTCTGTACAGATAGTTTTTTTTAAATAACCTGTTTCACTCAAAGCAGTGACTGTTTATGACTAATTCATATTAGTTTAAGTAAAAGAGAATTAAAATAACCCATAGTGTCATTGAATAAGAAAAAGAGAATTATAACTAATGTACATTCCACGTTGTCTATAATTGATGGCACTCTATCTTGGAAGTAAATTGTTGGAAAATATCACAAGCTACGTTTTCATTATTTCAACGATGACAAAATAAAGATGAGTAGGAGACAACTTTTAACTGCATAGTAGAAGCCGGAAAAAGGCAATGAATTAGAATGCAGTAAATTTGACCTTACCAATGAACTTCGTGGAACAAACATGTTAAATATCTTCCGGTACAACTTTTGCAGTTTTCTTACAGACATCAATATTTCAAATGATCTCAAATTTTTTTATTTTGTAGACCTTTAATTTTCATGGTCAACTGGATCAACTTATACGTCGCACTCGACAGTTAAAAAGTCGAATGCCCCCACCAGGTGCACGCATTATGGGTGGTTTACCAGATAGTGCACGTGAACAGTTACGTCGCTTCATGGAAGTTTATGATGAACTTGTAAAAATTGGATCAGAGGTAAATAATGTATTTACTTCAACTATTTGTCATATGCTTATTGTAGACAGTAGTAATTACTTCATTTTATTTGTAGTGGCTTTGCTTCGTTAATCAATCACCGTTATTATATAAATCTCACGGTGTTTGAAATCAGAAGGCAATAAGAAGTGGCAACTAGAGATTATTAGCGTATAGCACGAATAACAAAGCTTTAAGTACATCGAGCGAATTTGGGGCGGACTGGCGAATTTGTATGTGAGCAAATACATACAGAGGCAAATTTATAGTCAAATCGAATAAGTGCACAGCTAAGCAAGGCAAAGGCTTATATATATATATATATATATATATATATATATATATATATATATATATATATATATATATATATATATATATATATATATATATATAAAATCATCGGGCGATATTTAAGCTAACAACATTTAAGCTAGAGAGTGATGTGCGTAGGCTGTCATATCACCAAGAGTACATGTTTATACAGATATGATGGTGATCATAGTAGTACAAAGAAGTATGCGAATTGTTATTGTTCTAATAACATTGTCTGTTAAGTTAATAAAAGGGATTAACTGAAATTAATTGGTAGGGTAGTTGCTATATGTTTATGCATGCTTAAGTTAACTCGTACTTTATTATTCTTTTTCCCTACGTAAACAGCTTGATGAACTGCGTCGAAATTCAGCTGCATTGTTAGTTAATCAGTCAGCAGCAGAGTCATGTAATCAATTAACTACTAATCTTGAACGTTTCTCTGACCATTATGCTCAGTTGTTAAAACATGCTCAAGATATTCGTGACCGTATGGAATTAGGTTTAAAACAAGTCGAAGAATTACATGATCATTTATCACAAATGATGCAATGGCTTACACAAATGGAACGTACTATACTACAACAGAAACCAGTCAGTCGTATTGTAGCTCGCCTATTTCAATTAATACGTGATCACACTGAATTACGTAAAGAAATTACTGGACATCGTGATGCTTTAATTAATTTAGATCGTTTAGCAAGTCAAATACAATGTCAATCACAAAAACAAGATGTAATATTGGTAAAAAATCTTTTATCTAGTATTCATACTAGATGGGAGCAATTAGTTTCACGTAGTGCAGAACGTACACGTCAACTTAACACTGGTCTGAAGGTTAGTTTGTTGTTTTCCGCTTTCTTCCAAAATGCCATGATAATTCTTTCATTTTCTGAATATTCTATTCCCTGTAAAAATCGTTTTGTCTACTGCATATTGTTTCTTTGCAAATGAATGGATGATAGTCAGTGCGGTAAATATATCCTGACAAATATAAAGGAGTATTTTGTTTACGTGATTCATTTTAGCTATCCAGGATGAAAATAAAAGACAATTAGTTTTCTTAGTCGTCTGAATGAGTACTCTCGTTCTTATGTAAAACATGCCCCGTTTTTTTTTCTAGGTAGTGTTCTATGTGTCTTACTATCTCACATCACATGTTCACTCTTTCTCTTCATTTACGCGCCTAACCTGAAACTCAACAAATTACAATGTGTTGTTTAGTTCCTCATCTTTGGCAATTTTGTTGGCACGTATGCACATTGGTTAGGGGACTTGACTTCCATGATTTATTCACCAGAATTGAAATTCTCTTGATATACTTTGATCTAGACAGTCCTCTTAGTATTACTGATTCCCAAATAGAAGTGCTTTTCAAAGTTGAATACCTGAACACGTTTATTTCCGACCTTAAATTGCTTTTCGCTGACTGAATCACTCTGTATTCACGTCACGTAAACTTGTACAAATTTTACTGTTTAAGTAGTATTGAAAGTGCTGTAGAGATTGATGAGTGATTCTTAACTGTGGGATTCTTTATGTAGCTAATTGGCTTTTTATAGAGTGAAATACAACTAAGAAAACGTAGATAATTAACCGGAATTAATAATAACAGCAAATGACAGTTTGAACTATTCGACCTTCTTGAACAGAAAGAAAAGAATGGATCCAAGTATTGGCATAAATAATGAGTTGACTAACTGTTATATAAAAACATCTTAAAGTTTAAATGTGCTGGTACGTTTTAGATTGACTGGCTACTTTTGCTCATAATGCTGGAACACTTAAGTAACGGACGAATGATTTGATATTCTACTTAAAGGTGATATGATCTTTTCGATTAAATTTTAGGAGGCCAGTAACTTTCTGGACAACTGGACATCGTTAACAGATTGGTTAAAGGAAAACTTAGCTTCATTGGAAGAAGATGGTGATCGTGTCGCTACAAGACCTGAGAAAGTCGCTTATCAATTAGCATTACATCGTGAATTACAGCGAGCATTAAGCACACGTACTGTGGCTTATGATGGAGTGCGTCGTTACGCTAGACAACTACGTGATAGAGCACCAGTATGTGATCATGATGAATTAGATGATATGGTCAGTGAATTAAAGCATTTATGGCAAGCAGTGTGTACGAAAGCCTTAGCGAGGTAATTTCATAATCTCTAACCTTCTATTAAATATCATTTATAACTAAATCTGAAATTCATACTTTCATCATGAATTCGTATGAAGTTATTCGTACCGTATCATGGGACGACACGGACTGGGAGAACGAAACGAAAATGGTGAGAGATTTGCAAATCTGTGTGCCTTCAATAAGCTGGTCATAGGCGGCACCATATTCCCACATAAACGCATACACAAAACCACATGGACTTCACCGGATCACTCTACACAAAACCAAATCGACCATATTTGCATCAACAAAACGTTCAGGAGGACTATAGAGGACGTGAGAACCAAGAGAGGAGCTGATATAGCATCAGATCATCACTTACTGGTCGCCAAGATGAAATTGAAACTCAAGAAGCACTGGACAACGGGACGGACAATATCAAAAAAGTTCAATACGGCCTTTCTTCAGGATACTAACAAACTCAACAAATTCAAGATAGTCCTCAGCAACAAGTTCCAGGCCTTTCATGATCTACTCAATGGAAAAGGAACTACTGTGGAGAGCAACTGGAAGGGGATCAAAGAGGCAATCACTTCAACATGTCATGAGGTCCTGGGTCACAAGAAGCACCATCACAAGGAATGGATCACTGTTGGTACACTGGATAAGATTCAAGAAAGAAGGAACAAGAAGGCAGCAATCAATACCAGTCGAACAAGAGCAGAAAAAGCCAAGGCACAAGCTGAATACACGGAAATAAACAAACAAGTGAAGAGGAGTATCAGAACCGACAAACGTAACTATGTGGAAGATTTAGCAACGACGGCGGAAAAGGCTGCAAGAGAAGGAAACATGAGAGAACTGTATGACACGACAAAGAAACTCTCTGGAAATCGCCGCAAACCAGAACGACCAGTGAAAAGCAAGGAAGGCGAGGTAATCACCAACATTGAAGAGCAACAAAACAGGTGGGTAGAACACTTCAAAGAACTGTTGAATCGACCAGCTCCACTGAACCCACCCAACATCGAAGCAGCACCCACGGACCTCCCAATCAATGTTGGCCCACCAACAATTGAAGAAATCAGCATGGCCATCAGACAAATCAAGAGTGGCAAAGCAGCAGGACCGGACAACATCCCAGCGGAGGCACTAAAAGCAGACGTAGCGGCAACTGCAAGGATACTCCACATTCTCTTCAATAAGATTTGGGATGAGGAACAAGTACCAACAGACTGGAAAGAAGGACTACTGATCAAAATACCGAAGAAAGGCGATCTCAGCAAGTGTGATAACTACAGGGGCATCACTCTTCTCTCAATACCGGGAAAAGTCTTCAACAGAGTATTGTTAAACAGGATGAAGGACTGCGTAGACGCCCAACTTCGTGACCAACAGGCAGGATTCCGTAAGGATAGATCGTGTACAGACCAAATCGCAACTCTACGGATCATTGTGGAACAATCAATTGAATGGAATTCATCACTCTACATCAACTTCATTGACTACGAAAAGGCATTTGATAGCGTGGACAGAACAACACTATGGAAACTTCTTCGACACTACGGCGTGCCTCAGAAGATAGTCAATATCATACAGAGTTCATATGATGGATTACACTGCAAAATCGTGCATGGAGGACAGTTGACAAAGTCGTTCAAAGTGAAGACCGGTGTTAGGCAAGGTTGCTTACTCTCACCGTTTCTCTTTCTCCTGGTGATCGACTGGATCATGAAGACGTCAACGTCTGAAGGAAAGCGCGGGATACAATGGACATCTAAGATGCAGTTGGATGATCTAGACTTCGCAGACGATCTGGCCCTTCTATCCCAAACGCAACAACAGATGCAGGAGAAGACGAACAGTGTGGCAGCAGCCTCAGCAGCAATAGGTCTCAATATACACAAAGGGAAAAGCAGGATTCTCCGATACAACACAGAATGCACCAATCCAATCACAATTGACGGAGAAGATTTGGAAGATGTAAAAACCTTTACGTATTTGGGCAGCATCATTGATGAACAGGGTGGATCTGATGCAGATGTGAAGGCGCGGATCGGCAAAGCAAGAGCAGCATATTTACAACTAAGGAACATCTGGAACTCAAAGCAACTGTCAACCAACACCAAGGTCAGGATTTTCAATACAAATGTCAAGACAGTTCTACTGTATGGGGCAGAAACCTGGAGAACTACAAAAGCCATCATCCAGAAAATACAGGTGTTTATCAACAATTGTCTACGCAAAATACTTCAGATCCATTGGCCGGACACTATTAGCAACAACGTACTGTGGGAGAGAACAAACCAGATCCCAGTGGAGGAAGAAATCAGGAAGAAGCGCTGGAAGTGGATAGGACACACATTGAGGAAAGCACCCAACTGCGTCACAAGACAAGCCCTCACATGGAATCCTGAAGGTCAAAGGAAGAGAGGAAGACCAAAGAACACATTACGCCGAGAAATGGAGATAGACATGAGAAAAATGAACAAGAATTGGATGGAACTAGAAAAAAAGGCCCAGGACAGAGTGGGTTGGAGAATGCTGGTCAGCGGCCTATGCTCCTTTGGGAGTAACAGGCGTAAGTAAGTAAGTAAGTAAGTATTCGTACCGTCATTCTTTATAAATTAGTTTTAACAAGTAATGAATATGATCTAATACAAAATTTCTCATTCATAATTTATGCATTCATTATGATTGTTATATTCCACGTATTATATTCACTGTCAATGTTTGAAACTGGTTTCAGCAGTGTTCGATCTTCTACTCTCTGGAGGAACTAGAGGATTGGAGTTGAAAAAACTTGACTGGACAGCTAAAAAAATAAGGTGCTGACAAGTGTATATCATCCGTTTACATAGAATGCAAGAACTGCACTCTATAAATAAAATGAAACTGAGATCTATTTAGCTGTAAGGCGTAGCAGTTTTGTCAATGGAGGACCGGGTCAGTTGTCCGATGACCACGTTTTTGAGCTTAGTTATCGTCAGTAAAAATCAGTCTACCGGTCATGATCATCTCAAATAGTCTATGTAACTATTCATTGCTTTAATCTTCGCGATATGGTATTACAGCAACAATTGTTACAAGGAAATCCAAAAATGAAAGGTCATATATGTTGATGAACTAAGGCGAGAGAAAGAATCAAGTTTAATAATAACCCTTTATAATTTAATAGAAACATGATAAATTTAGAATGGTTCAGTAATCTTTGAGACTTAACAGTTCATGTTCTTTGAAACAAATGGCACATACACAGTGAGTTGATTAGTAGAAATTTGCTTACTTTGAAGATACTTTAAAATGCACACAACTGTGGGTTACCGAACAGTTTTTTTCGTTTAGCCACTTTGAAGTAAATACAGTTTTCACTTTTATGGTACATCTATTGATTTTCCGATGTAACATTACTGTAATTTATGGGTAAGTAGTGCTTTTCCTAAACGGTTGTTTGGGCCCATCAAGCTTGTCTAATTTGTTTTTCGTATAAATTTTTACCAAGTTGTTAAAAGCTCATAATAAACTTAATAATGCTAAGAGTATCGATTTAGAATTTTCGGAATAAAGATATTGACTATTTTAGGTTTAGACAATAATCTCACGTGCCACTCAATAGATGTATTTTTGTAAGATCAATCACAAACTGACTTGTGACGTGTGGTGTCCGAAATCTGATACTGATACAGAATATGCGATTTGTTGACCACCCCCCTCCAACTGACTACTTTAGCGAAAACACACGAGTGAGCGAGAAAGTGTATTGGAATGCCGAGTGAAATACCCAACTACTCATTCTTATATATACCACTCTATCCTTAGAAGATTGACCCATTGACCCCACCGAAATGCATTTGACCTTTAGGTCACTTTCGGTTACCATCGTGTGACCTTTTCTCCACTTCTGATTGGCTCTCTATTTAACTGACCCTAGTCAGATGTTTGTTGAAAGTCGAGGATCACTAAACAGCCGTTTCGTCTTATTATGGAACTTCTCGGGAGTGCACACCCACGAACCCAACGGAAATCCAACCCAAAATCCTCAAGCCTCCTGGCAAATGTTTAACTTACAGAGCACTGAATTGGTATCCAGTAGTTTGGATTAATAACTTCAATCAATTCATGATATTTTGCAATCACTATCCGTTGCTATTGATGAGTAAATACTTCACTACTAACATGGTCGTATTCTCACTAGAACTCCTGGGTTTAGTCTTCGCAGTTAGTTACTAATGATCTCATGATTTAGTTTTCATTTATTGTATACTATATGGGATGAGTGGAACTTTAAATCTTCTGACCTTGTCTTGAACTGCTGGGATAACAAGTGATTCATGATTTAGCCGTATTTCTGGATTTCAGAAAAAGAAACGAATAACGACTTGATTCAAAGCTAGTAAAATTAAATTAGTTACAGAGCATTGCACGGGCATTTTACACCGGATTAAAAAGTGACTGAATTGTAGAAAATATGAACATACGAATTCTATCCAATTGCCTGACTTTACACTATTTGAGACATTGATTTTCTGTATAGACATACATATCATATCCAATTTTTCCCTTCTCTTTTAGACAACGCACTTTAGAACAAGCTCTCTTGGCAGCTGGTCTTTATAAAGAAGCATTGGAAGCTTTACTTGATTGGTTGAGTAAGATTGAACCACAATTAGCTGAACAACAAACTGGAAACTATGGTGATGTGGATATTGTTGAGGTTAGCCACTTCTTAATTATAATTGTTGATCGACTGTGAACATTATTGAAAAGTTTTGAGCTAACTTTACTGAACTTTTTTGGCTGGTTATCAGTTGTTGTTTAACCAACACCAACTTAGCCAGTTCATCAGTTATGATCCAACCATGCTATTAAGTAACTTATATGCTCATGGATTTGATCGATGCTAATTTCTTCACTTCACTGATAAGTTGTATAACCTCTTCTTCGAGGTTGCACTTAGCCTTGTTGGCGATTACTAATTTAGGTGTTAGGTTGATAACTAAATTAACTACATACACGGCTATTGTTTAAAATTGATTCAACTAGGTCACATTTCCTGTATTTTAAACATTAGTTTCTTATAAAACCCTGTTCTACGGATGAAAATGTAAATTATTTGTTTCGTATTTCAGCAATTGTTAGAATCTCATAATCGTTTCAAAGCTGAGCTGGAACAACGTGCCACATCTGTGAAATTAATACATCAAGCTGCCAGTGATTTAATGAATAAAGCTTCATCTACTACTGACTCTGGAGCTGGTTCATCAGCTAGCAATCAAGCTGATGTGTTTGCTATGCAAGCTCAATTAAATCATTTATCTAAAATATGGGATCGTGTGCAGAATTTAACTCAACGTCGAAGTGAACGATTGGATCATGCATTAAAAATGGTAATATTTGAGTAAACACTTTGTAATATTTGCATTAACTGGTATGCAAATATTTTCTAATGATCTTAACCTACTTCACAATTTATTTTAATTGATTGTCACATAATCTACTAGTGTAAAAGTCATGGATCGATAGGAATTTCATACATTAATCAAAAATATTTCCGTTTTCTGGAATACATCTTAGAGTTGCTTGTTTATAATAATGGTGACTGTACTATGTTTGTATAATAGCTTGTCACGAGATCAAGTGTAATCATGATGCCGCCAGTATTTAATAATTATCAATAGATATTTCCGCTCAGTAAGCAGGTAGACTTTTAAGAACTCCCGATCAGCTCAACTATCTCGGACAGTCCAAATCATAAAACCAATCATAAAAAACAAATTTCCTGTGTTATGTATTCCACTTTTCAGTTTTTTTCACTTATGCCGACTCATTATTTCATAATTATTCTCAGGTTCACTTTATATGTGAGATGTATCGTAATAGGTCTATAGCATCTCAAACCTTCTCTCAAGTAGTAACGAATTCCAACCGTAGCTATTACCTTAACTCGATGATCTCCAGATATATTAAATACAACACTTGTTCCATCAGATCCTACCATTACAAACATACTAGATGAAGGATGTCTTGACCAAAACCAGAATGTCCCAGTTTTGAGGACAAGGTTATTCTTTGAACTTTACCACAATGCTGGGGTAGTAAGTTGTTCCTCGGTGGATAACTCACATGTTCAGTGATGTTGACATCCTAGAAGCAGAGAGGCGGGCTAGTCTTTTTTAATAAATAGCGAACTTCTATGTGGCCCTCGACGATTTGGTGCAGGTCAAACTATCAACCTCTTTCTCTTCTCCATTTCTTATATTTTCGTCTATTCTTATTGTCAATCATCGCTTTCTAGTTTCATATTCTACTTGATTTGCATCCAGTGCTAGAGATTGGCGTCTACAAAGTGTCATCCATTGTCTCAGACGCTGAAGAATGGTAGCGATATATAGTAAAACATTGCAGTACTGACCATTTGGTTACATCTTATTGGCTTAACAGTAGGGTGCTCACTATAATAACTGGAAGTTCTGGGTTTAATCCTGAAATACTTTAACTTATATCACACTATGTAGTCATAGGGTATTAAGAACAAACTGTTTAGTATTTAGTGGCCCGATATCTGATTCCAATAGGATCGTACGAATGATTGTCATCAAGTTATCGAAATATACATCCTGGCTACCCTCGTATATAATCATTGACTTAACTCACGTTTGTGAATAACGGGATTAAATAAGTCGAATACGAGAATGAAGTTTGAATACGTATATTTCATACAATCGTTGATCTGAACAGACAGTCAAGGAGACGGAGCGAAGGAAGAGAAGAGGAGAGAAGCGAAACTAGTGAGACTATAGTTTGTGGACGAACCAATCAACTTTACGTTAACAGGTCTTGAATTTTGGCGCGAAACTAATTCATTCACCTGGCTAAATATAGTTTTGGCATTATGGCTGATGTCAGTTCGTGATGAGAACCCTAAAACAAATTCCTAACCCTATCTATCAACCGTAAATATTAATCCTAATTACTCACACTGGTTTATAACCATCATTTAGCCGTAGTATGCAGATGGACATCCTCAAGGTATTTTTATCGTCGCTTAGAGGTCGTCCACAAATTATAGTCTCACCGCGAAATTAAATGACCCTCAGTGAAGAAGGTGTGTGTTAACCAACTCGATTTAACCAAACATGGATCGATATTTATAGTCAGACAAAAATAAGTTACAGACATATGTTGAGTAGGATAAGAACTCCACACACATACGCTTACATAAAAACAGTCAAGGTCGATAAGCGAAAAATTAACGAGGTCAAAATACGACTCAAAAAGAACGAATAAATTGGTCTACCCGCAAGCTAGAATAAACTATATGGGCTTAACATAGAACACGACTCAACAAGTACACCTTAGTTTCCAATGCTTGCTTGTTTCTGATTAAGAAACCGTTTTTAAATTGTTCAAATTTTCGAGGTTATTTAATTCAAATTATGTATTTTTATCACAAAACTTTATTACCTTGTCAGATAAACGCATCTTCATTACATGGTATTTTAAATTACTTATAGCACTATAGGTTACGAATTGTATAGTGAAATATTAAATATTAGGTAGTTGAGGCATTTAAATTGTGATCATTAATTCACAAGTTGAAGACTCAACGCACACATATCAGTTTGAGAAGCTTGGTAGATTTTCAGTCCTCTTAGAAAAATTGTATCTTAAAGCCAAATAAGTTAACGTACATTTTATTACTGACTTACGTTATCAGCATCCTCTCAAGTAGATACATTTCACAAATACTATTGTCTTCACTTACAGGCGCAGCAATTTCAGGATACATGTCGAAGTTTAATGGATTATTTTGCTGGCGCAGAACGTGTTATTCATCGTTTGGCTGCTTTACCCACCTTTGATGATGATGGCGAACTGGAAATTGAAACTGCTGGCACTAACAATCCACCAACTAATTTAACAGATGCAATTACAGCTCATCGACAAACACATTCTAATTTAATGAATCAAGCTGATCGAGTTGAAGCTGCTTTACAATTAGGAAATAAACTTTTATCTCAAGCTCATCCAGCAGCTGTGAAACGTTTACGTCAATGGGTTAATACTATTCGTACACGATGGGAGGAGGTATGCGTACTGTACATATGGCTATTATTATTATTATTATTATTACCGTTTCCATTTACAGTGTAGACTTGATGCATTTTTGTGATATATAGAAGAATGCTTTTAACTTAATAAACCAAAGAAGAGTAAGGGATATTAAATCTCACTAAAAAACAGGAAATAAGCATAAATAACCATCCTGAGTTCCCATTAGTTATTTTATATGTTGCAAAATAACTGTAGCATGACAGTCGCTGGCTTTAATCATTGATTAATAAGCATCAAGGATCAGTGGATGCATTGGTTTCCATAAAGTCAACGACAACTGGACTGAACCACCGTAACAGGTATGTATAACCCGGTTAAGATCCGCGTGATGACCGTAACCGGTGGTTAAAGTTCTTGAATAACATGGCTCGAAACCGTTCGCAATGGCGCATTCATTCTTTGTCTTCTCCCAGATTCTAAACTTCTCAATTCCTCATAATTTTTTATTTCATTAATTTACATTTTCTTCCCTAATAGTGTCTTTGATGAATAACCATTTTTATTGCCACTAATATTGGTACTACCTCTAGTACTACTGGATTCGCCCTAACGATTTGATCTCGTTGTCCTAATGGAGTGTGGCTACTTGAACCTATGTACATGTATACCAAGTTCTACGTTACGACTGAATTTTAAATAGTAATTAACCTTTGAGTGATATGTAATAACTATCCTACTTAACGACCTTGAACATTTACAGGCTGACTTCTTATTAAATATATGAGTTTATATTTCCTTGCAAAAAACGATACTTTTATTCCTGTTTTCGATGTCGCTACTTTCCCTACACATTCCCCTCAAAACTATTTCTAGAATATTGTCGATAAGAAAGTAGGAAGTAACACGAGAATCAGTTAATTACATATAATTTCATTGCTAGTTTCATGTAGTTATATACTTTTATTGTATCTGATAGATTGAGTATTTTTATGTTGCTTGTTCAATGAAAATTTAGCTAGTTTTTTTAGTGTTACAAGTTTAATTAATTGGCAATTGAATAAGTGAAGCCTAATTTCAGTATATCTGTAACCTGTCACTTATTTGCTGATTATCTTGTTCTGAATTACAATAACCAGTTTATAAATACTTCACATACTCCTAATAGATACTCTTTTTAATATTCGCCTATTTAAACACGTATAGAAAACAAAATAAAACCATTGGATTAAGGTTAATTGATTTCATTTTATTATCACATATTAATTATGTATCAAACCACCCAGTTTTATAATCTCTAAATTCCCGTATGAAGAATAGGAGTTAAGATACATTAACAAATGTTAACTAAGAATAACTTTTATTTACTACAAGATACCTCATCATTATCCAGCTATTTATCTTTTTCTTGGCCCCAACAAACAAATACATTATATAGAGGTTATCAAGTAAAATGTTATAAATGAAATTCATATTGATCATTGAATTTGTTATTTAAGAACTCCTGCTGGAATGTACACATTTTTAAAATTCAAAACTAAAATCATTTTGTAAGATATAGATTAAGTTCATTCTATCAAGCCCAATTTAACTTAGTGAAACAGTATTTCTCATAAATTAGGAAACGATTTTCAATTTAACTTGATGTCAATTGAGTATAAACAAAATCATGGTGAGTTGGATAGTTAAATTATCAAGTTTTTGTAATCTTTCTCCATTACATAACGAAAGAGTTTTGTTTGTAGTTTATTAAATTGTCCTACATTCAGATGAGATGTTTACCGATTGTACATCCTATTTCCAGTAGTTGTTTAACAGATATAGAAATATCATGGAGAGTTGTTTCGAAAAACTATACCGTCTTGTTAATTAGATTGACTTAGCAAACTAATCCTTTACAACAGTAAAATGAAGACTCGATTACTCAGCTTTGAGTCAGAGCTTTTAAGTGACACTTCGGTGGTTCAAACCAAATTAGGCGGAAATTGATTTAAGCTTGTAAAGTAAAGGATTTGTAATTTTGAATAATAATGCTTTTGGGTATGAATCGTTGATTTTGTACTTACTTATTTCAATTAAAATAGATTAGTTTCTAAGGACTTTAAATATTGTGACTATGAATACTGAATTCACAATCTAAATGGATCAGATGACCAACTTTAATGAAAGACGAACTAAAAGAGAAAATCGTCCTCCATTCCCTTGTGATTTTGTTTTGCAATACTAACATAAATGTGTCCATAACCTAATTCAACTAGTATGTTTAACTGCATTTAAGTTAATTTCATTAATTGTTATTCATTAATTTTTTTATAAACAAAAAATTTACCCAGTTAACTTCATGGTCTGAACAACGTGGAGATCGTTTGCAAGAAGCTTTAGAAGAACAGAATAAACGTAAACTTCAACGTGAAGAACTCATGCACTGGATACATGTAAAAATGAGTGAATTAAAAAGTATTCCAACATCAATACCGATATCATCATTGTCATCTTCATCGACTAATTTACAATCAGCTAAGAGTAAACTAGACTCAAATGATTCAAAATCAATAGACTCCAAAGACTTATTTTCCATAACTCAAGAACGTATTGCTATATCAACTATAACTTCTTTAGCTCGCCAACCTAACGTTGTTGTCAATAGTAATAGTAGTATAAATAGTAAAGATTTAAAACAACCTGAGATTCTTATTGATTTTACAACAATTTTAAATGAAATAACCGATTCAAAAATCATTGAACAATTACTCAATCTACATAGTCATTTAGAAGAAGAAGTGAAACAAAAACAACCTATTTATGAAAATATTATAAAACATGCTAAACGACGTACACCAGTTAAATCATCTCATAATATTAATATTAATAATAATAATCGCCGAAGTCGTTTACCAATACGACCCAGTGGTAATCTATTCAACCGTTCTATTAATACAGCAAATCAACAACATAATCCATCTATATCAGTTTTCACTTCACCGAATGTTAATCAATTATATTTAAATTGGAGAGAATTATGGATTGCAATGTTAACACGTAAATCCCAATTAAATGAACGTTTAGCTTATTTAAATGAAGTGGAGAAAATGAAAGATTTTCATTTTGAATCATGGCGTCAACGTTATGTTTCATGGTTAAGTACAAATAAAGCACGTGTTATTGATTTATTTCATCGTAAAGATCGTGATCGAGACGGTCGACTTACAAAAGCTGAATTTATTGATGGTATAATAGAAATGAGTAAGTTTTGTGTAGAAAATATAAAATCTAAATTATTATTTCGTAATTATGTAATGATGATGAATAGTTGTGCTATTTACAATCCTAAATGATAGTTTTTAACATTATGATATATTTTGTTGAATAGTAAGCATTTAGCTTGAAAATAACTGTTCTTCATTAGAAGCTATTTTAGAAAAGGAAATCCAATTATTTCACATCTTTCGTAGTATATAATTAAGCACTGGGCAGTGAATAATGATGCTTTACTACATAATGTCTTTTTTTTTAAAACAAACCAACCTGAAATTATAATTTTCCTGTTTCCAGTTTCTATTTTTATCATTACTTGATACATACTTAGTAACAATGTTTTATCTTCAATGATCCAATCTAAAGACATTATTCTTGAAGTAACACCAACTCCGGCAAGCTTGTACAAACCCTCAGTGGTATAACTGTATCACTCTGTCTATGGTTTGAGTTATTTTTTCTGGTGTGCGTTTTTAACAAGGCTTCCTATGGGTTGAGGTTACTAATCCCGTCCCCAACCCTCCTCGTTTAACCGGGCTTAGGATCAATAGTAACCCCAAAAGAGCTCTAAGCCTTTCTATTACATTACTGAATAGTCTAGTCAAATGGTAGTCCAACGAATACAGTATTTGACTTTCAACAGTTAGGTTTTAGGTTTGAACTCCGCACTCCTAGGTCAAAAGTGGCTCACAAGAGTAGTAAATTTTCTGGTTAGTACTTACGAATTGCTTTGAATCTTTTTTTTCGTTCACTTAATATGGTAGTTATAGAATAGATCACCTTGATTCTTGGTGCAATTTTATGTGAACTGATCTACTACTGAGAGATCATTATCTACACTATTTTCCCTTTAATCCTAAATTGATTTTTCTGCGTTTAATACTAAATAGACAATGCAAGTCGAAAAAGTAAGTGTGTGTGTGTAAGTATATGTATATGTATGTGTACAACTTTATCGATTTTTTCTTTGTGTATTTTTTGATCGTGTTCAACATGAATAAGTTGTGTACTTCGACTACTTTTTTCTATTCTTTTACTTTTAAAATGTTATACTTGTGCTTGTATATTCAAATTTATTGCGTACTTTTTTCCGCTTGCATCTTCTCGGGCAAATCTTTTAAAATGCTTTCTGCATACTATGACACAATTAAATGGATTGAATTCAAGGTAGTGTTATAGTATTACTAAATTTTTCTTTCATCCAAAGTATGTGTCCTTATTCTGTTGGGCATGTTACTTTCGCTGTGTTGATATATGCTTTTTGCTTTCTGAAATTATTCTCATATTATTACTACTCAAAACTTTTTTCATAACATAAGTAGACTGTTGATTGCAGTTAAAATATATGGGTGACACATAAATCTAACTCATCATTAGATACATATTACTAAGTTAATTCACAATTATCTTGTTAGTATATTGATTCTACTTTACAATAAGATATTCTTATCTGCTGATCTCTTTAGAATAATTAAAGTGTACTTGATTTCTGTTATCAGTATATATTTTTACTGTTTGTAATGTACAAGTTTGATGTCGAGGTAGTTCTTAGTAACACTGGACAGTATTCTCATTATCATACAATATGTAAATATAACCTTTCTTACCTATAAGCTAAGTGTATGCACAACACCCTTTTTTGGAGATATTGTGTTTTATGAACTTGACGGTTTGATAGTGAAGCTTTCACTGTTGTTGCTTATTTCTGATAACATCATCAGTACATACTTTAAATAGAAGTTAATTATCAGAATTTCTTCACAGTTTGTTCTGTTAACGTTGAATTTGATAGTGAAACTATCAATTTCACATAATTGGACCTCGTAATACATATCATATCTCATTTTTTATAAAATATCTTAAAAATTCATATGCAGGTGTATATGTATGCATTCCATATAAAGATAACCTTGGTGTTCACTTCTTCTGATATATCACTGTCTTTGTTTAATCACTCAACTTCAGCAACTAATCATCAAGTTATATATTCGACTTTTGCTTCGCTCAGTAAAACTCTGGCAGCTAGCTAGAATCATTGGCTTTCCTATAATAATTGTGACGAATAGCCAAGTACACAAAATTTTATATAGCTTTTGAAATATACATATTTACATATTAGACGGAAGTTCGTCAGATGTCACAATGTTGAAAAATCTCGTCGATTTGGTAGCTGACTTCAAGGACAAAGGTATTTCAGGGATTTAGTTTCGTTTAACAGATGAAACCAATTCGATCAGCGCAATTTTAGTCTAAATACAATACGAAAAGAAATAGGTGATTTAGAAAATATCCAGTAAACGATGTACCTTTAAAAATACCTCACTAGAACATACTGAAGGTAGGTTTTTAAGGCTGAGAAAATTTAAACATTCTGTTCATTTCCAGTTACATTTCGAAAATCGAACGAAATAATATATAATCATATATCATGTAGATTTCGTAAGATCTCATCTACCGAATTTGAATCTCATACGCAATGCTGGAAACATAAATTCTGTGTGTAAACCGTAGTTAAAATACTAAGCAATTTTCACTCCAAGATTTATTTGATTCTAAAACAAAGAATACATCGTTTACATAATTTTGATAGTGACTACAAATTAGTTTAAGAACCATTAGTAGCTTAGAACGACTGGACAGTGTTTTTGTCCTAGTACAAGACATCTCATCAGTACATACACACATGACTTCAATATAAGGTTTAAAATTTTAAATCCTCAGAGTTCATTATGAACATGATATCATTGATTTGTTAAGTTAGACTCCAATTTCACAAAATCCATTCAGCTTAATCAATGAATTACAACCACATCTCTGATTTAGTTGACTCTGTAAATCATAATAAATTACTTAATGCAAGAATGCACTAACATATAACAAAAAATAAACACGCTAAATAGTATTCATTTGAAAAAAGGTAATCAACCTTGAACTAGTAGATGTTCTAAGTAAACTTTCATTTACTTAGTTGCTCAGTTATGAATAGCTGATAATTTTAAACATCAATATATTTATATTACATTATATTTATGAAATACTTTCATCTATAACTCATGGTGTATGAAAAATTACTGCATAGTAGAGAACATTCTGTAGTTGTTCTATTCTAGTTATCATTTCAGTAGTCTACACCTACTACCACATATAATATCAAAACGTATGCATTCATGTATTTCCTGTAGTGATTGATATATCCCATCACTACACTCATCTGATGTTTTATCGATGTATATTTAGTTTATTCTCAATTTGACCGATTCTACAGGTCATGGACATCTACCATGAGTTATGAGTATCATGCTCAAAATAAGTCTAACAAATAAGCGATTATTACTTTGATGATTTTATTATCTATTCATCACAATGTTTGTTACTGGTCTGTTTAGCTAGAAAGTAATCGAACACGTTTTTAATGAGACATTCCTTCTGATATTCAACTATTTCCCTAAACTACTGATAGAAACTTAGTTAAACTTGGTAGCGTTTTATTCCTACCAAGTTTAAAATTTAGAATACGAGCTTAATTATATAACTATTTCCTGATATGTACTACTCACCGTCTGTTTATTTTGAACAATAATGACTCATACAACCTTAATATTTAAATAAGAACTTTCGTCTAAATTTGAACGGATAGTTTCACAATATTTGGGCGCCGAGTTAATGTGAGACATTAAAGAGGAAGAATGTATTTTTAAAATCTCAGTGATAGAATTTGAAGTAAATCCTTAATATTTGATTTATACTCTAAATTTGTGTTCGACTATTTACGATTTTTACCAAAAAACGTGGTCAAGAGCTAACATCGAATTCCAAAAAAGTATCACACGTCTTTGGTTGTATCAAAGAACAGCGATCTTCACAATATTTCATTTTAACTATTGATATTCTGGTTACTTTTAAACATCAAACTCTCAACCTGTTTGTCATAGATAAACCTGTTCACTTTGGTCAGTTATCTTACCAATCGATAAATCAATAAACTATAAACTAGCATCCTATTTTACATATTTCCTTTGAGCAATACTGATGACCACTTTTTACAAAGAAACCATTCAAAAATCCCTCCGAAAATTATTTAACTTTTCAAAGATTTAAAATTAGATGTTTTGTCCCCATTTTATTTTGCATAAATAAACAACGTCCGAATTATGCGACAACTGACTGTAGCGTACTGGCACGATCTATTTATTTATTTTAACACATAGATATTGGTAAAAGGAGGCACCAAATACATATGCGCCATACAAATCGCATTCGATATGTGTGAGGTCTGTGATACTGACCGGGTGCCCAAACCGAAGCAGGTGGTTTTCTTAGGGGGCTACTCCCCGGGTCTTCGACCTGAAGGTCTGATCCACAAGGCAGTGGAGCGTCGTCAGGAGATGCAGTCCCATGTAAGCCAGTGACCAACAATTGGTTCATACACCATTTGTTCCCGCAGGATACTGGAGCCCATGTGCACCATTGGTTTGGAATCCGGTTTGAGCGCCGGACATTCGCTTTTCGTCCTCTCATTTTCGTAAACAACAACCCCGCCACGAGAAGGCAGTGAGTAGGAATTCCCTAGCAGAGGCTATATACGCGTGGCCATGTGAGAGCATTTGGAGAGGGAGAGCGGACTCTCCCGACTCTCGGTCGTACCAGGGCATTTGGGGGCACGAACTAAAGACAAGTAAGGTAAACAGGTTTATTTTGTGTGAAATCACACAGTACCTTTGTAAAATATGAAAACCATACATTAAATCCATTATTCGCATATCTTCCTTGAGCTGCCCCTTACATTCATCATCGTGTTTCCAGTCATGTTGTTCTTTTGATTGCCCTCTATCTTCCTTCCTCTCCTCTTTGTTTCAATCTTCTGCTGGTAAGTATTCCACTTCCTATTCCCTCTATATACTATTCATATCTGTCTGCCTAAGTAGCGCACATCACAATATGCTTATGTATTATGCGGTTACTTTTTATCGTTGGACAAAAATGTCTCACTTTACTCATTCATCTTTTTCAATTTTTTTCACTATCCTGAAGAAGTCCAGATAAGATTGAAGGACCAAACGTCGGAATTACATAAATTTTGGTCGCTAAGATTATTTCAAATCTAATGTGTACACTACCGTTATTGTTATTATTTCAGCGCCTGAATCTCTCGCTCATCGATTTCCTCCTGTTATATCGATCTAAAATGTGACCACTAGAACTGTTACACCTTTATATTAGGTCAAACTTTGTTTATACTTGACTGTTTATATTAATTCTATGACTGATTGACATAGAAAACAATTATTTTGACCTTGAATGTATTCTAAGATTATCGATTACTCTTACTACTTTTCGTTTTACTCAAAAATAATGCTTGATTTATGAGCTAATCAAAATTTTACACTAGTAATCCAGTCTGAATGGCTTTCCGAGCCTGGTAACTGTGTTCAATGCTATTTGGGCCTTTTCATAAAAACTTTCCTTTGACATTTAGGTAGACAGATAGACAGGCAAAATTGACCACAATATAGAGGCCAATAAATTAGTACACCACTGTAACTAGATAGAAACAACATAGCGAACAATAATTTTACAAACCATAAAAGTTAATAATAATAATAATAATATTTGTAATGAGGAACTAGAATATACTCAGACGAGTAGTAAATAGTTGTAGAGTGAAAAATAAGATAAATTATTATAATCAATTTTGAAAGTTGCGTTTTGAAGACTTTCATTCCTAATTAGTTCTTCTTATCTTTTCTAGGCATAGAATATTCTCATTTTGTTTCATCTTTCAGGATAATCTACATATAAGTTGAGAAATAATCACAACTGATAAATTATATTAACAAAACTATTGAAATTATCAACATTTATGTTATTTTAGTAGGATTAAAATGTTTTTAATCGGTAAAAATTTCCCATTATATTAAATCACAATTATATGAACTTTTTTTGGTTTTTGTGACTACCCCTAACTCGATGGTCTTCCAATCATGGCGAGTCTTGAACATTGAACACGACTTACCGCCTCTTGAGTACACTCTGTTTACATTGTACTCAAAAAAACTAGCTGCCCTGGTACAATCTAGTCAATTTTACTATTAGGGGGGATTAAAATTTTTTTAAATATTTACTAAGTCATATTTAGATTTATTTTCATTCTAAGTAGATTGTTATCATAGTTTTATTGTCTGGTTCTCGAGTATATATATATTTTTTTCTTATATACAAATAGTTTAGCTTTATGCTATTGTCTTTACATAAATAGATTGAAATTTAACTTCTTTCATGATGTATAATGCTCTTTGGAATTGCTTTAACTGTTGATACATGTTATTTGTAATTTGCTTCTGGAAAGTAGATTTCTTTTTTTATAATTCTTTGATTAAATTATCATCTCCTACCAAATAATACATCATTCTCTAAAGATTCTTCTCAATTCTTTCAGATCTTTTTTTTCTGAATAAAGTCTTTTCTTTCCATTTATATAGAATTCCAAACAAGTCGTGTTGAAATGGAAACAGTTGCAGATATATTCGATGCTAATGGAGATGGATATATTGATTATCGTGAATGTTTAAATGCACTAAGAGCTAATTATAGTAATTTGGATAGAACATCATCATCGAATACTAATGGTGGTAGTTCATTAAGTTTAAATCGTTTCGGTCCATCGGATGAAGAAACTATTAATGATGAATTAAAACGTCAAGTTGGATTGTGTACATGTCATAACACATATAAAATTAAGAAAATGGCAACGAATAAATATCGGGTTAGTTTTAATTCAGTATAAATAAATATAGTGGATTTACAAACTAACAATGCATTTTATAAATCTGACAATATCACAGTAATTAATAGAATTTTTTTCTGTATATCAAGTTTACAGTTTGAGTAATTTACGAATTTCAAAAAACTTAACTCAGTGTCATTCACTGTTGATCTCGATTGCAGTATCTCTGGCTACAGTATAAAGTTTCAAGACTATCAGGAAGACAGGGAACTTATAGAGTGTTTTGATATTGTAGATATAAGGTTTTTAGTGCTTAACAGTATACAAAATACCTTAGTCCTTGTAGACTGATTATCATTGTCTAACAGCGTGAATTCATTCACAGTAATTGGTTAATAAAATGGTTGTATAGAATAGATAATACACCATTCGTTATTCTTCGAAACTTTCCAGGTACTCATCTAGTATTTTTGGAGGGTTGAAATTCAATATCACTGGGCTCTATAAATTCCATATCAATTTTTTGAAATGTGGAACAAGTTTCATGTTCATGTCATACACAAAATACTTTTATAATTAACTTTCAAGATAACCTTGTATTTATTTTCAGAAATATTACTAATAAACGTCTCCTTAACTCAAAGATTATAAATACTAACCATTCTTTATAAATATTCTATTTAGAGACTAGTTTTCATAATTAATAGTTTTATACAGGAACAGATAATGATTTTGCTGTTATAAATTTAAGACTATCGTTTTATTTGCAAAAGGACTTAAATCTCATGTGATAGTACTATCTTCATGTTAACAAGTACTTTTTCGTAATCAGTCCAGGAAAACTCTCCACGGTACTTATTCGTTATAAACTTTAAGGATAAAGTTTCTATATAGTTTAGAAAAACATATAAAACAAAGAATATACAGATATTAGAAAACAATATAAATATGTGTTACTAATTACGCTGACTAGTCAATGAGTAATGATCAATCTCATATCCGGCTACTTTTTGGTGGTAAACAAAGATTATCTATCAAGATCCTATGTAACCACTAATCTAAGTAGCAGAGCTTCCTGTTGACTATCTCCAATCACCTGAAGTATCGCTGATAAATACAAAAGTGAGTAAAATTAGGTATTGAATTTCATGTCTTGAAAATTTTATCATTTCAATGATAAACTTTCCAATGGTATAAAGTTGATTTGTTTTCAAAAGGCTGATAAATATTATTAATCTCCTTATTTTATTATTTATATTATATATTGAGGATATTGTTTCTTGAATAATCACTCAATAAATTAGTTAAATGACTAATAAGACCATCATGTAAACATTTGAAACTCATTCTGCTTTATTTTTACTTAATCAACTGTAAGTTAATATTGACTAGAATGTATTAGGTTTCTTGTATATATCTTGTTACACGAAATTCCATTTAACTATCATATCGTATTTTATATAAGTATTCTCTTGTCTCTTTTCTTTATGATATATTTTAAACTGATCAATGTTTTTTTCCTGATATACAGTTCGGTGACTCACAAAAATTATGTCTAGTTCGCATCCTTCGTAGCGCTGTAATGGTTCGTGTAGGTGGTGGTTGGGTGACACTGGACGAATTTTTAGTTAAAAATGATCCATGTCGAGGTACGTTTCATTCTCATTTTTCTCTCCTTCTCTATTATATATATATATACAAGACTAAATTTTTGATTATGAATAAATGTAGAATCCAGGCTCCACGTTTCATAGTATTGCAAAACACGACAATAGGCACAAGGAGTTTATTTTTATTGTAGGAAGTATCTACATATTACATATATATAGCCTTCAATCTTCCATTTGCATTATCGGTGCGTTCTTCAATTTGAACCATCTTCTAGTCTGATCTCTTCGTGTTGTGGTAACACCTTGTTTTCGATGTACTTAAACCCTTCATTCCATCTGACAGTTGTAGGACATCGATGTCAAGTTCCACTACTCATTGCTAACACAATATTGTGTGTAGCGTCCACTACAGTATCTGAGGATCGTCAGTTAAACATACCTGCATACTAGTGTTAATGTTCACGCCAGGATTCGAACCCAACGCTTATTGCTTTAAACTCTAACTTATTATCCACCAATCCAGCGGGGTAATTTGCTCTGGGTACACATATGTCAACAGCCGTGGTAAAAAAAAGTTGGAAATTACAAACCATTACTAATATCTTTTCACAAAGTTTGTATACCTTCCCAACACATATTAAATTACTTTTCTGATATATATATATATATATATATATATATATATATATATATATATATATATATATATATATATATATATATATATGATTGTCAACAGAAGGATCATTTGTCTTCAGTTCTAAGGAGTTTCATACTTAGAAGAAATAGATAATCAATGCTGTTTAGTTTTCAGTAGTTATTTTGTTAATGCTAATTCGTAGATGTTTATACACGCTTGAGTACGAGTTAAGAAGACCTATGAAGTCTAAGGTGTATACCATATGAATCTAAAGTAGTGTACATATACGTTTATGCATATATTTAGTATAAAATTTAGATATATGAGGATGAACGAGGCATAATAAAACCCTTACTTTGTGTTAGCACCACAAAGAAAATTATGTAAAGAAGGCTGAAAGGAATGAAAATATCAATATCCACACTGGAAAAAAATCGTAAGATTGAAAGTTCATAAGAAAAAAATTAGAGCAAAGAACAGAAATATGTAAAATGATGAAATATCGCTTATTTGGATAGGTCAATAAGATTAATTGTAGGCCATGCATTTTATTTATTTCTTTATGTAGCTCAGTAGCCAAACACAAAGTTTAATGTGCTCACTTCAAAGACACAGTTTCCATATAAAAACTACCAACACTTTAACTACCGAAATTGAGAGGCGAAGCTAAGTTTGAATCTTAGAATGAATTATTGAAAGCTGTCTTTTAACTACTAGGCGGCTATTCCACCTTAATTCATGTTACTAAACGTCCACTTAAGCTATTGAGTCGGCTGCTATTATGAGGCTCATAAGAAATAATTGCTACAGACTACATAGATCAGTGTTGTGTAACTACTTGGCCACTGTATAACATAGTTTTTATTATCAAATAACATGTCGCGTTAAAGTAAATAGAGTTTCAGTATATGTAAAATATATCCCACCTGGTTTGATCAATATAAGTTGACAAATGCATTAGTGGATTTTATTTTGTTTAAAATTCTGTCTAAACTTAACATTATCCAGTTGGTGGCTGGACGTCTTGAGAACAGTGTTTTGAATAATGTTTACTTTCTAGACAGTTCGTAGTAATGTACACCATAACACCAGACTTCAGATCAGTACACTCATTTGATATATAAATAATTTCAAATAGTTAAATATTGTATATATTTCATATTGTTTATTGCTTCTTATTATATGAACTTTTTTCTTTTGCTTTTCTCCTATGTTTTTCATTTATATTATCCTATCCATTTGACACATTTCTCTCTTTTTATTGTACACATAAAATCGTATATGTATATGAATTTCGCATATGAAATCTCAATTTTACTATTGCATGCATATTTCCATGTGTATGATTCTATTCACTACAATATGTGCACATTCTGATCCATTATGCATGCACGTATACATACGCATATTTATTTTTTTAGATGCCTGTGAACGTTTAACTAGTATAGCAGATTTAGCTAAAGCAGCCGGTGTTGGTCACGGTTCATACTGGTTTCCTTCATCTGTTACTTTTCAACATTCATCTTCAACAATAAAATCAAATCATCGAAATAACTTGAATAATAGTAGTAATAATTATAAATATAATCATCCAGTGATTAGTTCAACAAGTAGCTGTAGTGAAAGTGGTCACAGTAGTAGTTGTCATGATGGTAAACAGATTACTGATTATCTTATATCGAATACAACGACTAAAAATTCTATAATTAAATCTTCTGAATCATCTTTATCTAGTTCATCACGTTTAAAAACTGTTCATAAACGTTCACGTAATGATACTCATAATTTATATCAATTAATGATGAATGGTCCTGGACAAGATAATGCATTTTATTTAGTTATGCCTAGTACAAAGCCTAATCCAGCAAATCATAATAACTGTAGTTATAATAATAATAATAATACCACTAATTCTCATACACTAGGAAAGAAACATCAGTCATTACATACTAGAAAATAATCTAAACTTCTTAATAAACAATGTCAACTACAAACTACATACATTCATAAATATACATTTATATAGATGCATATATTCACACTTTATACGTTATTTCTTCATTTTACACAAAACCAACTTCTAAAATTCTTAAAAGTTATTTAGTTATCAATTCTTTAAATATATAAAATGTTTTCTTTGTAATTTAACTTAACATTCATGACGTTCTTTACATTGGCCAACACTGGAGTAATTATTGTCTTTACTTTGATCAAATGGAATCTAGTCATCTATATTTAAATTTGTTATTATGATCCAGTAAGCATGCATCATAATTACTGTTTGATATTGTGTTGTGCTACATGTTGTTAATCATTTTTTACGTGAAATGCTTAAATATTACCATCATCACTGTCATCATTTAAAGCACTATCGTCATTATCATCATAATGTTTGTTGTTAAAGTATGTTGTGATCATTCTATTGTTGTTGTGAAGTCTATCAAATTTATTCAACACATTTGTTTCAATGCACTTGATATTTGTTTTCATATATATCATGCATGCTGTTTTAACGTAGTCGTATACAATTAAGTTGTAGTTACTATGCATATATATATTAGTACGATTATATTATGCAACGTACTTTCTTAAAGATGTATCAACCTTACCTTACGAATCAAGAATGTATAAGAGGGTTTGTAGAGATTGTAGGATTTCCATAGTTTAAATCTCGATGCTGGCTTTCTGGTCTAAAGGTTAAGCGTTCACAAGTGAGACCTGTGGTCCTGGGATATCTTGGATCACCATCTCTGAGGAGTCTCATAATAGGACGAAACGACAGTCCAATGCTTTCAGATTTTCAACGGTGTTCTAGCTGAGATCAATTCATGATTTACATTAAAAATATATATTTATCATAACTTGATATTTATTTACTGGTATGAAATAGTAATTAAATATTTTAGACCTGTACTTTTATTGATGTTACGCATATTTTTAAGAATATAATTACTGATCTGGAACGATAATGAGCCATTAAATAGATATCTATGGTTTGAACATTATTTGGTGTGTTTTACCACTAACGGTACATAGTATTGAAAACCATGCTTAAAATCCAAGTTAAATAAGAAGTCTTTTCGTCCTATTTAGATTGAAGAAAGAATTCATACTACATTAACTTCTTGAAAATTAATCCTTGGTAAAAGCCACCTAATTTTAGTTTTATATTAATTGATATCCAACAGCAAAGCATATGACTGCAATACATTACAAATCCCCAATTGGATACCTCCCGTCCAGACTATTCCTAATAAATCATCATGAAAGTGGTGAATAATTATAGTGACCTCACTTAAGTTTATACATAGTTTATACAACCAAATCGATAGCATTCAGTTATCATTAAAGACAAATTAACATTAAAGATTTTCAGAAACTGACTGGTAAATGGTATTTTGACTTGATTATTCGTTACTAATATATTATCTCATTAAATACACTGTTGGACGCCGGCTCACTGATCTAGAGGTTAGGTGTTCGTGCACGAGACCGAAGGTCTTAGGTTTGAATTCTGTGTGCAATATCGTGGATGCATACTGTTGAGGAGTTCCATACTGGGACGAAATGGCCGTCCAGTGATTCCAGGTTCTCAGTGGTGATCTAACATTGATCAATTCATGATCTCGATCAAAAATACTATGAAAATCTGTGTTTATGAATCTATAGTTCAAATTCATTCTGCTTCACTTTGTAAACACATTAATTCCTTGAAATTCACTTATGATAATCTACAGTAAAGATAATTATTGGATCATGTAAGTGTATAATCATTCAAATAGTCCTAATTTCTATCATTGTGTACTATGTAAATAATCAATGTCAATATAGAAAATCAGGTCACAACCAGATAATGAATTAACCAGTTTTATCAGTTGACCTACAATCATATAAATAATTTAACACTAGTTATTGAACTTTTATTGTCACTAAATAATTAGTTGAATAAGTGCTAAAATGATCGAAGTAGTCGAACTGATAATTTGGTCATACAATTGACTATCTTATCTCAAACGAAATCTAAACTACTAACCAACTGAGGAAATATGTTCGGAAATAAAATCGACTTTTCTGTATGGAAAAAATGACACCAAAATAGTAAAAAAAAAATTTTAACCGAAATAAACAGTATTCAGTAACCAAAAATTTCTTTCACTAAAACTGTATGATTTTATTTATCTTAATCTGGTAGTCTAACATTGATCGATTCATCATCTCAATCAAAAAGTTATAAAATATTCGATTACTTTCTTGATATAGCTCATTTGTGAAGGTTGATTAGTGGGATTCAACTAATTCGAAAATCCAACTGGCTGAATTAAAATTCTTGGTTTATACTGTATATAAAATCAAACTGAAGTGATTGAGACCTTATTCTGATGTTTAATATCCACGAGTTTTATTGATCACAATTACCCTCTAATTCTGTACTTTTTATAACGTACTCCTTTTCTGAAATGTCAATTTTAGCATCACAGACTGAGGGTTGCAACAGGAATTTTATTCACTGCATATTTAAATGATAATGGGATATGATTGAAGTATAGGAATTATTTATAGAAATTGTATACTATGTTTACTACAAAGTTACTAAAAGCGGTCATCAGGATGCCTTGAGTCTAAAATTCATGACAGTTTACACTTGTTAATAGAGTTTATTAGTAATCCTGAGAGAAAACTGATTTCCTTCATTCTTAATTTTAAACACTGATCACACAGTATTAAAATATTTGACTATCAAACTGTGTTTCACGAGTTCAAATACTAGAAAGAACATATGTTCCATGAAAATGAGCAGTTACGTTTTGCAGATAGGGGTCAATTATCAAGGAACCTAGGTCTAGAACTTTCTACCAACTGCTTTTAATCTAACATTCAACTGTCTGATATTGGTCTACTTGGACTATTAGTCGTACCATTGAGTAGTTTTGTAATATGATCCTTACTTACTTACTTACGCCTGTTACTCCTCGTGAAGGAGCATAGGCCGCTCACCAGCGTTCTCCATCCAACCCTGTCCTGGGCAATCCTTTCTAGCTCCGTCCAGTTGTAATTCATCGTTTTCATATCTGCTTCTATTATCCGACGCAATGTGTTCTTTGGCCTTCCTCTTTTTCGCTTCCCTTCAGGATTCCAAGTTAGGGCTTGCCTCGTGATGCAGTTTGACGATTCGCGTAATGTATGTCCTATCCATTTCCATCGTCTTTTCCTAATTTCTTCTTCAGCTGGAAGTTGGTTTGTTCTCTCCCACAGAAGGCTGTTGCTGATGGTATCCGGCCAATGGATGTTGAGTATCTTGCGAAGACAGCTATTTATAAATACTTGTACTTTCTTGATTGTGGTAGTTGTAGTTCTCCAAGTTTCAGCTCCATACAGTAGAACTGCCTTGACGTTCGTATTGAAGATTCTCACTTTGATATTGGTTGAAAGTTGTTTTGAGTTCCATATGTTCTTCAATTGTAGGAATGCGACCCTTGCTTTGCCGATCCTCGCCTTTACGTCTGCATCTGAGCCTCCTTGTTCATCGATGATGCTTCCCAGATATGTGAAGGATTCTACATCTTCCAGAGTTTCGCCATCAAGAGTGATTGGATTGCTGTTTTCCGCTTTGAATTTGAGGACCTTAGTTTTCCCTTTGTGTATGCTGAGGCCTACTGATGCAGAGACTGCTGCTACACTGGCTGTCTTCATCTGCATCTGTTCGTGTGTACGTGATAGGAGGGCTAGGTCATCTGCGAAGTCCAAATCGTCTAATTGATTCTGAGCTGTCCATTGTATTCCGTGTTTTCCTTCAGATGTTGAGGTCTTCATAATCCAGTCGACCACCAGAAGAAAGAGGAAGGGAGAGAGTAAACAGCCTTGTCTGACTCCGGTCCTTACTTGGAATGCATCTGTCAGCTGTCCTCCATGCACTACTTTGCACTGTAGTCCGTCGTATGAGTTCCGGATAATATTGACAATCTTCTCAGGAATTCCGTAGTGTCGAAGAAGTTTCCATAACGTCCTCCTGTCTACACTGTCGAATGCCTTTTCATAATCAATGAAGTTGATGTATAGTGATGAGTTCCACTCAACTGATTGTTCGACGATGATCCGTAGTGTTGCAATTTGGTCTGTGCACGACCGATCCTTACGGAATCCAGCTTGTTGATCTCGAAGTTGGGCGTCTACTGCATCTTTCATCCGGTTCAGCAACAATCTGTTGAAGACTTTCCCTGGTATTGACAGTAGTGTTATGCCTCTGTAGTTTTCACATTTGCTCAGATCTCCTTTCTTTGGAATCTTGACGAGGTGTCCTTCTTTCCAGTCCATCGGCACTTGTTCCTCCTCCCAAATCTTTTTGAATAGAAGATAAAGCATGCTTGTGGTTGTTTCGATGTCTGATTTCAGTGCTTCAGCTGGTATGTTGTCGGGTCCTGCTGCTTTCCCGTTCTTGATTTGTCTGACGGCCATTCTAATTTCTTCCGTAGTTGGTGGATTGACATCTATAGGAAGACCTATGTGTGCTGCTTCGATGTCCGGTGGATTCATTGGAGCCGGCCTATTCAGGAGTTCCTCGAAGTATTCTACCCATCTGTTACGTTGTTGTTGAATTTCGGTGATTGGCTTGCCTTCTTTGTCTTTGACCGGCCTCACTGGTTTACTGTATTTCCCTGATAGTTTCTTCGTTGTATCGTAAAGCTGTTTCATATTTCCTTCTCTAGCAGCTTTTTCCGCCGTCGTTGCTAGTTCTTCCACGTATTTCTTCTTGTCGGCTCTAATGCTCCTCTTCACTTGTTTGTTTGCTTCTATGTATTCAGCTTGTGCTTGGACTTTCTCTGCTCGTGTTCGGCTGTTGTTTATTGCTGCCTTCTTGTTCTTCCTTTCTTTGATCTTGTCCACTGTTTCTGTAGAGACCCATTCCTTATGATGGTATTTCTTTAGACCGAGAACCTCTTGACACGTTGAAGTTAATGCTTCCTTGATGCCTTTCCAGTTGTCCTCCATAGTAGTTTCTTCTTCTTTCAGTAGATCTCGTAAGGCTTGGAACCTGTTGTTGAGAGCTATCTTGAATTCATTGAGTTTGACAGTATCTCGAAGGAAGGCTGTATTGAACCTTTGTATTGCTGTTTGTCCACCCGTCCAGTTCTTTTTTAGCTTCAGTTTCAAATTGGCTACAACTAGGTGGTGATCTGAAGCTACGTCAGCTCCTCTCCTGGTTCTCACATCTTCCATTGTCCTTTGGAATTTTTTGTTGATGCAAATATGATCTATTTGGTTCTCTGTAGTGTGGTCCGGTGAGATCCATGTAGCCTTGTGTATACGCTTGTGTGGAAATATTGTGCCTCCTATGACCAATTTGTTGAATGCACATAGATTTGCAAATCTTTCTCCATTTTCTTTCCTCTCTCCCAGTCCATGTCGTCCCATAATATCTTCATATCCAGTGTTGTCTATTCCGACTTTGGCATTTAGATCTCCCATTAGAATGGTGAGGTCCTTTCTTGGGCATTTCTCTATCACTGACTGCAGCCGCTCGTAGAATTGATCTTTAATGTCGTCGTTGCTATCATTAGTGGGTGCATAACATTGGATAATATTCATTAAGATCCCCTCCTTCTTTGTTTTGAATGATGCTTTGATGATTCTGGATCCGTGAGATTCCCATCCTACAAGTGCATTTCGTGCTACTTTGGACAGCATAAGAGCGACTCCCTGAGTGTGTGGAGCATTGTCCTCTTCGTGACCGGAGTATAGCAGCATCTCTCCCGTATTTAGCCTTTTCTGTCCAGCTTGGGTCCAGTGGGTTTCGCTGATTCCCAGTACTGCTAAGTTGTATCTCCTCATTTCCATTGCTATTTGACTGGTCTTCCCGGTTTCCCACATTGTTCGAACGTTCCATGTACCTATAAAAATTTTTGCTCTGGTTGTTAGAAGGGGCATCGGCCTCGTGGCTTCCGAAGGAACTCGGCTTTCACCATGAAGCGTCATAATTCTTCTAAATGAAGACCTTCTAACTCCCAGGGCAGAGTTAAAATGGTTTGGATTATTTTTTCTGGTAAGCGTTTTTTTAGCGAGTTAGTTTTCTACGGGATGGGGACGCTAACCCCATGCCCAACCCTCCTCCTTTACCCGGGCTTGGGACCGGCAGCAACCCTATAAGAGCTACCCTATCAACAGTATATCTCTGGTGGCTAATAAAGAGGAATTCTTGGTGCTCCATTGAGACATTGTAGGAAGTGAAATAAGAACTATCAAACACAGTGAATACATGTCCTACCATATCACAAATTAAAAATATTAACCAACGTTCATCAACTCACCAGTCTATTGGTGATACACCTGCTGGGAGACCTAAAGATCATAGGGTTGACCCTTGTCAAGATCATATGTCCATACTGAATGTTCTATCAGTCAGTCAGTAACAACGTAGAACTTCGTACGTACGTACATCAGTTCGAGTTGCCACACCACATTAGCACTGATACTCCAATTAGTTTCAGAATATAAAAATAACACTTTCAAAATAGAACTCCACAACTTTATATATATATATATATATATATATATATATATATATATATATATATATATATATATGCGCCAATGGCAGCGGTTGATTATTGCACAATATCATGAATTGATTGAAGTTAGACATATACACCATTGAGTAACTGTTAAATGATCTAGAGGTCAGGCACTAGTCGTGAAACTGAAGTTCCTGGGTTCCATCCTCAGTTGAATTGCTTCTCGATTTTCAATGGTTATCTAAGATCAGTTAATGATATAAACTGTGAAAATTCAACTACCTCCACAAACCCCTTATACCTATGTTTTGATGTCAGAGCATAAAATAATCGCTTGTGTTTTCACTTGTCCCTTATTTTTCCCTAATTTTTGTCTTTTTTCTCTTGTTAAACAAAATTAGCTCCCCAATGGAAACCGATCGGTGATTTTAATGAAGATTTACACAGTTCATCTGATTGTGCAATCGCACCAATCACACCTATATTGACAACGCTTCAGCGTAAATCCTCTTCCTTCGCCCATCGTCTACGATCATCACCAACATCACAATATAGTACAACGTCAGCCAGTTCATATGCATCATTACCTACATCAAATCATGATTTGAATGTAGTTAAAAATAACGATGAAAATGATAATACTATCACTGATAACACTAATGCTAATAGTAATAATATTAAGTATCGTCATGATCGACAGGCGACAATACCATCTCGTCATTCTGCTGCTTCATTATCTCAACCTCATAGAAATAGTATGTATGGTGAAACAATTTATGAAAAAAGTGTAGATGATAATTTACATCAAAGGCGTGCTTCAGCAATTTGTATACCTTCCATAAGTAACACAACACCAACATTTTCCAAAGAATTCAATAGCAAACAATCTGGTATGTATGTAGTCTTTATCACAAATATAAATCATATGAAAGCAAAATAACACTAAATAGGTCGTAACTACTCAACAGTACTCAATTATGAAATCAAAATCAAAACCTTCAGCTCACACGTGATGAACATCTAACTGACGAATACTAAATATGGCGAAACCCGCGTCCTGAATTCCACTGCTATTCATCAACCATCTTTGATCATAATAATGTTAAGACAGGAAAATAGAATTTAATAAATCAATTTATAAATGTAGTTTAATGAAATCTTCATACAATTTCATCATTGGCTTAATTGCAGTGTAACGACTGAGATACATGTCGATTGTATTTAGTAATAGAAGTAGTAGTAGTAGTAGTATTTGATCAGAATCAAAAGATGAATACTACTAGCACGTCTTAAGTAGTGAATACAATACATTTCCAGTTGATATTGATTCATATGAAGAGCTTTTTACGGAAAAAATTATTACTCACACATTATCCTAAAAATGTTCAATATACCACTGAAACTAATTTTTTATTACCTAACTGTTAACTTATAAATTTCGTTAGTATTATGTTGTAACGTGTGGACTGCAGGTTAGATGCGCAGCGTATTATTGATCGATCCAGTGACACGTAAAACACGTAGTGAACGGCCTAGAGTTCTGATTAGTCCCGCTTTCCTGTCTAGCCCAGCCAGTTGAGTCCGGAACGCAAGTCACAGCCTCTGAGATGTGAATCATTATATTTCAGACATACTCTATTTATATACCAACTAACCACACCACATCGTACCATAAAATAGAAAACAACATTTGTACAATATTTGACAGGTGAAATGAATATTGACCAATGGAAATGTTCATTTAACGTCCAAGGACACCATTAGATTTAACACGATATTTATTGGTATATTCCTCTGCATCCCTAACATATTATTCTTTATTTATTATGTAATTTAGAATGTTGTAAATGAATTACAATGTAATTAATCCTGGATAGTCGATTTATCTACTTGAAAACTTTTCAGTTGGAAACACATGTAAATTATTAAATATAAGGGTTCCAATGGAAAATTTCAGGCAAGAATGTATTACTCTGGACTTCAAAGCAATATATATTAGACTACTGAGTTCTTGTCTGAAAATTATGTACATCAAATGTCTTCTCTATACTCGGCAACCAATTTCTGTCGAACTATTCTTTCTCATTTTGACAAATATTCTTATATTGATTTCTTGTCTTTAGTTACTGATGAATAAGTAGTTTATGCATAATTCAAATGTACCCAAGGTCTCGAAGAATATCTTAGTTAAATGGTTGAAATCAATGAGATTACTATATGGTTTAATTTCAGTTAAACAATTTTAAATGATTAAAAAGAGAAACTAACTGTATATTATTATTCAATAGACTAAATGTTTATGACCACTAATTGTTGTTGTGGTGTAGGTATTGGATGATCACTATCTAAACTATTCTACAAGCTAAAATTGATATGATTTAACAGAAAATTGTTGAAAGAAAAATTGGTTTTAATCAAACGAATCATTAATTGGACAATGTAATTAATATATGAATTTACAATAGTAATTATTTGACATTTGAATTTCTTTTTGTACTCACCTGTAAGAAGATGATTAGTATCAGTGATATTTTACTTCAGAATTGGATAAATCATAATTTTATCATATTAAAGGTAGTTTACTAATGTCAAAATGAGATTGCATAAATTTTGTTGATTAGCTTGGATCTCATTTAGTTCATAGTGTAGATACAATATTTATAACAAAGTCTTGACTGCATTTATCTAGTAACTGTTTACTAAATTCTATAGCTTCTATTCCATATTCTTTATTCTTGTTGTTGTGGCGTAGGTATTGGAATTGATGTTAATTGATACCAGGTGCTAAGTTGACTATGTTCGACTGGTTTATTGAGTTTTTATTACCAAAAGTTGTACTGAACTGTTTTATTTTTTTAAATGTTTTTTTTTGTCAATACTTTTATAGGTGTCATTCAATCTGAGTATTTACCTCAAATAAGTAAAACAATGTCTAAATCTCAACTTTCTACATCTTCACCTAGAAATGATTCATTACCAACTGATCCTAATTTAATTCAATCCAATACGAAAACAAATAAAGATTCTGTAACTATGCCCGGTTCAACTTGTAATAATTCACGTATAGATATGTTATCAAAATCTAAAATTTCTTTATTACAAACTAATTTAAACACTAACAATTCAACCTATCAACAATCGACAGAATTAATTGACGTTACCGCGGATGCTGACACCAGAAATAATAATAATAATAATAATAATAATAATAATAATAATAATAATAATAATAATAATAATAGTAATAATAATAATAATAGATCTATGTGAAAAACTGTTTATTAGTTGTTTATTTTAATTCAACTAAATGTGTATATCAAAATTCACCTTAACCACTTAAAAATGGTTACTTTCGTTAATTTATTTTCGAATTTGTTTTCTTTTATTTCATCACATTATCATTTATTTTATTGGAAGTAGAGTTTATTATTTATTGTGTGTTGTATTATTCTTTTTTTTTCTTTTTTTCTTCCTTTTTTTATTTATTTTGCTTTACACATCACAGATTTGAAGAGAAAATCTACTTACTTATTGTATAAATAAATAAGAATATTAGATATGTGCACTTGAAAAATTGTCTTTATGCAACAAACGCCCTTTTTTTTCTTCATATAATTTTATTAAATATCTAAAAGTTCACTTCAATTTCTTCTTTTACACTCTTTGTTCCGAATGACGTAGCAACAACAATAACAACAACAATTGCAAAAACATTTACATATCGTTTTTTAAAAAAAAAGTGTCTACAAAAGTGATTTCTAGATTTTATGTATTTTATTATTGGGAATGGGTTAATTATTTAATCAATTGAATGAATAGGTCAAAGAGGCGGTATGCGGTGAATGGGCAGTGGTTAGATCAATCAAACAGCATTGTTGTCATATTTGTCTTTATCAATTTTAATGTTATATTAATTAACATACAGCTGCCATTATTTTTGTGCTAATAACTTTCATTGTATCTACTTACAAATTCAAGTTAATTTTTGTTATTTCATTTGTTCTTATGAATATTTTATCTTGTGCTCTTTTATTTATCTCTTTTTATTTGTGTGATGAACTATTTAGTTATTCTGTATTTCTCATTATCTTTATGTGTTTTCCGAGATTCCTTCATACGCTTGTATCATTCAATTTCTGTTGTAAAAAAAGTTCTCTTATTGTTATTACTCATTGTCAGTTTATATGGAAATAGAAATACATCTATATTAATGATGTCTATAGATTTTTTTCTTGGAAGTAATCTTTCTAAAAGGAGATTGTTCATGAACAAAGTTTTACACCGATAGATTATTGGAAAGTAGAGTGTAAGCTTGAATTCAACTTAACGATTCTTTCTAGTTTTCCGTACTTGTAAATAGTATTTTGTAAAAGCGAAAGGCAACTGACTAGTCGGTTTCCCTAACTCACGTGAAACATGGATCCACATAGGGTTTCTCTCACATGCCTTCAATCACTTGACATCAACGGATTTCAAATATTGATTGTTTCTGAGAAACGATATGGTTGGATTACTGGAAAATTATAATCGCCTAGAAGAGGATAATTATCTTCAAGGATTGGAGTGAACTGGTTACTATGTTCATATTCTGAAAATGAATCAATTCGTATGTCGTTGACATATTTTTATCTAAATAAATAGGATGATGCATTGTAATGGTAGCATATAGACATCTTCAAAGTAGTCGTGAATTCACAACACTTTTATAGTTATCGTGTGAATTAAATCTCATCATGACTATTTTAATTTTTGAAAGAAATCATTACAAGATGGCCAAAATAGCTCCCATTCAGAGAATAAATATCATGATCCATTTCCTCACAAGTCAGATTAGGTTATTTTCCTATTTCTTTTCCTTTTTATTTTGGTAATTCTCTTTCATTGTATATAATACGACCTGAGTCAATACATGAGATGGTAAAGATTCGTAGTTCAAATAGACGATTTTGGTGAAGTTTCGTCTTCCAGCTCAAAGAACGAAACTCCACCAAAATGACACAATACACATTTGCGCTATATATTATTATCCATACCGGCTCACTTAATTCTTGTTGTGACTACCTTAAACAAATTACTTTTTATTAAGATCTACCTATTTTATTGTAAAAGAAATCAGTAGAGAAGTTCCCGTTTCGAATTGAAGTTTAAACTCAACATCATTATCATATAAGTGGGTATTCAACAACATCGAAAAGTACACTAACTTTAAATAGATTTGACAATAGAACTCTACTTTAGAAAGATATTGAAACTGTGATATAATTAAATGTTTATGGTAACAAGTTACAAGCATGATTACTACTACAAGTACCTTTGAGAGAAATGCTGGGATGATATTAGAAATAATTATGCATAAAGATTTGGAAATATCTAGTAGTATGACTTATCTGAAATATAAATAAATGGAGATTTGAATCCAATAATCTTCCATCTGTACTATACCTAGTATAAACAAAACTGGACAATAGTTATAATAAATCTAAATGCCGAACTGTAGACTGTCTGTGTCACAGTAGTAGACACAATCCAGTTGCCCAAGACAACGTGGGTCGGGGCATGTTTAAATACTAAAGGATTCAGAAATTTATCACATTATAAGGTAAAGAGGCATGAAATCCTTAATTTATCACTGACTTAAAAACAACTATTTTGCTTAGCCCTAACGACAAATTTTGAGTGTATGACAATAAATATTTCGAAATAGTGGTTAGTTCAAGTATTATCGAAATATTTCCTCCAAATATCTACGTGGACACTTCTTCCTCCGAAATAAATGATGATATAGTATCCTGATACTATAGAATAATCTCTGATCGTAACCACGTTTAAACTTGAATCCGTATTAGTGATTACTGGAGTCCATTGTTATTAAGAAGGTAATCAGTACACATGTTATTGGCTTTTATGTCCATCTCAAAACAATATTAAACTATTCTATCATTTTTAAAATTACCAGTATTATTGAACGACCAGTTTGAAGAGTGAAAAGCGTTGAAAACTGTATATTTATGTGGGAGAAGGCTTGAACAACAAATTTAAACCACAGTCCTTTTATGTTTTTCCAATATACCAAATCGTGATAAGTTAGACACGTAGACTAATGAATGACTGTTTAACGATCTAGAGGTCAAGCACTCGGGAAACCAAAGATCCTAGATTCCATCCCCGGTTTGATGTACATTGCCGAGTAGTCCCATACTAGAAAAAAACAGATGTTCAGTGCTTCTTGGTTTTCTATAGTTATCTAAGATCAATCTACGATATAATCTATGAAAACTCAACAATCTCCACATACTCCTATACTAATTAGAATAAGATACAACGCATGAGATTTTTTTATAATTGTCAATACGCTATAGTGTAAACTATTTCACGATTAGTTCTACGTGAATAACATATACATAAGTCGCTAAACGATGACATATTGTTTCATTAAATTTTTAAAAAAAAGCAATATTTATCTCTTAAGAACTTGTTAATATAATAATTGTTTGTAAAACAATAACCGAGAAAATAAGTTTATAGTGTACAACAAATGCATAGAAAAACATGTTCAAAATTCATCATGAATAAATTAATAATAAGTGGAAAAGAAAAGAGGGAAGAATTTTTTTTTCAAGTAAAATAAGTGAGAAACATACATGGAAATGTGTTTGAAAGAAAACACTGATAATAATTATCATTATAATCTTCGTTCCTCCTTTTTCTTTACAGAATCTATATTAACAATGTGTGGATTAATTTAACTCAATGAAAAGTGGTCATAAACAGGTAGTCACAAAATGTTCCATTGAAAAAAAGAAGGATATACACATATATATCAGTAAAGAATAAAAATAAACACACAAAATATGTGATATATATATATATATATATTTTTTTTTATTTACACAAAAATTTATGGATATAAGCAATAATGGGATGAGACGAAAAAGAATAAAAATAGCTAACAAGCTTTTTGTTGTCGTCTTTGTTTTAATGAGATTCATGTTAATTGTTTTCTTTTCTACTTCTTTACTGAATGATTTTCATGTCTTCCAGTTTACTTTTTTTTTACATAGATCGAGGTTGTTTTAACGATGATTGTTTATTCAAAGACAGATTCTCATTGGAATTATGCCGTTTTAAAGATTTACGCGAATCAGATGAATGAATACTGGACTCTTCTTTTTCAGTTATATCAATGGAAACAGATTCATCTTTAAGTGAATCTCTTATCTGATCTAAGTCATCATTATGACCGGAAGTAGACGATTCTGATGATGCATTCGACGTAATAGAGATATCTGAGGCATTACATGAGATCGTTACTTCACCGGGTTTACTGTCTAAATATATTTCAGCACCAGGGAAAACATACTGATTTGGATAAATACGAGTAAATGTTCCAGCTAAAAAATTTTAAAAAACATGTAAGATTAATTAATTAAAACAGTGAGAATTGATATTATTATGTTTGGAGATAGAATACATTACAGATTGACACCTTAATTAGGGTACCATTGGATACTAATTTAGTGGCCTAAAGGTAACACACTCAATGTGGGATTTGAAGCCCATGGGTCCGATCAGTGTCAACGGCACAGTATTTATGAATTTCGTACTGTAATGAGACAACCATTCAGCTCTCTTTGGTTCTCAGGAAATGCATATAACTCACTGACTAACTACAGATTTACGTACTCGGCTTTGAGCTACAAACTGTGTGTGGGAGGTGATGACATTACCCGGCTGCTCAAGCCGAAGTATGTGGAGAGGGACTCGGAAATGAGAACCATTAGTTGGAATTCAACTCTTTAATTATTAAACCATCGTTATCCAAGTCACCACCTCCTAAATGACATCAACTTGTGATTAACACCACCAATAAATTAAGTTAACATCCACAAAACCTTAAATTAAAATATTAAAACTTTGACAATAATCATAATAAGCAACCTTTGTTATTTGATGAGTGTCATACAAGGACTCATTAATGTTGATATATGTTACATCCTAAACATTGCTTGTTGAACAATCACAACTCGATAGCCGGGTGGATGGAAATGTTCAGGAATTCGAATTAAAAAGATGAAGTTCACTTGTTGACAGAAAGTTCAATATTTATATAACACGTTAGGAACATACATCGTAATCTAATTAATACCCCTATTCATCCCAACAAATAAAAAAGACGAGGACGATTCAAAGCAATTTGAAAAGGTGAAGTGTATTTAGGAACACCGCATAAACATTAGCGGGAAATAACCACAGGTAAGTTACTGGTCACTCATTAGTGGAGAAATATTGGAAAGTGTAAAAAGAAGAAATTTATGTAATGAAAATTCTATTTCCACGAAAAAAAGTAGTATGGCTTCCGCTCATGAAAAAAGATTGTTTTTTCATCTTTAGAATAGGAATCGCGTATTTTTAGATAACTGGCTCCCATTATAAAGAATTTGAGTCATTAGAATTTGTTTACGAAAGAATCGTAATACAGTACAAAAATGGGTATGAGACTGGTTTCATACCTAGCCGTGGATGTAATCATCGAATCTTTCTTCTTCAGCAGGCTTTAAAACACATACTAACATTCAACTGTAACTAGCAGTTGATTCCATCAACTCAGAAGCATTGTTAGTGTTTGTTATTGGGAGGTGTCCCAAAAAAAGTATGCACCTTCTATAGACTTTTTACTTGAACACCTGATCGAATTACATCTTACAGAAAACTATCATCGGAATCAACAACTTGATGAATAGCTCAACAGGGCTATCCACTATCTTCATTTTTTCAATTAACTTTATCATAGTAGATGTCACAATCTTATTCTATTGTTATATTCCTTATTTTAGAACCATATTCCAAATGTTTAGTCTTTCTTATTATCATTAATACTACGCATTACTCTGATCTATTTGCTATTCACTCAGCTGTGATTACATATACTTGCTCCATGCGAAATGACTGATTTGAACTCACAGCTCTGTAATTGGAATTCGAATATCCAAAATACCAAACCCTCAACTTCTGATTTTCAGGGAATCGGATGACTGATACAATTTTTTACAAAATAGATCACAAACAAACCCAAGTACACCCCAGTGTGAGTCGAGATTACTGCTTTTGCGCTTCACAAAATAACTCTATACGATGATTTAACAATAACAATGAGAAAATATAACTACCAATCGTAAAAGGGACCATCTATGTTATTTAGCTTAAAAGAAAAGGTGCTTCTATTGACTATTCAGATAATGAGTGCATTTTATATTCAAAAAATGTAATTAGTCCATTCTTTACATAGTTTAAATGCCAATATCTTATTTACTTTACCATGGATACTATGTAACTAGATTTTTATACGACAACAGTGAAATTATTACAATAAAAAAAGGATGCAAAAATATACCGGTTAGAAAATATATCTAAAAATTGTTTTTTCAACAGAAGGTTAAAAAATATTTTTGTAATAGTTATATATTAAAATGATAGACTACTTACGTGGTAAACTCGACGCTACCTCCCAAACACACTCTCCATCTTCCTCATCTTCACTAACTTCAATTACTGCATCATTCGGAGAATTCTTATTAATCACCTCTGAAGAATTATCAGACGCAGAAACCACAGTAGAGGTACAAGTCTTTCCATCAACTTCTGAATTATTTATTTGGGATTGATTGTTCACTAAGTCCGAAGACACTGTGTCCTGAGCAATGAGATGAGATATATTTGGAGATTTTTCATCAGATTTTAGTGGTTCAGTTGTATTTTTTAGCGAATTTAAGGGAATTTCAGTAAGAGGTGTATAATCTGATAATCCGGAAACTTCCCAACCCAATCGATGGCATAATTCGCTGACAATGATATCACAATCTCCAAGCAATTCAACATCGAAATCATGATTAGATAAAGGTTCTCTATTAATAAGTATTTGTGGAACTTGCCTAGGAACAGCATCTGTGTTGGTTTAAAAAGAGATAAAATGGGTTTGAAGTAGAGAGTAAGTTAGATCTCGAAACATTAAGAAGTGCTAGAAAAATTCAGTACGAAAGTAATCTTGAAGGTTTTCAAAATAGCATGAAGCAACTAATTTGTGCATCTTATACTGTACTTATCTTTAAACTAATTTCAAGCTAGTGAATGGAGTCATGAATAGGCACAGCACTACACTATCCATTGGTCCCATGTTTCAGAGTTAATATTTTTGAGATATTGAATTAAAATTGCAAAATCTGATAACAATCAAGTCGAAAATGGAAAACGGGTGGCATCTAATAGTGTTGAAAGAAGTTACAAGAAATTATGAAGGTATGATCTAATTAAGGGTTTAGGTGGATTAACTATCACTCAGGTTCAAAACTACACACCCTACATAGTTTAGAATAGGTAACCATAATAGCTAACCCATAAACACAATAGTTGTAGACTATGGTCCACCAAGTAGCTATTGTGTTTACAAAGCTACTACAATTGCGTCAAGAAAAATATAACATAATAATGTAAATGATCTTGTAGGAAATATGAAATAGATTTTTATACGACAACGTATAAAGTCACAGAGAAGTATAACCATTAAGTTTCGAATGGCAGTAATAATTTACAATTACATCACTTTACATAGATCATATAGGAAGTAGTGTACGGATATATCACATTGATCTATTTCCGGGGACAAATAAATACATATCAACAGTCTTTGTAACAAACATAACAGTAGCTATAGGGAAATAGATTAATAATATTAATATTAACAGAGGAGCTCCAATCCATTTTGAAGTGGCAAAAGTACCTATTCGAAGCATCTCAGAAGATAGTTATGGGAAGGTTGGAGAAGTTCGCTTCGATACTGTCCAGTTCGATTCAGTCGTCCGATTCAGGGTGACTGTCAGCCAAATTAATAACCACCAACATAGTCAAGTCACATTTAGACCCAAATCCGGCATGCGACGAAATCTCAAATGTCATGCAAGATATTGCTAACCACGATAATGAAATTATCGGATGCATTGGTGTACTATTTAAATGTATTTATCAATTTAATAGTCATATTATCAACCCTAAATGTTGTATCACTTTTCATTCATATAATCATATTGGCAATAAAATATCTTATAAATTCATATTAAATTATAAACATCCAGTTTTAACGTTCAGTTGTGTCAATCAGATGATGAGAAGAGCTACAAGATGTTGACCATTACTCCCTGAAGGTTACACCTTCTTCAAGAGAGGGAGAGTGATGTGCACCTATTCTAACGGTTTCAATCGAACTTATTTTCAAGAGATGATATAACGAAATCAGAAAGAGAAAAAGTCAGTCAGTGTAAAAATTGGTAAGTATGATACAATAAATACGTATTCATATAATAAGTACTGATTAATTAATGTTAAATACTACTCAGACAAATTAAATAAACCTGGTAGTTAATCTGACCGTACATAAATCACATAAAAAGTGATGTACATCATGTATGTCATTTGAATTTATTTCTGGAGTCAAGTAAATCTATCTAAGTAGTCTTTATGAAGGAAATAATAATCAGTTTCATAGCGAAAATAAAACAATAATACTTACTAGGAATATGAGAGACAGGTCGAACTTTTAACGATGATCCAATAACTAAAACTAGATCCGTCTGTTTTATATCATTGGAAAGAGAGTCATGAAATTCATTTGATAAACCTTCACCAAAAAACACGATATCCGGTTTTAATACACCATATGAAGCTAGTCTACGTCGAGATTTATTAGTTCGTTTCGATTTAACTTTTGGAGATGTATCAACTGACATATTACTATTATTATTATTAGGATTTTCTTCTACAGTAGATAAATCAGATGAATGATTTGTAGACTCCGAATCATTCATTTCATCTGGTAATAATGATGATGAATCGATTTTTGACGGCCAACAATTTGTACATCGTGGTATAGATTGATTAAAAATAGCCTCTTTAATAAAATCAGATGAAACTTTTAGTTTACAGTTTGTACAAGTGGCTGATGCAAATGAACCTAATAATGTGATAAATCAATAAATCAATAATGATTAATTGATATAAGTTAAAGAAAACAATAATAATGATTGAAAAATATCATTATAATAGAAATTTAATTCATAATTAGAAACTATTTTCATTCATAAAATAGAAAACAACAAATTTCATTATTAAAAATTATAAACAATGACAAATAGATATGGTTAATATGAAAGTTATGTATTTCTGTTTAATCAAAAGATATATATATATATATATATATATATATATATTCATTCTTTTTTAATGGTGATCAAGGTGTAACAAATGAAAAACAATAATAATTAATGACTATTAACATCAATACGTTTCTAAGCTTTTTCTGATTGATTGATTGATAGATCAATAAATGAAAAAGTGGAGAGTATTAGAAAACTGCAAAAATCGAATTCAGCCAAACTCCAGTCTTCTGAAATTTGCCGAAGCAGTTGCTATCAGGCGCCAAAAGCCTGATTTATGTGTTCAAAAGAAGATGGTTATTAATTTTTCCTTGCCTTGGTGATTAATATTCCTTCGTTATATCTTAATAATTTTTTTTCTTTTTCTTTAAACTCTTTCTTGCATTTATTACACCATTGCGTTTTATTTCAACTATCTTACTTTATCAACTGAACTCTACTCATTTTATTCCTATCAAGGTTTATTTGTTTCTAACCGTTTGCACTGTTGTCACAATGTTCTTTCATCACATAAGGTATATATTTACAATATTCAGTCTATTAAATTTATTTACACCCTTGCTATACTATATGAATATGTTTTTAATATAACTTCCAATCAAACTCTTTTATGTAAGTAATTTAAACCCATTATGTAATTATGATTTTTAAATATCACAGGTTGTAAGCAGCTGACGAGAACCTACAAAATAAAATGAATTCATGCTATTCTGTTAGAATCTTTGTTCTTGCTCTTTTCAAAATGATAAAAGGAACTATGTGTATGAAAAATCTCAGAATTACAAGCTAAGATAGTGTGAAGAATATGTTGAAGATCAAGGTACCCACTCAGATTGCATATATCCCGAAAGAGATTGGTCAAAATTTAGTTATGAATATCAGCAATAGGAAAACCCAAACCCTTAGGAATAATAGACTTTGAAGATCAGTTTGACGAGATTTTGATAGTAACTCAAACACTGAGCAGAATGCTGACCCAGATAGTTTTGTCGCAACTGATTTTACGAACAATTTAACGGAATTAATACAATAGACTTGAATAAGTTGTCAGTCTGTCGGCTGATTATTGCATTCGACGAATTAAAAAATTCGGGCTGATTGCTTATTTTTAATCATGTTAAATGACAGGAAAAAAAACATAAAATAGTACAACAATCACAATGACACCTGATATATATAAAAGCCTATATTGATCTTCATCGGCCGAGAAAGATAAAACTTTATATTGGCAGGTAAACCTAGTCCCAATGACCTTGGATTGACAACTATGAAATAAACACAGACATGTACATTAAGTGTAGCAAATGATTTATCGTAAACCCTCTACCTTTCCAGATTGATTCTCTCTGTATGTATTGACTAATTGTATAGTAATTCTTTAAGTTCTAGAGATGATCAAGTTGGATGTTTATGGTCTAGGCTTACACTTCAACCGACTTTACTATAGCTACTTCGAACTGACAGGTTGATATCATCTTTCTCAGGTTAATCACCTTTGAATTTTTCGAAAAATTAATTTTAGATATTTGCTTTCATAAGTTCAACTGTTTGAAATGAATTCCAAACAAATACACTGACATTATTATTTAATACGATATTTTTAGGATCAACTATTTTTTAAATTACGAGTTAAGCATTAAAAGTGGCCAAGTACAGATCAATGCAGTAAACTAGTTAGGTAAATGTTAGCTGTACCATTGATCTCCATCAAAAATTTCTCGATGGAATAAAGATATGGTTGAAAGCAGTAAACTAAAATATAAGTATCGAGTGTTCAAACCAGCGGTGAGAATAAGAAAAATTCTAGTATTGATTTTTTGAGACAGATTTTCCATGAAATTGGTTAGAATGACTCAGCTTCCCTGTACTCTGCTTCTCTTTGATTCAACCAACTCTTTCTTTTAATAATTATTACTTACGAAAACTCACCTAGAATCTCCAAAAAGTTCAATACTACTCTCACTTCGATAATTAATACTTATACTGCAAAAGCGGCCGGTTTCGTAATAATTTTACAGACAAAATTGTCCCACGTTTCTTTTAATACTATGTCCAAACTTCATGAAAGTAACGAAGACCAGAAAGTCTAACAAGCTGTTCGAGACCGTTCACCGCGTTGTGTTTAAACATATAAATGAAGGCAAAGAAATATTACACAGTAGAAATATCATGGTAAACATGAAACCTAACAATTAATCCCTTACACACCATGACACTGAATAAGTCGAGTAATTCCAGCAGCCTGTTCCAAAGTATCGATATTCTGTGTGTAGTTACGCAATAATTTGTCTTTGGACTCCAATAAAGCAATCATCCGGTGAGTAATCGAGGGTGAAAACTGACCAGGGAAGAGCTCCTAAAGTTTTTCAACGGTAAAGATAAAGAAATAAAATGAACATAATCAACATAACCATTCTTTTATGTAAGCATCACACATGATGTAGCAAAAAATTGTCTAGTACTGTAATATTTGCAACAATCGTGTACCATAAAAATGGCAAGTCACAAATCTCTTAACTATTACAAACCAATGAACTAAATCCCTACATGAACAAGCTTAATTTTCAAAATGTCAGTTTACATTCTTTCTTAAAAGAAAATGTCCCAAAATATTGAATAATTGTCTGTCGTTCTGTGTCTCAAGGTACAACGATATCGTCAATGTATTTGAGTTCCAGAAGTGCAATTTTCTGTTTTATTTAGACTGTGATAACGGCAACATAATATTTATTTGCTTTAAATTGTATTAACCACTCTTCTATTTTGTCCAAACTAATCAACATATGAGATCAGTTAATCAAATAAACATATCATTCATAAAACGTAAGTTGTTCTATTTCATAATGATATATGGTGAAAATAACACAACAAATTAAACAAACGTAAAACAATATGGTGTACATATCCCACTTGATATAATAGGAATGAATTACAAATCATCAGGACTTCTAATAGTCGATCTTATTTGGAAACGTTCTGTACTTGTTATTAGTTGACAGCTTGAAAAAAAGTCAAGCAAGTATATTTAGTCAAAAGGCTTCGAATAATGCACATTTTTTTTATCTTTAATAGATGTTGGAGATTTAAATGGACGATTTGTGACGCAGTGAAAAAGAAATGATTGTAAAATTCGACAAAATTTAAGAATGCTAATTTATCTACTTTTCTCAACGCTATGAGAGCTAACCACCGAAACCATTATCCACGGACGAATCAATGAGATTAAAGATAGCAAGTCTAGGATTTTTGAGCAAAATTCAATCATTTATATGATTAAATAGCATTTTGCCATCATAGCTTGTCAGTTTGTGATGAAAACCCCAACTCTAATTACTAACTCTGTTTTCTTACTCTGAATACTAATCTTATTTCCTAACATTAATGCATAACCCTCTTTTGACCCTAGCAAGTGGCTGAATTTTCTCATAGTCACTTCAGCATCGCTTGAAGATCGTTCATAAATTATAGTCTCACCAAAAAACCTTATGAAAGACAAAATGTCTTTAAAAATATTTAGGTTATTTAAAAGAAATGACAAATATTGCAAAACTATCTGAAGATATCCATTCATTAAATTTTAATAGTCCACCAAAGTAAACAAAATTCGTAACATTTGGTTAACTTTGATTGAAAGATACAAGCGATAATTGAATTACATTGTTTAAATGTTATCATTTTAACAATTATAATCCATTTAAATAAATTGATGCATATTCGTAAAATGACCCTTATTATGAAGGTAGAGTATTACAGCATTTCAATATCTATGTCAATTTTAATCAGTAGATTTTTATCATACTAATTATCAATGTTACGTGAAGTAGGATTTCTAGAAAAATAAACCATACCTTGGCGAATTTAAAGAAAGGAATAGGATTTCGTTTGAAATATGACATGTCAAACATTGCCTGTGGACTTGATAGATCTGGATAATCCCGAGATAAGCGAGCATAAATACCATCACGAGAACGAAAATCAGGAATTCCACATGACACTGAAATCCCAGCACCAGTGATTACGAGGATTGATGTACAAGTAGACAGAAGTGACAGAACTTTTTCTAAACTATTTATACGGCGCAGTCTACGTCGTGGAGCAGGTTCGGCCAAAAGTGTCAATAATAAACTTAATAATTGGTTAGGATCAGATGGTAAAGAGTTTTCATCCATCCCAAAAACACGAACCAACAATAGTCGTGGATCATTAAAGCCAGCTTGTATAAGCCTATTCAGCCGCTTGAAAGGACCTGATGCGATTTAGATAATAGGAACAATTAGTACTTACACTACATTTAATAAGAGAAAATGAGAAATTTAGATAGAACATTATGATGAATCTACTACAGAAATACTGAACATGATAATCATAGACAAAACCTATTCCAATAAAAACACTAAATTAAAAGTATACGTAGTTGAAACGGCAGTTTGGTTAAAGTTACTGCAGAGAAAGAATAAGGAAGTAAAAATCTGAGATTAAAACAAGAAACGTAGACATGTGATAAACGGATCTAAAATAATAGATTCTACCTATCCGAGCAGCTAAAACAATCAAGCTCTTTCATATGATACATAAATGTTCTTAAAGTGTTATATGATACAGTTAATCCTGAATTAGCCAATACACGAAAATATATTGGTGTAAATTTTGGCTATACATTTGAACTCTATTTATAACATTAGTTATCTAGTTTGTTACTTGAATGGTTATTTTGTTACACACGTACATTAATGGGATTAGTGTGAAGACAGAAAAGTGAGAGCTGACCGTAAAACAACACTTTAACATTCAGCAAAGGATATTAAGACTTCTCGAAATTAGTCGTTTCTGAACGCAAGTATGCAGTGTAAGTAACAGATGAAGTAGAATTGCTAGAACTTTGATTTATGTCGTTTCATTCTACGTAGGACCCATCATACACAGGAATTTAGTGTTTCCAAAGACCCGAATACAACACCAAGAAAAAAATCACTTTATCTGAGGAGAATATTGATAACCAAACAGAAGTGATGTGTTGTTACTTCTAATTGCATTGATAGATATCCGCAGGCCCATATTCCATATACGGAAATGTTTATGGTGTCATAAGTCACCTTCCTGTTAAACCTATCCTAAGCTCTGCAGTTTTAGATAATAACATACATTATCAAGAAAGATAGTGGTGATATCGATATATATACACAAAACAGATATACTGGTAACAATAAATTGGTTTGACATGACAAATCAATAATCGGAATGCTAACTCCTTTTAGTAAAATTTAGATTAATCAATGAATTAAAGATCAAAAACAGAGGTAAGTAACTAATTCAAACCACCTGCTCACATTACGCCAACCAAACATCAAATGAGAATGAATTCATTTGATAACATAAAATTTCATCGCATAAATTCATATTGAAGGTGAAAAAAACCCATAATGTTTGAACAAAAAATAATTGATTTATGTCCCGAAACGTAATTGAAATGGCAATTTCTACTATTAATTTGTCTTTTTCGTACGATTATTACCAAAAATTAATCATAGAATTAAGTATAATAGGAATAATCGACGAGGAAAATAAATTGCCTACTACATGTTTTAAACAAGCTGTCTACGAATACTAATTGGTGCACATTTAATTGTCACCAAAAACGAATACTAACCGCAGAACCATCTGTTCTGCTTGGGTTCTTGTGAAGCCTCTACGCTGTACGACATACAGGTTACATATCCAAAAACGGCAGTTTAGCGACTCTCATTTCAACAAATTTTCCACATAATATCTTATGATAAAACATTTCTGTAAAATTCGAAGTTCTCAGTAAGAATTTTTGTACGTTTAAGGGTAGAGTTCCAAATGAAGTTACGAGCGTAGGAAAAAGAACAGGACCTTACGTACGGAAGATCATTTAAAGCTATTCTGTTGTTACAAGTGAAGATCAATAATCAAGTAACATGTATCTTTGTTCGGCTCTTGAACTAGTGATACTGTACGGCTGACCAAACTGAAGTAGGTCGAATGGGGCTTGATTATTCAGAAGCAGAAAATTAAGGAAATGGTGTCAACTCAAGCAACTATAACATTATTACAGTGAAAAAGTTAATACATGAGACGATAGTTTTTGTTATTGTTAACTCTTTTTTTAGATAGTATCATAGAAATGATTCTTTGTTAAATTTTTAATAAAGCATATTTGGCATAAATACTCCTAACAAAATAGTTTTAACTATCTCAGACTAAAGAAATGACAAACTGTAAGCGCACAACGATTTCCAATTTCATGAACAGATTATAGAATCAAGAAATCTTAAGAAATACATTAATTATTTGATGGAAATTAAAAATAGAAAGGACAGGAAATAGGACTACTCCATAAAGCCATTGAATATTTTTTTAAGCCCTGAGTGGAAGTACAGACGTTCTAAACGAAGAAAAAAGTAGTTGAAAGCCAGTCAGTCAGTAACAACGTAGAACTTCGTAAGTACGTACGTACGTACATCAGTTCGAGTTGCCATACCACATTAGCACAGAGATGCAGTTGTCGATTCAAATCCCGTAGTGGTAGAGGTAGTAAGAGTATAAGCAGTAATCCGAAAGATTAGGGTTTGAAGATGTTATATAAAGAGTATAATCCAGTGAAATAAATTTGGAAAGAAAATAAAGGACATGAATTCAGAAGATTAGAATCTGAGAGAACATAAAAAGTGGATGCAGTTGCGCCATTGCAAACGATTTTGAGCCATGTCATTCAAGGTCTCTAACCATCGGTTGCTATCGTCTCGCGGATCCCAACCAGGTAGTCTACACCTACCAACATGACTCAGTCCACTTGTCAGTGACTTCATGGATTTGTGCCATGTTTTGGTCTGACCGCCCCTAGCTTTCTTCCAACCTACTCCTATACCATTGAACATCGCACGTCGAGGCAGTCGGTGGTTGGGCATAAGTAACACGTCTCCCAGCCATCTCAACTGATGAAGTAGTAAAACTTCATCAATTGATTTTTCATCCTTACCTAGTACCCGTATCCTAACAACTGCGTTACTTACTCGGCGGTCCAAGGATATAAGAGTAATGTTTCGAAGACACTGTGGGGCCCTTGAATTTTGTCGTCATTTAGATCGGACGATGTTGTCGAAAAGGCTCTCCACTTTAGTGGACCGGGTTCTGATTCCAAGGAGATTGTAATGATGATTGTTGTTGAAATATACATGTCGCCTATCCTCGTATATAATCATCGACTTAAATCGTGTTAGTCAATAACGGAATTTAATAAGTCAAATAACGCGAATGGACTTTTGAATACAAATATTTCGTATATAGAGCGAATGGAATAGAACAAAGCAAAACGACGAACAGTGGAGATGGCGGGTAAGCCAACTCCCATTTTACCAAGCGTTAATCAATATTTATAGTTACACAAAAGTAAGTTACAAATACGTGATGAGTAATGGGATAAGAAATGTACACACACCTATGCGCTCATATAAAAACAGTCAAGATTGATAAGCGAATAAATAACAAGGTCAGAATGTGACTCGAGTAGAATGAATAGAATGGGCTGTCCGAAAGCTAGAATAAGGTATAGGGCTTAATATAATAAACGACACTACAACACCTATGATCAAATACTAGTAACCTACGAATATCCTCTACTCTTACCGGCCATGTTTCACTGCCATAAAGTAGGACGAAACGAATTGCTGCACAGTAAACACGTCCTTTGGTTGGTAGACGGATACCTCGCCTACACCATAAATAATGCAAGTTAGCAAAAGCTAGTCGAGCCTTCTGTATACGTGCTGAGATTTCGTCACACACCAGACCACAAGGGCTGACGAGACTTCCAAGATAAGTGAGGCAGTTGACACGCTCAATTACTACACTCCCTATCATTAGTTCGGGTGTCGATGCGACCCAATCCTGACCTAACGCTATACCTAAGCCAGCGAGGCCACGGGAAGCAGCATCAGGGCTTCCAGATACACGAAGCGTAAATCGAGTCGGTTCTTTATTTTGACATGGTGAGGTCAAATGAATGACGCTACTCGGATCCCGTATGCGCGTTTCGGAGACGCAGCACACGTCGATGGCGCGAGATTCTAAAGTCCTAGCTAAGGAAGCCTGTTGTCCTATTTGGCACATTTTTTGAACGTTGAAAGCTCCTACGTGTAGTTTAGAGCGTGGTTTCAGGAGACCAGGAATAGCGTTCCGCGTACTCGAATCGTTTGCCCTAGCGGTGCGAGGTGATAAAGGGACGTGAGAAGGGTTAGTCGTGGAGATAAGAGAGGTATTAGGAGGTGTAGGAAGGGTTTGAATGTGACCAACTTGGTCTCATGTGCTGTTATGGGTATGTGGACTGATATCACTTCCCGGCTGCCCACACCGTGGAAGGGTATTTCTTGAGGAACCTGAAAAAGAAGTCGGATTAGTGTTGGCCTTAATGACCTGGGAGCGTGACCGCAGAGCCCAAGGGACAACTGCTTGAGGCCGGTTGCGCACGATTTTTTTGTGGGAGGTTTTTAATGTGTTAGCTCCGTTCTTCAAAGGACCTTACCGCCGGAGACGGAAATCCGTGAGGTAAGGTGAGGTGTGACATTTTTAAGGTCAACCTTTTCTAACCCCTTCCTTCCTTGTGAGAAGGCAGCATCGCTGCAGATGCTGGTTGTCCGAGGGAAACACCTTACTGCTGTTACACCCCTCTACAGTCAGCAGTACGACTTTGCCCTCAGACCTTGAGTTGCTGCTTTTAGTCTTACCGTTCTCAAATCAACCTCCCTGGCATGGTAGAACCTACAGGAACATATGTTCCAGTCAATATATCTCGGTCGGGTCATCACGATAGGCAAGCCTGACCACCGCGTCAAGATAGCAGCTACTGTCGGGAGTTGAAAGCCATAGATACATAGATCAGATTTGGTTAAAATAGAGCAAATGTATTATCCCTTCATTCCTTAGATCATGAAAAGTTAATTACAAGTTCATTACGTCCCCCTCTCGATTTATATTTTTCTTTAATTTTTTTAAACCTTGTCGATCCTCTTTTTTAAGCTCTGGAGAATTGTGGTGATTTGAGTTTATATACTTTCCTACGTTTGTAATATTTATGGTTTGCCAAATAATCTGATTACTCTCCGAATGCCATTACATACTCCAGATAATTTATACGAGGTGACTGAACGAAGTATACTACTGTTAGTGATAAAGAGCATAAGAGAAATTTAAACCAATCCTCACTAAACTTTATATTAAAAAACCACTTCAATGATTAGTGATTGGATGTCACAAATTAAATATTAGCGTTTCATAGACATACCATGAATATCACGCCACTTCTCTTCACCTTGCAACTCTTCAACATTTAAGATCTCACAATCGCTTTCGGCAGACTCGTCATTATTAGTATTATTATCATCATCATCTTCGACAGATATAACACTGCTTGAAAGTTTTTCATTTGAAATATTGTCATGAGAATTCTGTGAATCATTCTCATCATCTGAACTAAGGACAACTATTTCTGAACTGTCTATGTTGATCGACGGCTCTTTGTCAGCTTCCATTGGATAAAGCTGAAAAATGTAGTTTTTTAATCAGACTTCGAAAGAACAACAAAAGAAACTTCTGTAATTTTACGATATAAAATGATACAACAATGTATGACAGATTAATTATTAGTCCTGATATTAACAGCCACAATTCTTACTTTCAATACAAACATTTTGACTTGAATTTCTAACACTTCAGTAGACAGGCAGAAAAACACGATATACTACAGATTAGTCACATCCCAGGTTGCAAAACACAAAATACCAAGAAGAACTCAACAGGTTTAAAAGTAAAATTTAAATTAATAAGACCAAGAGTGGTGGGAATGATGAAAAATAAGAGGTAGTCTAAAGAATCAATGTAATGAATGAGAAATATGAAGCAACGCTATTTAAGGCTAAAAGGAAGAACGAAAAATGAACACAACTACATCAGTCCGGCCCAAAATAACAACTCTCCCAAATCCCTACTGGGAAAACTGCACTTTCTAATACGATTTAGCATATTATTTAATAACTTCACATACCAGAGTCATTCTGATGTAAACACTCGGTTTTATTTTAGCATACTTCTATGTTAAACAGTGTATTGTTGCAGTTATTGGCAACTATGTGTGTGTCCTCAATACTATACAGACTGAATTACCACCTTTATTTCATACTCTGCGATGCAAATCGTAGTTCAGACGACATACTAAAGTCCTCAGTGATCGGATTCCACGTACAAATGGAAGACACGTTTCTCTAGCCAAAAATCTGAAGTGTTACTCCTTAACTTCACTTGAACGCACTTGATCAATGAAGTAAACATCCAAAACTTGCCAAGGGGATTTTTTGGTGATTTAATAGGGTCATTTTACGCTCCTGTAAATGTGTGTTTATGCGTGAGCTTGGAAGTAGAGTTTGCATTTACTAATAGGATCTCAGTAGAAAGTCATCTATCAACTACATAAATGGACGACAGCACTGTAAACCCGTCAAGACTTGGCACAAATATGCATCAGCCTACTTTGACACACCACATTATCACAGAGGAACGAAACCAGCAAAATACATGGTAGGTGAATCAAGGTAACAGTAATGTCAATGATTGTGAAGACAATCAAACATGAGTTCCGAAAAGGGATGAAACAGAGGAACATAAGGTTCGAAGTGTTGAGATTTAAAATCGACAAGATAAAGAATGAATAGATTTGTACCGATACGACCAAATTTTAGCCACGTCAACTGATGTCTCAACCAGGGAAGTTCTCAATCAATGACCCCATGGACTAATGTTATGTCCTAATTTGACTGCCGCCAGCTTTCTTGCAATCTATTTAGAGGCCGAAATGCCTAAGGGCCTTGAATATGATGATGGTTGGGGACATATAATACACCTCATAGCCAATGAAGACTTACAACCTTATCAAACAATTAACCATATTGTATGGTACGTTTAACCTCATGACAGCTCACTCGGTTCTTCTACGATACGCAGCCAATGCTTCGAAGAAACGTATGGTCAGAAACTTGCAGCCTATATATATCTTCTACTTTCACAGACTATGTTTCATAAACATAGAGTAATACAGATAGGACGGGTGTGCAACATACCCCTTGGTTGACAGACATATCTAATTCCCAAGCGAAGCAAGTTGGCAAGAACAGAGAAAAGTTTTCGAATATGTCCCAAGACTTCGTTAGCTATCAACTAACCGAGGTTCATACTCGACAGGAAGTGTAGTTAGCGTGCACAATAGTTTTGCTGCCTATAATCAGTCTAGATGTTGATGAAGACCAGCTCTGAATTTAAGTATTACATTGATAAGGGAACATACCCTAAACATCCTTGCATTGTTACTCAAAAGATTCCAAAGGCTACATTCTGTCACCATCTTCATTAAGCAGGACTGTAACCTGCGAAAGTAGAAGATAGGTCTCAAAAGGTAGATGGGGAAGGTGTGTATATATAATGGAGTTAAGTGAAAATATGGGACAGATACCTTAAGTTACTGACTCAACCAACATTTTGTTACAAACTCTAACACGATCAAGCTTTAGAATCAGAGGATTTAGGAAGATTTACGTACTTTTAGCGAAGCTTTCAAGGTAAAATACTACTAACTCATGATTTCAATCTGTAAAATACTACCACAAGACCCCTTATCGGAAAGTCGTGCGGAGCTTCTAGATAAAGGAATATTATTAAAGCCACATATCGGTGTTTTGTTCATGAAACCTGGCGCTAACAATGAATAAATAAACTAGCAATTTTGTGGATTGTCAGTTACATTGCGGACTTAGTTCCGAAATCATAAGTCTAGTTTAAACAATGAAATTAGAACCACTAATGCTAATCCCCACATTTCCACTTAATTGATTGAATCTATTTTCTGTTGCTTTTTATACCTATATCATCGAGACATGCGATTTTCCGTTTATCTAAGAGCAACCAAGTTTGTGTCTATATGATAAGTTAGAACTTCTTTGTCACCTAAAAGTCAACGCAATTAATTTAGTGCACGTAAATTGATGGTTCCTTATTAGTGAAGACCATATAACAGTTTTCAATCAAATATTTGTTTGTTTACCACATTGAAAACCGATTGCTAGTGTCTCTATAAAAGGACTTTGTGGTGATATGTTTAAGGGTAGTTTCTTAGGAACATTAATTTGTTCTAAATAAATAGTCTGAAAGTTGGTGACGAACTAACTGACTGGTCTTGAAAAACAAATCAAGGTTACGAGATTACCTTCCAGATGTAACAAGTAATTCCTAGAACATGTCAATAAACCTTAATTTTCTTTAAGCATCAACCTTAATCAGATCTAACCAATTTGGCAGCACACTTGTAAAAAGCCTATTTAATTTGTTAGAAACGAATCCCTTCTCTTTCCGCCACATTGTGTTTCTGCCTTCCCACACTTTTCATTGGATTAAACTCCACTAGTTGTGAAACTAAATACTATTGTCGAAGTCAATCAGATAGTAAGCCTATAGCCTCAGGGCTCTTCCCCACTTATTGGTAAACGTCCTAACTACCTCGAGTTCCATATAGTCAGCACCATGTGATAACTACTGTCTAAATTGCTACATGCTCCCAAATGCCCATATACGGCCGAGAGTGAACTCTGCCTCTCGAAATGCTCTTACATGGCCACGTACATACAACCACTGCCAGGGAAGTCCTATTCACCGCCTTATTGCGGCATTACTGTTGTTTAAGAAACTGAGAGGACAAAAAGCGAATTTCCGGCGCTTTAACCGGGTTGGTAGATATGGAGGATCCACGTAGGGATGTTGGAAAACCCTGATCCCAAACCAGTGATACACATGGGCACCAGGACCCTAAGGGGACAGATGGCGTATGAACCAATCGTTGGTCACCGCCTACCATGGGAATGCATCTCCTGACGTTGCTCCACTACCTTGTGGATCAGACCTCTAGGTCAAAAGCTCGAGGTGTGGCCTCCTAAGGAAACCATTTGCTTCGGTTTGGGCACCCGGGCAAAATCCTAACCCTCACAAAAAATCGAATGATTTATGTGGCGCATACCTATTTGGTGTCTTCTTGTACCTATGTGTTTAAATAAAATAAAGTAATAAAATTGCTACATTCTGTGTTCTGATATTTTAGAATCCTAAAAAAATAAGTCATTAACCTAGTCAGTATAACTTCAAGGTTCGGTTACTGCTCAAAGGTCAAATGTTGGTCGGATCATACAGACTACTTGCAACAGTAACATGACACCTGTCTTTGAAGTGTTACTATATACTCTTAATTAATCTACGTCATCCATCCCCTTAATATTTCTTATGTTTAATCCTTTTCATTTCTGTTAATATGGTTTTGGCATCTGTTTCTCCACTTTTCGGCTTCTCGCTCTACTGTAAAGTGATATAGTCTCGACTATTATACATTTGTAACAAAAAACCCTACACCGACTAGGCAACCAAATTTCATCGACTGGACCATGGTCAGAAAAATAGCCTTCTTCGTCGAAATCCAGCGGAACCTAACTTTCAGAGTAATTCTGGTCAATTGTTTGCGCTGCAAAACAATGAGAACTACTCCGTTTGTGATGATGGTCAACAGACAAGGATAAACGTTCGGAGATAATTAACTCCGAAGTAGTAACATAGATCAGAATTGTCCCACCCATTTCACAGCCGACTATTATCACAAATGCGAAACAAGCTGTCAGGACGCATGATATTGTGTTGCTAAGCTTTTTTTTTAATGTTCATTTATTACTCATTTCGACTAACACCAAAACTTGGATAGTAAGTTCTACCCAACCAATCACGAATAATTGCCATATTTATCTTAAAATCGAATTTAGCCAGCCAAGTCAGTATATTTTAAATCTCTTTGAAACACATAGAACATGTACACACCCTAAAAAGTAGTTTCAAAAGACCGTTTAGCGTATTGGCGACGGTACCATTTTACATAACACAATTGTGTTATGTATGTTAACATACAGAAACAAGCTATGTCTGCCAACAATGGTCTTCCGTCGATTTCAAGATTTTGAAAAACAATTATTATTAAACAATTATAGTTTGAGAAAATGGACCATTCATATATGGTCGTCGAATTTCATGGAATGATCTGGAAAGTTGTATTAACCTTTATTTTATCACAACTTATACTTCACTTAGTTTGCCTCAACATGCAGATCTCAGCTGCAGTTTTCTGTTCTCCAGAAAAATGGCAATGGTTGTATATCTAGCAAATCAAAATACGATGTTGACGTACCGCAATTAGCAAAACGTCGCGCGTACAGTCACCAGTCATCAGTACGAAAAATAGTGTACCAGTTGGATCGCTTTAATCCTAACAGCAAGTATTTTTATAGGATCTTCTTTCTCTCAAAATTTCCCACCGGGTGCTCGAGACGAGCGTTTCAGTTGCTAACCCAACTCTGAATTTAGATGGTGGTTGGAGGTAGTCAACAGGAAACCCTGGACTCGGGTTTCGTGCTACTTGGCACTCGTCAGCAAGGTGTACCTGTAATCTTGAGGGAACTGGTGCTTCCTGGTGGATTCGATCTCGTGTCACCCAGCTTCACAGTCAGAGATGTTACCACTGAGCTATCCGAGCCGCGGCTGACCTGTAGGACTGAAATGTAATCACAATTGATTGATCACTGGGTGGTGATCAATGTCACTATTGTCTTCAGTGAGTTGATATCTCACAACAGACCTGGTTGAACTCCGCTGGTAACGGTGGCGCAACTCCGTGGATCGGTCGAAGTTATACATTGACACCGTCGGATCCCAGTTCAGTGGTCTTGTAGATCACCTACGTTGATGATCTGTGTCGAAATGATTGGAGGCCTACTCGAGTTAGACGTGAATGGTGTGACGAACCAACTAGCGTCGAAGTCACACCTCGTGGTCAGCACCTTACGTGGACTATCCCCATTGACGTATCAAGGTACTGTTCGACATTCAGTGATCCAACTGCCGGATGATTTGGCTAGGGCTCAGTGACATTTCACTGGCCCTACAGTCTAATTGCTTAAGTGCCTGGCTCGAGACTGATAGGTCCTGGGTTCGAATCCCTCGGGGTGCGGGATCGTGGATGTGCACTACTGAGGAGTCACATACTAGGACGAAACGGCCGTCCGGTGCTTCCAGGTTTTCCATGGTGATCTAGCTTCAATTGACCCATAATTTCAACGAGTGAAATACCACATTTTGCCATGTAAACATCTTGTGGCACATAGTCTGTTTTCTTGTTCATTCACTGGTAAAAAAAGGAGATGTTAAAGAGTTATTTTCAATATAGTATACAACTTGTCCCACTAAGATACACCATTTGCTAGTTTATGATGTTATATATTCGGCTGCAGTAGGCCACATGCTTGAAGTTAACGTGTGTTATGTTGAGTCAATTAGTGACAGATTAAAGAAGTCTACCACAGTGACTTTTATGTGGGTTTTGTATTTCTTAAACTGTTTTAAGAGTATTGAAGACATATATTGTTTTTAATTAATTCTATTTTGTGTGCACATTAAACCAAATCGTTAACCAATCTTGAAGATTCCCAGCTTAATATACTTGGTCTAGCCACAGTCTAAATTCATAGCCAAATGATAAGACAAGACACGTGATATTTTGTGGACCCTGTATCTGACTCCAATTAGACTGGATGAATGATCGTCGTTGAATGATTGCTGTCGAAATATACATGTCACCAATCTTCGTATATAATTATCGACTTGACTCACGTTAGTGAACAACGGAATTATGATAAGTCGAATACGAGAATAAAGTCTTCAATACGCGTATTTTGCACAATCTTTGTTCAGGACAGACAACCAGAGAGACGAAGAGGGGGAATCAAAGTGCACAGAGCGAAACAAAGCAAAATGACGCGCAGTGGGGATGTCAGGCGAGCCAACTCGATTTAACCAAGAGTAAATTGATATTTATAGTCACATAAAAATAAATTACAGATTCACTCACATAAAAACATTTAAGGTCCATAAGCCAATAAGCGACAAGGTCAAAATGTGATTTAAGAAGAATGGATAGATAGGTCTGTCCGGGAACTAAAACAACCTATGTGGGCTTGACATAGGGCCACCCACTACAATATAATTATACCGAATGGTCATATGTGTTACTGTTCTATGACCCTTACGACGACCCACTCTAAATAGCTCATAATTTCCGTATTGGTAAACCATGCTAATACTCAGCCTAAATTATAGGAGCTCTATAAACTGCCTGGCTATGGAATTGTGCAATCGAAAAAAAAACGATAACGAAAATGCAATTAAGTCATAAACCTTGGGGGAAGTAGTAAAAATGTTCGTAATAGATCACGAAATTCTTAGATTTCACCT